CAGGAGCTCATTAATAAGACACATACATTTAGGGTTTTTACTAAGTTAAATGTTTAATAAGAATATAATAATATTTGAATCTAAGACAGAGATGAGTAGAAGACTGTGTTTTAAACTAATTACAAATTGTACAAACTAACTATAATGTTCTTTAGACTAACTAACTTGCTTACAATGTTCTAGTCATTCATAAATTATATTCTTACAAATCTGATTAACTTAAAACATGTTAGTATGTATCTAGACAACATTCTAATCTTTACTTAAACAGTTGAGTACTATTACTAACTAATTTAAGCAGTTTTATAATAGCTCTAAAATAATAAACTGTTTCTCTAAGAAGTAAAGTATTCTTTTGTACAAGAGTTAGTAAATTATCTAGACTTTATAATTAGTAGAGGAAAGGTCTATATAGATCTGACAAAAGTAACTATAGTTTAGAACTAACTATAACCTTAGAACCTAAAACAGGTCTAAGTGTTTCTTAGATTTATAAACTACTACTAACACTTTATTTAAAGCTTTAGTACTATTGTCTAGCCTCTTTACAATCTTACTAGTAAAGATGTTCCTTAGTAATAGAGTAATTAGTAACAGTCTGTGTTTAAGTCCCTTAAGTAGACTATTACTAGTAAGTCTATATTAGTAGTTCTAACAGTTGTAAACAAGTTCTGAGTTAAAGTTAACTCTTTCAACTTTATAAATAGAGTAGTACTGTTTTAGTTTATTAACAGAAAGTAGTGTCTAATAGTATTCTAATTAGAATCCCTCTCTATAATAGAACAGAACTACTCTATCTATAATAAGAAACTCCTTATAATTGTCTGTTCTCTAAAGGAGTAGTATTAATATCTTTTTAGTACTGTGTAGAAGTTTAAGATTTAGAGTAATTACCTTAATCTCTAGTACTTCTAAGTATCTTAGAAGCTTAACTGTTACTAGACCTACTAGATGTTAGAACTATAGAATTATAACTTTGTACTAACTTACAAATTTAGAACACAAATAATAAAAGCTGATTTACTCTTAAGACAAGTAGGTTATAAAAGGGGAGAGAATAATAACAAAAATCTTGTTCTCCTAAACAATTCCTGTTTCATGTCTAAGACAATCTAAGAGATCTGACTTGAATTTAAGAATGTTAACTTTATTACTTGTATATAGTAAGCTCTAAAACACACACAGGACTAGGTTATAGTAAAGTAGTTAGAGAAGTAAGTTAGAGACTAAGAGAAGGATAAGGATAAACAAGTTTACTAGAAAGACTGACTGTATGTTTTAAAGGATTAGAAACTGTAGAAGAATATTGTCTAAGCTTATTATAACAATCTGACTGTAAAATATCTAGACTAACACAAAACACAGGAACTCATTACTTAGAACTACTAGTAGCTAAGAATGTAGAGAGAAATTCTAAAGTATATAACTAGTTACAATACATACTAACAGACTAAGGCTTACTAGATAAGAGTTTAGACTCTCTTACATTTGTATCAGATTCTAAATTACTCTTAGGAAGAAGTCTTAGTAAACCTGATTAGTAAGCTACCCAAGTCTTAAGGTTATAATACTATCTGTATAATTGTTAACTAATTCTCTAAGTAAGTTTATACAGTTCTAATCTAAACAGAACTTACTTCTAAAAGTATAGTGTGTATTTATTAGAATTATGTCTTCTAGTTGTATAAACTCTCTTAGAAGCTTATTCACAATTGTAGACTATAATTTGAGTCAAAATTTATATAGAACTTGTACACACTTCTTAGAATTTAAGAGAATTCTTTTACTATATATTACTTACAGACTAATAGTTAAACTAAGTAAGTCAATCAGAAGATTAAGCTTTATCTCTGAATGTTCATTAATTATTAGTAGTCAGACTAGTCTGAATAGTTAGCTCTAACAGAATTTGTGTATAATAACTAGTAATACTCTATAATAGGACAGTCTCTGTTCTTTCTCAACTATAAAAGACATTTGTACTAGAAGACAGTTCTAAACTAGAACAGTAGTTTCAAATTTATAACAGACTTTGTAGAACAGATACACAAGACTAGGGAAGACACACAAGCTCTTTTAGAGAAGGTAGTATAAGTTATAAAGTAGAACTATAATTAGAAAAGATTTGTAATTAAGGATTACTAGCTTAGTAATAAAGTTATACTAGAAGCTACTAATCTGACTATAGATTACTTAATAAAGAAGTTGGACAACAAGTACTTCAGACCCTTCATTATTAAAAAGAAGGTTAGTGTCTCTACTTACAAACTTTAACTTCTAACAATATAAAAGTGTATACACTCAGTATTTAACAAGGTTTTATTATCTTAGTATTATAATTTAGCTTTTCCTTCATAATAAAGACTTCTACTATCTCTACTAGAACTTATCAGCTCTAAACTAGAATACAAAGTAGAGTATATAGTAGATACTAAGCTAGTATATAGAAAACTCAAGTTTCTTGTTTACTAGAAAAGGTACCTAGTTAAAGAGTACACTTAGGAACCTACTAAGAACCTTACTTATACTTCTAAAGTGATTTAAGACTTTTATTAGCTTCATTCTAGTACTCTGTACAAACTCAGCCTTACACATTTCTAAGCTCTACTATTCTAACTTATGTTTAAACTACTAACTAAGTCTAATATTTACTAATTAGAACAATTAGTTTTAGAGAGAGAGTAATATTATAGTTCTCTACTCTTATACCTTTAGTTCTAAGGGTTCTACACTCTTCTGTACTAGAACTCAGAACTTCTGTCTTTTAAGAGTACTGTTTATAAACTATATACATACTAACTCTTACTACTACCCCTTCTTACTTTATTATTCTGTTTCTTTGACCACCCTTTCATTCTTTGTTCATTCTATAGTCTCCTACTCTTTGTCTATCCCTTTATTCTTTGTACCTTTATCTTTGACCTTCCTTTCTTTTATTCTTTGTAGCTTATCATTCTTAGTAGCTTATACTTTCTAAGTACTCTTGTATAGTTTAGTATATATAAGTATACAAGATCAGACTAGTTCTATAGTCTTAATCTTGTCTACTCTAGATAGTTCTATACTCTTAGACTTACTCTATATACTCTACTCTTGTCTCACTCTCTCTCTCTTTCTGTTCTACAAGTTCTGACTACATTCTAGTACTTACATTCTGTATTTCTGTTATATAAAATAGTTATAACCTAGGTCCTCTTACTAAGCCTTTAGGTCCTCTCTATACTGTTACTAACACAATCTTTGAATATTCTAAATGTGTACTTAATAGTAATACAATAATGTAAGAGCTTAAAGTTAAAATCTTACTAACAGTAAGTCTCTTAAGGGTTGTTTATAAGCTTATAATTAGTAAATAGACAGATTGTATATACAGTAAGAGGATAACCTAAAGAGACAGAAATATTAGTAGTAGAACTAGTAGTATAATAAACCCTATAGTGTTCTAAGAGATTATAATGAATCTACACACCTTTATTAGCTAAAATGTACTTATTAGTATTAAAATGCTCCCTTAAAGACTTCTATACTCTAGACTCTTTAAAGACAGTAGTATTCTAAACATTTCCAGACTAACTTAAGTTAAATTCTGTAAAGTACTTTCTGTCATTATAGATTGCTTGAAGAACAATCTGAGAGGGGTTTTGTGAGAGAAATGCAAAAAGACAAAAAGACTATTTACTTACTAAATAGAATCTTTTCCTACTAAAATACAAGTTGTTATCTTTCCTAGGTTTTATAGAAAGTAGGATGAGAGAACTGTCTACTATACTAATACACTCAGGAAAGCCTTCTGCCTGGAAATGTCTCTTCAACTCTAAACAATATTCACTAGCAGGCCAGGCAAGAAAACAAGACCTTAGCTAGTAAAATACAGTACAAACACAGTAATAGTACAGAGAGGTACTATACTCTCTACTACTAAAGCCTGCTTAACAGTCTTAATACTTGTTGTACTACTATACTATAGGAGAAATATAGTGAGTTGCTCCTAGTGAGACTGTTGAGCTTGTTTACTAGTCTTTATAAATACTTTATTGTCCTTTATTAGATTACAGAGAGTCTTAAATAATGTACAATCAACCCTAAAAGAGTTGTGGATTAGAATGTAGTAGTATGTATATGATTCATAACCTTCATACACACCTAAAGAACACCTTAAATATATATTCCAAGGTACTAAATAACAGATTATTAAGGAAATCTTCAGAGTAGGATACATTGTATAGATTATAAATAGAAGGACAAGTGTGAAGGAGTAGTTAATAAGCTTTGTGTACAAGAAGAAGGCTAAGCAGTAAGTCAAATTCAGTCTCATTGTACAATATGTAGAAGATGGATAGAGCCCTCATGCTCATAGCATATTTTTGACTATAATAAGATGACCCAGCCATGTATTAAGAAGAATGGAGAGTGTAAGATACAAGAATTTCACTCAATTCACACTCAATGTATACTCATCACATACTTTCTATGTGATCACATGACTGTGCTTCTTTGTATATATCATGCTTCTCAAGGATTTACATTGGTTCAAGCTAACAAATAATATATTTCTTTTCAAACTCTACAGCTTTACAAGTCCAACAAGTGGGTTTTGTCACTTGTACAGACTTGCACAGATTTCTGCTACTTTTGGTAACTATTAAGGTACGTGTCACTTTGCCGAGCCACCCCAAAATCTTTGTGTCGTCCTGCAACTCCCCCTGCCAATGAATTGAAGACACCTACTGCCTGTCAGTTGAATCGCTTCAAGTGAAATGGAAGAGGATGATTTAGAGTTTTGCAAGCGAGGAAAGGTCACGAGACGTTTCCTAATTTGGGTTCGAATGTGAACACTGAATTACCACACGCGTCGCGTTCAGGTATTCAGGCTCACAACAACTTGTCCTTGTGTCGTCGTGCACACCGCGTTCAAGCATCCCAGGCAGCCTGAAATCACACATTCAACAAGTCTTTAGCCACCGAGAGTACTCACATCGCACACAAAGGCCGCCATTGCCATGTCAGCTGCGACGAAGGCACGGTCGACTGGTATTCCAACGCCTGGACGGTTACGCTCCTATTCTTCTTCAGCTTCGACGCAGGAACCTCTTCCAACGGACTTTGAGACGTCAAATAGAGCGTTCCAAGATGCCATGAAATCGAATGATCCCGCTCGATATACAGGTCGTTCTGTTTCTGCGAACAACCCTGCTCCGCGCCCTCCTTCCTCTGCCTCAGGCTCCAACATAGTTTCACGTCCAAGGACACCTAGTAGTCAGTTCGGAAAACCCACGCCGAGACATTCGGAGAGTCGACAATCCGATGCACACTTGCGCAAGCACGGTGCCTTTGCCGAGGGTGACGACGTTAGGATTGAAAGTTTAGGCTTTGAAGGAAAACTCCGTTATGTTGGAGAGATTGAAGGGAAGCCTGGCATATGGGCTGGTGTAGAGCTGTGTGGAGGTTTTGTAGGACTAGGAAAGAATAATGGTTGGGCCGGAAAGTAAGTGAATTTTGCAACATGTGCGATTCTGACGCTCATTCGCATGCAGAAAGCAATATTTCTCGTGCCCAGACAAATGTGGGGTCTTCGTTGCATATAACAAGCTATCTGCACCGACAGTAATGAGAGGGACACACTCAAGATCTTCGTCCGTTGCTTCATCGAGGGCTTCTCTTCCTGGTCCGGGTCGGATTACACCTTCGTTAGCCGGTCGCACTACTTCTACAATTCAGAATGGACGTGTTACACCAGCAAAGAGCAATGGACGAGTAACTCCTTCGTCGAGCCTTGAACTGTCTTCGGGTATGACACGCATAGCTCCGAGACCGTCATTATTCAACCCTACTTCGGCTACGAACACTCCTTCTGCGACCGCAATGAGCAAGATCACCGCAGGCAGCCGAGCAAGTAAGTATGTCGGTATGACAGCCCAGCAACTGTCTGCCCGATCGCAGAAAACATTAGCTCCTGGAAGCCCATCTCGAAAAAGTATTGGTCTTGGAAGTCCGACACGTCGTCGTGGTCCTCCAAGTCCTTCACGCTCCGATTCGAGAAACTCGTCAGGAGGAACACCGATCGGAGGCACTCCCAAACCAGCCACGCGTCTTAGCTTCGGAATGGGCACGCCGAAGGGCTTCGGCTCTGGAAGGCCATCGCTCACAACACCAAGAGCTCGTATACCATCTGCTGTTGCTATGCCTCCGCCCCCGTCACCGACCAGTGGTGGTGGCGCAGGTCAACGAAGTATTTCACTCAACGATAAACCCGTTACTCCTACATTCAGTACTACGAGCAACGAGACTGCTGTCGACGATGAAGGGATTGAAAGTCTGGTCAGCATCCAAAACAACAGCAAGGCTTTGAAGGACAAGATCCAGAGCATGTTAGCAAGTAGACCACAACGCTCCGAATCACCGTCCCGCGCTTCCAACACACATGGAATGGAGGAAGACTCCGTTTTTGGTCACCCGAAGTTGGATGCATCGTTACAGGCGTTACAAGAGCGAGTGGACAGCCTCGAACGAGAGAATTTACAGCTCAAGTCAGAGCTAGAGGCGTCTCAATCTTCGCAATCAAAGGCAGGCGGTATCGAGACAATCACGTCCGAAAGAGAGCAGGCCCTAGACAGAATCAAGGATCTCGAGTCTCAACTGAAATCATCTGAGCGAACAATGGACGAGCGTAACTCCAAAATCGAGTCACTGGAACGGTCCGTGCAAACATCAACAACAGCTCTACAAGCCCAACGCGCAGAAGATGAAAGTCGCTTGAATGACTTGCAATCCAAGCTAGACGAATCACAATCTTTAATCACCAGCCTCAAGGATGCAATTGAAGCCAAGTCTAACGAGGCAGGCCAGAACGAAGGTATTATACAGGCCAAAGACGCAGAGATCAACCTTTTGGAAGGACGCGTGAAGAAAGCCAGCTCGGAATTAGATGACGTCCGGAAGGACCTCACAGCTCAGATCGATGAACTGAGGCATGCCGGCCAAGAAACTATTGCATTGTACGAAGAGCGACTCGCTGCTGCGGATTCAAGACGGTACCAGTTGGAAGATCTGGTCGACAGACTAGAAGAGCAACTGAAACGACGCACAAGCCTGTCAAAGAGCCAGAATAGTGTCAAGCACGAATCTGCGGAAGCTATGCGAATTGATAACGAAGCTCTACGTGAGCAGGCGGTGCATTTGCAGAAGAGAATTACGAGCCTTGAAGATATGCTCGAAGAAGCACGCGGTAACCTCGAGCGAGAGGAATCCAACGCACGTGCGAGAATCCAAAGGCACAAGGAACACGAAGCAGCCCTCCGTGCAGAACTCGTGGAGACAAGAGGCGAGGTTGAGAGGTTGGTCAAGAGCGAATCATCTGCTCGCGTGAAGGCCGAGGAGGCCGAAGAGGCCCTAAGAGAGAACACTATTACGCTCGAGAACGCACAAGCAGAGATTGAAGGGCTGAGAGCAGAAATTGCAGTACGTGAATTTAACCGTCTGGATACTTAAGACGCCAAACTTACTGCTGAATGGCTACAAAGTCACTAGAGAACATACAGGCTCGCAATTCATCGGAACGATCACGGAGCGAGGAATCCTCTCGTATTCTATCGATCGAGCGCGAGCGACACAGTGAAGAGGTAGCCCAACTAAAAGATCTCCTTGAAGTGACTCGTTCTGCACGAAAGGAAGCAGTACAAGACCTCGATGCTGCCAAACAGGACGCGCTTAATACATCGAACTCGCTCTCAAGTCTCAAGCAGGCCGTAGAGGATCTCGATGCTGAGAAGGCCGAGGTATGTAGAAACACATCAATTTGTTGGCACATTTACTGATCTCCCCGCAGCTGGAGCACAGTCGTTCCGATCTAGAGTCAAAACTCGAACGTGAAAGGGCGGTGACTGCCGAGTTGCGTCGAGCATTAGACGAGAAGGCGTCCGAACTTGAAGCTTCTCGTAAGACACTCAACCGGGATCGGCCAATTTTGCAGGACGCGACCTCATCTCCAGCTACCACCACTCCATCTAAACAAGAATCAAGTTATAAAGAAGAGATTAAAGGCCTAAAGTACAGTGGACTCGTTTCTTACCAGATCGTGATCGTTATTGACTCTGTTTTATTTCATCTTCCCAGGCATATCGTTCAAGAACTCCAGAAAGAGATCTCAACCTTATCAGGTCGGGCCAAGATGCTCGAGTCTGAGAACAAGATGCTGTCACAGGAGACCGATGCCCTTCGACAGGTAATTCACAATTTGCGGACTCACGGGCCGACCTCTGACTTTATGCTGTAATGCACAGGAACTCAAAGTACTAGAAGAGAATGTCGAACAAGATATACTCGCCGAAGAACGAGCATTGTCTTCTGGTGAAGGCGATCAATCGAAGACGAATAGCGACTCCCAAACCAATGTAAGTGTCAAACGTCACCAAGTAAGATGACTTATCGATATCCTTGATCATACAGGCCGAAGTTGAACGTCTACGCAAACAGCTTGCTGAGGTAGAGAAGAAGACCGCACGAACTATTCATGAGGTTCGTATCCATATTTATAAGGACTGGATGGAGTGGTTAAACTGAATGCGTCGCGTACTTTTTGCAGCTCAATAAGGAAGTGAGCGAGCTCGAGAGTCTTGTAGAAGCAAAGGTACGATATTGACCACTGTCACACGTTTATTTCTGCTAATAAGGCATTTTTAAAACTCTTCTTGTAATACGACGATAGATTTATCGCGAGGTACATTTATTCAAATATACACATAGCAAGATGTATTTACTCATATTCACGCAGGACGAACTTGAACGCGAGATCGAGCGTTTCCGACACCAAGCCTCTAAACGACCCTCCAAATCAAGCATCGAGCCTCCCCACTCGCAATCACGTCACTCTGCAACAAGCAGCACGGCTACCGTAAGCCTCGACGCAAATGGGTCCAATTCAAATCCCAACGCATATTCAATCCGAGACTCGTCATCAACCGCAGTGGCAAACTCGGAAGGCGAGACAGACGGTGTATGTGAGATTTGTGAAGGACCAGGGCACGATATCTTTTCGTGCCCCTTACTCAAAGATGGGTCAGGCACTGAGACACTTCCTTCAACTAAATCGACTTCCTCGGGAGGAGGACAGAGAGGAGGACGAGAACCCGTAGAGACGGATTTATTCTGTGAAGACTGTGAAAGTCACGGACACTTAGCTGCGGATTGTCCATATTCTTCTGATGTTTTCTAATTCCTTCCTTATATCGCATTTCCCAGTTACTCTCCATTTCTTTATGCTCTCCTTAAAGCTGCTCTATCGGATTTCGTACAATATGTAGATGTCGGAATTGTTTATTTCCTTTCTTCTGATTTTGAGAACGTCTTACCGTCCTTATCATCTGCCATCAATTCATGTTTGCTTTCCGCTGTCTCTTATACCGCGCCCCCGTCACTTCCGCCGTCCCTTCTGCCGACGTTCTTTGCATCCATCTCTTTCTGGCCATTCGCCCTTCTTCCTTACCACTCCTTCCTTTCGTCCTTCACTATCGAGTTCCTCAATGCAAACAGAAATGCAAAATCGAGGCTGCGCTGTACATTATTTCGTACTTGTCATACAGTCGTTCTTTCATTTGAAATTGAAATTTGAATTCGCACTCGCATGCAAATCCTCATCTCACAATGCACTTTAATTCAATTTAGTGCCACAACTTTGCCCATCACAGATGTGATGTTGACGTGCTGTAATGCTAAGTAGACTACAAACCATTCTTGCGCATTCCCTTCACCCATCATTACAGAAAGAAAGGAATAAAGAAAACATGCACACGTATTATAACCTTGACCCACTCGACCTGTATTCAACCAATGCTCCGGCACTTCATCCCAAATGGTCCCTGCCTATACAGCAATTAACTGTTGGGGATAAAATTGGCGGAGGTACTTTTAGTGAAGTATGGGTATGTAAATACAGAGCATATATATACCCCTATACAGCATAACTGTTACTAATTCTGTTTCGCACATACTACTCGACACATATACGTCATTCTGAACGGCCACCATTCCAATGACAGTCTTTGATCCGTGCAGATATTCAGAACGAGGAAGGGGTAGCCGTATCTTTTGTGGCAAAGGTAGCAAAGAGACCACGAATTATGATCACCTCAGAAGACGAGAGAAAGGACTACGAAATCGTTGAGAGAGCTAGAACAGAAGCTCGACTCATGCGAGAACTAAGCCATCCTCACATTGTACGTTACTTTATCACCAGTACCATATACACGTCTCTTACAGTAGCTCGTCGATGCTGATCACTGCGGTTAGCTCAAATGCTACGGTGCTTTTATAAACATAGAAAGTGTGATAATTATATGTGAAATGGCTGAGAAGGGTGATTTAAGTGCAAGGCAGTATACGGAAGGGGAAACCAAGGACTACGTTAGGTACACCTCGGAGAATTTATGGAGACAGCATCATCTGATTGTTGATGATTAGACAACTCCTTAAAGCATCACATTATATGCACTCACGCAACGCCTTGCATGGTGACCTGAAGTGTGTTTTCTTTGCTGTACGTCCTGGATCAGATGCCTTCTAAATAATTGTTTTTAGGCCAGAGAACCTGCTAATTCGGGTGAGGAGGAGACAGGCTGCAGCTTCAAGCAGAATTATTGAGAATGATGTACTTGTAGCAGGCGACTTTGGCAGGTATGCTATCATTATATAATAAAGTCCGAGTTATTGTTGTTGATACATAGATGATAAATCACTTAGTGCTGCTAAACTCGACGGAACTGAAGAGAAGAAAATTAGAGGAACTCTAGGTTACATAGCTCCAGAACAGTTCAAGGGACAGTGCACGACAAAGTCAGACATGTGGTCCGTCGGGTATGAGCAACGACGCATTTGAGTAATTTAAATTCACCAAGCACTTGTTTCCTTAGTGCTGTTACATACGCACTTTTGACTGGTCACAACATCTATCAGTCGATTGCTCACATTAATAAAATCAACATTTCAAATGTCAAGATTGAACATATTACATGGGAATTTGTTGAGAGTGTCATTACAAATGAGACGATAGAACAAGTACTAAGAAAGCATCTCCCAAGGAATATATCTAATGCTGGTAGGCAGACTCCTTCAATATAGAATATTCATAATATCTATATTCAATTATAATGTTGTGTAGGAAGAATTTTTATTCAAAAATGTCTTGAAACTGATCCTGGAGCTAGATTGTCTGCAAGGCAAGCCCTACAGCAAGATGTAAGCTTTCTTTTTGGTGATACTGAATGGCAACCTTATATAAAAGTATCTTTTTGCAATAAAAGTGGTTTGAAGGAATGGACACAGATACTGAATTTCACCCAAGAAAGGCGCTGAATGCAAGTGTAGCCCCAGACAGGCCAACTACCAGTAACAAACATGGGAAGCATGGGAAAAAGTAGCTGCTAAGGAGATAAGATCAACGGTCTAACAAGCCATTAATGTAGTGTAGTTACAGCTTGATATCATACGGCATTGAATACATTAATTAATGACAGTTCATTCTTCACAATGACAAGGGATTAGGTATACATCCACATCCAGATACACGTAAAACTATTCGATACAGTCATACAGACCCCAACAACGCATACAGCATGAGGGAATGCAGACATATGGACAAGGGAGAAAATGGGATACGGTCAGTCTATAGGTAACTCAAAGGAGGGGAATCGAGAATAACAAATCCATGACCGTTCAGATTGCAGAGCCGCAGCGTAGCTTACATTCTGACTTGATCATACATTTACCTGAAACTATACATTCTAAAAAACATGCAAGCATTTGTCCGAGACTATACAATCTAGGCCTATCTATAAGAGTACACGAGGCAGGGGTGTTTGTTCGTTCGTACATCCAGATATATGTAAACAAAAACCATTCAATATCGTCGATACAGATCCACCCGAGTATGTAGAGTGAAGGAACATGAGGACGGAGAGAGAGCGTAGGGAGGAGATGGAATAAAATATGATCGGGAGATGTTGATAGATCTATAATTTAAATGAGAGAAGGAGATATAGGGTATGATATATCTATGTACGTGGAGATAAGGACAGCAAGTTGGGAATCAAGGGGGCTTGCACTGCACCAATCGTAATTTCTTCGCCTAGTTGTTCGTTATTCGTGGAAGACATGCTATTTCGTAAAGCGCGAACGTCGGCCCCCGTTCGACACGCAGACGACGACATCCGATTAATCGCGACTCGTCGTCGTTCAATACCACGATTGATCGACCAGCGATCACCGAGTATTGACTATTGGTCCCATTTGACGAACCGCCTCAAGACTCGCTGACATTTCGCATAAAACCCATCATCGACATGTTGCCGATTACACACGACATAAACGGGCCGACCAGATGAAGTCCTCTGTTGCGAGCGGTGGACGTGTTGAGTTGTTCGTGGTGGAGGCTGGGCGGAACGGTGATCTAGATAAATGAATATAATTTCCAAAAACAAATAAAATTGAATTTTTAGATTTAGAATTTAGCAGGGCCGATCGAAATGATCAAGTCATTGGAGTGGGACTTACGAGAAGCAGACCTCGAACTCGGCTTCGAGCCTGAGCCTGAGCCTGAAGCACGCTGGTGTGGTGTCGAGCGAGATCTCTGCACCTGTGCCTGCCTCGCACCACCCGACCCAGACGAATAATAGTTCTGCGTCGCACTCCTTCTAGGAGTCGACCCCGGCCCGCTACGTTTCGCGGGAGGCGTAGGAGCGCTCGCCGAACGTTTGGGCGCTGGCTTCGGCTTTGAAGATTGTCTGGTAGGAGGCATAGTGGAAGATTGTTTGTAATTATTTGATTGGAGACGAGAGGGACGTGATGCGCCGGGAGTTGTTTGCATCTGAATTGCAGTGCAGGGGTGTCAAGTCAGGCAGACAGGATCGAGCGATCGCAGGGATGCGGGAACTGTGGGCTGGCGTCTGGACGTCGATACGTTTGAGGCGTCAGAGAGACGAAGGAAGAAGAGTGGAGGAGTGGAGTGATTGAGGTAATCGCCTCCGAATCAATCAACCTGTCTTCCTCTTATAATCTTCCCCAATAAACGTGGACAAAGCGTGCAAATGAGGAGAATAGCAAATTAGACTCTGACATAACAACACGCAAATGAAACGCGGCTTTCATGTCCGACGGTCCTCTTCCCGTATGTTCCGCTCGCTCATCTGACACTGTGTCTGCACGATTACCACGCTTTATTGCGTCTACGACGACTCATCATTCCGACGGAGATGCGGAGAGCGATGACCCACACGGTATGATGGGGATGGTCACTCGCCGATCAGCCCCTGTAGCTCGTCTTTCCCTCTTTCGTCTCTAGCTCCGACAAACCCAAACACATCTCCTTCCACCTTACAAACTCAGTAAATACCTGGAAAAATCTTACCCGAATCAACCAGGGAGAATTCCACTTGCAGCTCTTCCCCTCTTTCGGATTTCTGGAAATTGATGTGTGATCGGGAGAAACGAGAAATTGCTCCCTATGGACAACCGGTTTCGTACAGCGGTGGTGCCGCAATTCTACACAGTCTTGAAAGAGAAATTACGGAGGACTAATGCGTTCTCGGTCGAATGTTCCTGGCTTCTCTCGTCCTTTCTTCCTTCTGTCGTCGAACTCGCCCCTGGGTTTCCCGAGCCAGCACTAGCTAGAAGACTGCTTCCTTCAGCTTGTCTCTGTTTGACCTCCGCTTGAGCTTGTTCATCCAGCTGCTCTCTTCTTGGACTTTGGTCCACGTCGCCTGCGCTCGACGGCTTGCGGTGGCCACTCGGATGTCCTCCTAGGAAGAGTTCATCAGGCGTGTACGATACCTGCCACACGGACATTCTACATATCCATACCCTCCTTTCTTGGCTCTCTGTTACGATGCACATTCTTTCCTCTTTCCTCCTCCTTCTTTTCTCCTCCCTTCACTTTCTTCTTTCACCCCGTGCAGTTCACGGGCTAACCAACGTAACCATCGACGATACCTATGGCGATACCAACACCGGTGCACAAATCATCTACTCCCCTCCTGCGGCGTGGCAACTCGGTCAAAACTGCAGAAATTGCACCGCGCAACCGGATAAGAATCAGACGATTGACGGGTCGTGGCACGATGCGACGTACAATCCCGTTGGTGGGTCAAGCAATGCCTATCCGGGTACGCTCATCTCTGCGACTGCTCTCTTTAATGGTACGTCGTTCCGCTCCGCTTGAGCTGTCTGCGTTAAAAAAGTCAAGGCACTCACTGATTTGACTTGTTGATCGATACTTTGATCCTCCTATGCGATGCGCTTCCCGCACTTCCCCCACCCGAAATTCAAATTCTTATTTTTATTCTCGACGACGATGTAGGCTCAGCGGTATACATCTACTGCATCCTTACGCGCTCCGAATCCGGTCCCAACGGGAACACAGACATGGCCTTCCTCATTGATGGCAACACCGTCGGTACCTTCGAACAAGCACCCAACGGGGACTCGTCATATGCATACAATCAACTTGTGTTCTCGTCGACTGGGTTGAGCCAGGGTCAACATAATATTACTATTGTGTCTGGGAGGAGTGGAGATAAGGCGCTTGTGCTTCTGGATAGGATCGTGTACACGTGAGTCTGTCTTCTGTTCACGGAAGGGATAAGGTATTAACGGTTAATTAATTTGTTCTGTCGTGAAAGTACGGAAGACGACGATGTGACGACTACGATACCGCCTGTATTGACTACTTCACCGACTTCTCCCACTTGTACGTCCTCCAAACTGACTTGTTCCACACAACGACCATCTCACTGCATATTTATTCAACTCAACAGCAGCTTCAAGTTTCACGTTCACCACATCACCCTTCACGTCAAGTGCAACAATAGTCCCTACATCGCTCTCCGTCCCGTCCTCCGGTTCCTCCAACTCCACCGATTCTTCCACTCGCACTTCTTCCTCATCAAAGGCAGGTGCAATAGTAGGCGGCGTCATCGGTTCACTCGCAGGTATTGCATGCATCGTCCTCCTCTGGCTCTACTGCCTAGCAAAACGGAAACGAGAAGAAGTAGAAGAAGCCGAAAGAGCCATACAACCCTTCTTCTTCGGCCGATCTGGGCGAAGTCAAGCTGGGGCTGGTGGGACGAGGAGTGAGATGGGGGTGATGGAGTCGGCGGACATGGGGAGTAGCGTAGGGCTTACGAATGCCGATTGGGTCGCAAGACATGGTCATGGCGGGATGGAAGGAGAAAGTGCATGGAGAGGAGAAGGGGGTACGGCGACGACTTACCTTACTTTCCCTCCTCCTCCTTTAACAGGAGGCACATCGGCGAACACGCATTCTCCTGAAACACCCACGTTCAACAACAACCTCAGTGCTCTCAACATGTACGGTCTAGCTACGGCCGGGGCAGATCGAGGGGGGACAAGAGGGATGAGAGGAATGCTTGATGAAAGCACAAGCCCTACAACTCCAGACACACCAAGTGCGATACGGGCGAAGTACCTCGGGTTACTTGGTTTTGGTTCCAGCGTGGGTAGTCGAGATGGTAGCGGGAGAAGTAACCTGAACGCGAACGCAAGTGTAATAGAACGAAACGCATGGAACAACGTTCGCTCTGAAAAGGCTCGGTTGACATCATTGTTTGGAGGGAGTCGTTCACCCCGTTCGCCTCGACACCAACACCCAGAGGCTGACCATCATCACCCTAACCATCCCGCTGGGACTCGACAGCACCACCGAACAAGAACAAGACGAGCAGGAACAGGAGTGTCGCCGTTTAGCCCCACACCCTTATACACACCCACTCCAGGGTTAAACAACGCAGTGAGTCCAACGACCGAAGACGAAGGGAGTGTGACTATGTCAGCAGCAGCATCTGCCTTGACAGAGGACAACCTAGCGCGTCTGACAGGGCGGAAGAATCGGAGTCATAGAGAACGAGAGAGGGAGAGGGGACACAAACATGACAGGGAGAGGGAGAGACAACGGGCGCGGAGAGAACGAAATCACAACCACAATCAACAAGAGAGGGTAGTAGGAAGAGGAAGAGCTCTTCCTCCGCGACCTTCTCGTACTCAGCCGACTGTTCAACCGTACCATCCAACACAGGAACAAGCACGGTCACGGTCGTTCTCCTTTGATCGTGCGTTGACCGAGGCAGTCCCGAATCCGAACCCGAACCCTTATCCTGTCTACGAAAAGGATAGACCAATCAACACAGTTCCTCCAGCCACCGTCCCGTGCATAGCAGTCGACCCCTTACTGGCCGTCACGGCCGAAGAAGCACCCGCTTCGGCAGAGCAAACAGGTGTGGCAGCAGACGTCGATGCAGACGCTGATATCCGCTCAGTAACAACGACCTCAGACGTCCGATGGCATCGTCAACTCGTTAACATGTTCACTCCCTCCTCCCCTTCCTTGCCTTTACCTTTACCCTCTTCAGTAGCACCCAGACGCAAGCCCTCTCAATCCCAAGACGCCTCCACCCGCCCACTCCCGGTTCCACCTGTCCCAAACACCTTATCCCTTTCCCCCAACCTTCCCTCCAAAACTCATCCAAGCGCAAATGCAAATGCTGATAACATCGTGACTCCAAACTCAGCAGGCGGGTCGAGTAGCCAGACCTGGACTTCGTCTTCGAGTATACGAGCTGCTGCAGCAGCGAGAGGGATGGGTACGGGTACGATCTCGCCTCCACCGCCTTATCAGCATCAGCGTCAGAGTGTAAGGAGTAGTGTTAGGAATGGGGTTTGATTATGAGAATATGATTGGTGTGTGTAAAAAGAGAAGGGAGGGATGGATTATTATTTTTTATTTTATTATTCTGTGATTTGGTCTGAGGGCTTTCAACTGCCCCCTATTTTGTCGTTTACCTTTCCAACTTTCTGCCTTCTGAGTTTTTGGCATGATTTTTGTGTGTGCGTGTGTGTTTACTTCTGTAGCTGTCGTCACTCAAGTGTGTTGGTTGCTTGGTACTTCTGTGGTTCTTACTTGCTTTCACTTTCATTGTCTGTTCATTATCGATCTTGATCCTTGCATATTTTCTTCTTGTGTGCACCACTCTCACTCACCTTTTTTTTCCACAGGTAGTTGTGAACTTGTCACTCATTCTGTTTATTTCGACCTGTTTGTGTTTAATGTTACGTGCAACTCACCGTTTGTTGCCTTTGGGTAGTAGTACCACGCAATGTCTCTATTCACTGAATGTCGATTCAAGGATTTACGGTGTGAAGTTGGCGATTGTTTGAAAATCGTAAGAAGTGAGAAGAGCTGAGCTCTGTCGTCCTCATCACATCGAATCTATCTATACAGTCACACTTGACATGAAATCACGCATACACGTATTATAACGCATAGGTGGGACATATGTATGAGGCGTATACATGTGAATTGCGTAGGTAGATAGGGCAATACGAGACGAAGCGACGCAGAAAAGTTTAACCACGCTTCTTTGATACACCGACCGTCTTCCCGCGACGACCTAAGAAAAAAGAGAAAGCGTAAGTTTCCTGCCCAAACCAAACTTACGGGCACAATAGCTCGAGGAGACGAGGAACTAAAATCAAGTACATACCAGTAGTCTTCGTATGCTGACCCCTCACTCTCAATCCCCAGAAATGTCTAAGTCCACGATGCGCACGGATCTTCTTCAATCTCTCCAAGTCGTCACGCAACTTCGAGTCGACGTTGTTAGAGAGAATCTGGTAGTTCTTCCCGTCGTTGATGTCTTTTTGTCTGTTAAGGAACCAGACGGGGATTTTGTATTGCGTGGGGTTCTGGATGATGGTGACGATCCGCTCGAGTTCGTCTGAGTTGAGGTCACCCGCACTGGGTTATCGGCATCATTGTCGTCCAATCGAAATCGAAATTGAAGTTTTCCAAGATTCAAATAGAATCGACAGGATAAAACACGAGAATAAAGAGAAAACAGTAAAACATATCAGAACCGACTCACAAAGACCCCAATACACAAAAATACCACTCACCGTTTACTCAAATCAACATCCGCCTTCTTACACACAATATTCGAGTACCTTCGTCCAACACCCTTAATCTCCGTCAGCGCATACATAATCTTCCTCTTCCCATCGACGTTCGTGTTGAGCAAACGCAAGATATGCTGAAATTGCTGGTGCTGTTCTGGTAGGACGAGCGACATCTGTTGACAGTCTCAGTAATCCAACCGATAAAATGCGACAGAGAGCTTGAAAGACAGCCGGTATGGTGCTTGTTGGTAGTATGAAGGGGATAGAAAGGCCTGGAAATGTGTAAGGGGTGGATTAGGACTCACTTTGGCTTGCTGGTGGTCGTACAAGGCGTCGTCAACGGCACTCGACCCACGTCTTGCACTCTGGGCTGGAAACTTCCGGTGGCTGTGCTGTCACACATTCGATTCCCCTCATGTCCAACGACTGATTGATAATTCATTTTAGAAGTCGAGCGGATTGCAAAGATTATGAGTACGAGTACAACGCTCTAGAGCTACAATACACAAGAATGCAAAATGCAAGGGCGGATATGCGATGATATGTACAGACAGGGCAGGATACAATACTATGACTATGATAATTCCTCGTCAGAGTCAGAAATTGTCTCCTTGCTTTTACTACATGATAACTAGAAGTTAGAAGTTTGCGAGATTCAACGACGTAGAGACACTCACAATTGTTTTTTGCGGGGCGCAGATGCGGCGACCTCTTCGTCATCATCGTCGCGCACAACACGCTTCTTTTGTACTCGCTACGTGAAAGTCAGAAATTGGACATCCAGAATAGACCAGTGAAAACATACCTTCTTAGGCCGGTCCTCATCCTCGCCACTAAAGAGAGCTTCATCCTCTTCATCACTACCAGCACCCTCACCTCCGTTCGCCTCTCTCTCCTTCTTCAACTTACCCTTCCTCTTCTTCTTCCCTTCTCCATTCGCCGGAGCATCATCCCCACTATCTACAATACTCTCCACCTTCTGCCTCTTCGCCTTCCTCGACTTCTTCCCCTTCTCATCCTCATCGCTCTCATTCAAGTTCTTCGTCCACTCCAACACCTCCTCACGAGCCTTCTTCCGCTCCTCAGCGAGCTTCTTCGCATTTTCCTCAATCTGCGCTGCACGCAACTCTGCAGCTTCAGCTGCTTTGCGCTTTTCGTCCAAACGTTTTTGGCGGGCCTCGGCTAGTCGGGCTTCTTGTGCCGCTTCATGTTGTTCTTGTGCGGTGACTTGCTCATCTGCGCGACGTAGGATGCTTTCGCCATACTTTCGTCGCTGGTCTGCGATTTCGCGGCTATATGGAACGTTGGGTGACTTGTCTGCTGCAAGTGATGCGAACAATCTGTATGCAGTAAGCCGAATTAGCTCTTCAGCAACATCCAGTTTAGCATAGTGGGAACGTACTGTTGAGCATGTGCTCCATGTTCAACCACGCGCTTCAAGTCCGCAAGTGACCTTTTCGCCGGTGAAGTACCAAGAAGCATCTCAGCTGCCTTCTGCTCAATCATCGCCAAGTTATACATGCTGGCCTTCTCCTGCGGAGCGAGATGCAGTGCCCGTTGCGCGAACGAGAGTGCACTTTTCAGTGCTACAAACGACTGGTCCTTAAGAGCTTTCGAGTACCACGCTCGACACAGACAATGAATGATAGTAACATCCGGCCCAGACGCCGAGGCGCGTTTCGCGGCTGTCTCGTACTGCAGTCATATACATCAGACAGGAACTCGCAAAGGCGACTGAAAAAATGAACTCACGCTCTCGATCGCCCTATCAAATTCATCCCTTACGAAATAACAATGGCCCATATTCACATAGACGCTCGAGTCATTCATGCTCTCCCTCACTTTCGCAAAAATATCCAACGCTTCCCGGGCACCTTGCACTCGCCGCATCGCATCATCCTGGATAACCACGCCAGGCGCCTTTACCGGACCCAACGCATCTTCCGCAACGATAATTGCAAGACCTTGCGCAGCGATAGCGCACTTCGGGTCAAATTGCAAAGCACGTTCGTATATCTCAGCGGCACGTATGAAGTGTTTTCGTCGGTCAGCCGCACCAGCAGGTGAAGGATCACGATTCTCTCGAGCGGTGTTGAAGAAAGTCCAGGCAGCTGCACAGAGGCTGTATACGTCATGACTCGCACCTTCCTTAAGCGTTGTCGTTGTGAAGTCCCGCGCTAATTTGATTTGTTGACGTGAAATCAAGAAGTGCGACAGTGCAGAACGTAAGTTAAGGTTTGATTTTTGGGATGATAAAGCCGATTTGAGCCATTCGTGTGCATCGTCGTATCGGCTTAGTGATACCTGTAGCTGTGCTTGCCGGACCTTGGCTGCATAATCAATCGTTGTTAACAGTTTTTCGGTTATGCACTGATAAGACGAGTTTACCATCATTGTACTCCGGATGCCGGCCTAGCAGCTTATCATACGCATCTTTGGCAATAATCGTCTCGCCCTGATCCTCATACACTCGCGCAAGATTATACAGAACCGTCGTCGCCATACCCTCACCTACAGCACCCTCCATAGAGCTCGCCTCAGTCAATGCAATCTCGTACATCGTCCGAGCTTCAGCGAGTTCGCCGGCATTATGTTTCAGTACCGCTAAGTTATTGAGTAATCGAGGTTCTGGTGATCCTCCTGCTTGTACTCGCTCCTGCACGACGCGAACAGCCTCTTCAAGTAATCGACGCATTCGCGGCCGGTTCTCGTCCTGCCATAAACGCGCAGCCTCAACCAATAACTCAACATCATCCCCAAAGTTTGAGATCGCTTTACGATGTGTGTAAGCCTCGTCCTTTGAGCGCGTCCGGGTACCGCTTCCATTCAACCCCGCTGGATCAAACAGGTCCATCGCCTTCAAAACCTGCTCGTACAAATCACGAGCTTTTTGTCGTTCTTGCGCAGCGTCTGCAGAAGAGAAACCCGGTCGCGGGTACGCTCTGAGTGATGCGAGCAAAACGGTGGCTTCTAGACAACGCTGAGGATTTGGTGGTTGCATCAATGTGTCGAGCGTGTGGATGGCTGCCGGCATCTCATCTGCAGATATATGTCAATTATCTGTTGTAAAAAGGTGCAGAACTAGTAGTAACAAACCGGTTTTGATCTGAGTCTGGGCGAGACCGATAGCTGCAAGCACATTCTTCGGGTTTCCTTTTAGCGCTGCGTTAAAGTGTCGCATCGCTCCTGCCGATGATCCTTCCATCTGAGCAAGCCGACCAGCATGTATATGACCCGCACTGAACAACGCCAGAGTCTCGGCGAACTGAATCGTTCGCTCAGCAAGCTTCAAGGACACCTTCTTGTCGCCTCTTTGTAAAAATAAATCGAAGAGAACGTTTGCTGCAGCCGCGTTTCGGTTGTTCAATTTGAAAGCACGCTCGCAGAACTTGGTGCCTCGAATGAAGCTCTCCGTCCTTTCAGTATCGTCATCATCAGGATTTTTACTACTGTTGATGGCTTCGAGTCCCAAAAGGAGGCACGCTGACCAATTCGAAGGATGCTACAGTGACTCACAGGTTAAACATGAGCAAGTACTAACAAGGTTGAAGCGTGCTCACCACTTCCAAGCTCCTCTGCCAACATGCCTTCGCTTTTACCTTCTGGTCCATAGCCCAGAAGCACAACCCAATTCCAATTCTTGGATCAGGTAGTGCGTCAGGCTTCAACTCAAGCACTCGCTGGAACGTTCGAAGCGCCTGCGGGTACTGCTTGCGTGCATACGCAATACGCGCTTTACCAAGCAAAGCCACAATATTGGTCGGTTTTTGGTTGATCACAAGCGTAAAAGCCTTCATGGCATCGTCAAGGTCGCCTTTCGCGAGGTGAAAGATGCCTAAACTTGGGATGAAGTCATGAACACACGAAACAGGGACGATAATACTCACCTCGAATAAGAATAGTATTAAACCTGTATTTAGAATCACTGAAGTCGATCTGACCGAGATTCAACTGCCGAGCAGCTTTGTTATGATAAAATTCCTTAGGGTGTTCCTTCGTCAAATTATCCTGGCCTAAGTACAGAATAAATAAAACACACGAAGCTCAAAAGTCATGATTGATAACGTACGAGCATTTTCCAGAATTATTTTCGGCGCCTTCCTCGCACGCGCAAGTTGGATATTGGCCAAAAGTTGGTCCGCTGGTGTCAGCGCGGACTTAGGGTAACCACCCTCTACTCACAAGTCATACCACGTCCAAAAACACAGTGCAGAACAATGTCACTCACCATTGACGACAGCTTCAAGACACTTCTCTGCAGATTCGTACAGACCCATCTTACAGTATTCACACGCAAGGCGCGTCCACATCGACACGGTCGCATTGCTCTTCGCCTCCAGAAGCAAGTCGATGTAATCCTGTGGGTCTGGGTCGAGCGTGTCGAGATCGATGGCGACAATCTCCTGCCCGCTAAGTTCGACATCTATTGACCTATTCGGCGCTGGCGGTGGAGTTCCATAGTCGTCGCCTTCCATTGTCGTGGCTCGAGCAGTCGAAACGCGCCAGCACTGGTGCCAAGGACACTTAGGACAGACAGATGTTTGTTTCACGACTCGCGCAGATCTTCACTACGCTTACGTAAAACAATGCAGATTTAAAATTAACTCTCTAATTATTTCACAATCTACGCTAACTAGCAAAGATAATGAATGTACTTCACTGGTCTGTATAATGTTTCTGGACAAGGCCTAGGAGATATAGGCTTCGGGTTTACTTTCAAAAGAGAGTCTCCTTCGGAATTGACAATTTATTAGTATGCTTAATTGAGTTATTTATTTATTATTTATTATTATTAAAAAAGACTTTGAGAACATCTAGTTTAGAGAGAGGGTATAGATAGGCGGAGGGAGACATAAACTCACTACACTTACAGGCAGCAGAGGGGCGGGGGGATTGTACAAGTTAGTTATAGTGTTGTACAAAAGAATTCTAAAACAAGTCAAAGACACAAAGACAGGAATTGACGATGTTTTACCAGTTGGGAATAAATGCAGAACCAGTCGGCTCAAGCAGCAAATATAGAACAAGCAGATTAGTATATAGAAATAATACATTACCAATTGACAGTATAAAGAAACTTCCCTTTGTTCTGAATTTCTCAAGTTTAATCAAGTGAACTATGCTCTTTTCAGTTTATTTTCCTACACAATATGTCAGAATATTATCAAGCCTTAATATTCCTGGTCAATTCTATCATAACAACATGAAAACGAGTTCCTGGCTCACTCGAAGTATCTAGTGAAGGGGGTCATGTGCTAGGATGGTGCAATCCTCTACTTGTCTGACGTGCTAGATAACAAACTTTATCTCTATACAAATTTGGACATACCTACTGCTTTGAATGTATGATAAACATACAGAATACATAAACTTGACAGGTCCTCCAGATTAGTACGTCTCTGGTCACTAATCAATAGATGCTAGCTAGCCCGGAGTAATTGGTTCTCACTTGCCACAGTGTTATTCCTGGTCTTTGGCCTGCGACTGTATTGTATGTCCCTCATTGATATGTTTTGTCTGTGTTTGACAGATCCCTGCCGAAAACGTATTGGTCTCTAGCTACCCAGACTTGCTTTTGTGCAGCGAGAGGACAAAGTGATGACAGATTCAAGTATCAGTCAGTCATTACCTTGCTACACAATAGAATTGACAAATCACTCACCGAGGCTGACAAGGCTGACAGAGCTATAGCCATAAAAAGCGTTCTGCATTCCGAATAACCACTTGCCCTGATACAAACCTGCTGTCTACTTATACTTAAGGGTTTTACCGAATCCCGACTGTATTCCTATTGTAAATACCGTCCTTATACTCAATACATTGCAACACTTACATGTACATTGACGTCCAAATCCATACAGGTACCTATCTATTCTTAACCCTGTTAAGCGTGTCAATGCTCTGGATCCTGTCTTACACAGTTCCCCTTCTCACCGTGCTTCGCTGAAGGTAAAATACAAAGAAGACATGGTACACATGACCACCCAATCAACCTACCTAGAACACACGTTCGCTTCTAGATCCAGCATTCTACCGGGCAGTGACGACGGGTGAGAAGGAAAGCTGTGATACTTGCGGTAGGTAAACTGTGTATTTATTGGTTATTTATACACTTAGGTACGGGATACAGGAGAGGAGACGGCAGTGATGGTTTGTGTCGTAAACACGAACGTTGCCTGATGCGTGCCACCTGACATTGGTTCCCTCGGACGATCTTTAGGCCAGCTTCTCTCGAGGAACGTTCGCACTGTGATGTATCACAGTATAATCACCATGTACCCTAATAAAAGAAATCTCGGCCGCCGGCAGGTTAAACGCGTATACTTGTTGAATAGTCGTAACAAACATATAAATTATCGCCAGATGGACGGAAGAAACCACTCAATTGCACCCTCTTGGCGCTACAAACCAAAAAGGGGTTGAAGAAGCTGTTCCCAGCTTCGCATGTTTGAATATGACGATTGAATGCGGATGAATGGTGTTTGCTGATAAGAACCCCGTGCCGTGCGTTCTTGATGTTGATAAACTGGGTAACTTCGGGGTCGATGCCGAGAGGCCTTTTCTGGTGCCTTTCTGCGGCATTTATTTCTGGCAGAGGTAAACGTCTGAAGCCCAAAGGAATAAGTCAAACCAATTTCCATTGTCTGTAGAGCCAGGATTTGTTTGAGATATATCAACTGATTTTGTGGTGAAACTGTGAATGTATTAAGATAAGAGCCATTCGGTCTCTGGGAGAGAGAGAAAGGCATGTGGCATGGCCAGGTCAGGAATCGGACCGGAGAGATGATCGGAGATGGAGAAGATTTGTAAGACATACGAGGATGACTGATGGGATGACACAAGACTCCCGCGTCTGCCCTGCTCTCTTTTTATCCTCCATCTCCTCACAACCACCACGCATACATCCTGCCTTCACCCGCGTCATCCTCACCTTCATATATCCATCCCGTGCCCCGGGCACTGCTCGTCACCCACACGCAATCCTGTCTCTCAGTGGTGTCACTCCTCAGCTTAGAGTCTAATATATAAATATTGTCTAAATCGAGCACGCAATGGCGCCTTCCCCACTACACGGCCTCAATATCGTTCAGGCCGAGACAGCTTCCGAGCACTACTCTGACGCACAGGACCCCTTACTAGCCAACGCGCCCTTCCCAGACCTCGCGGCGCAGCTCGACCTCTGGTCGAACCTCACCTTCCAGACAGACGAGCCCCCACTTGCTCGCAAGGATGCTGGTGATCCGAAGAGTCCCCTAGTCGGCGATGATCTCAAGGATGAAGACGGAGAGGTAGAAGGACCCGCATCGCTGGAAGGACACGTGAATGCCGTTAACCCCACTGCTGTCTCTAATCCTCCCCGCTCCCAACAACAGCGGCAACAACAAGCGCCGGCGGGAATCTCACAGCAACAGTCACAGCACCCGCAATATGATGTCGGGTCCTTCCTCGCCGGGTTTGGTATCGACCCATTCCTGGTGCCGCAGGTCCAGACGGTCCCGACCCCACCGCAAGCTGCCACACTCGCCCAACTACTTGCTGCCTACCCATTTCCAAACGCGCCGTTCTTCCCGCAGATCCCATCTGCCATCGCACCTACCGCCTTATCTGCTACTCAACAACAACAACAACAGCAATCTACTCCCGCGTCTACTAGTGAGACATCAACAGGTGCACCACCCAAACGCGGACGGAATACCTCTCGCAAGTCTATCACTTCGATCAGTGAGAGTATTAACGACGACTCTCCTGACACCCCCACTTCCGCAAACGGCGAAGATAATAATGGCCCGGCACTCTCCCCCCAAGAAGACAAACGCCGCCGCAACACCGCCGCCTCCGCCCGTTTCCGTCTCAAAAAGAAAGAACGCGAAGCCGCTTTGGAACGACGCGCCGCAGAACTCGAGTCCCGCGTAACCACCCTCGAACGCGAGTGCGAGGGGCTAAGAAGAGAGAATGGTTGGTTGAAGGGCCTTGTGGTGGGCGTTACGGGTGCTAGTCAAGGCGCTTCTGTCGTCCAGCAGCATCCTCACCAGCAACAAAATCAAAATCAGAGTCAACAGGGGAGTGGAGTGAAGAGGAAGAGAACAGTTGAAGGAGGGAAGGAGGACGCTGCGAAGAAGCTTGTTTCTTGATTCTTTGCCTTTTTTTCTTTTCGTTTTCTTTCCATTCTTGAAATGAGTATATATTGTCTTGTCTTGTGTGTAAATAAAGATCCATGACTTGACGATGTAGTCCTACTATTTCCCTTCTTCTATACTTACTTGATCCCTCCTAAACTCTAAACTCAGACACATTATATCGTTTTACCCATTCTTGTCCCATTGCTCCACCTTATGCCAATATTACAACGTAGGCGAGAAACAGTAGTATGAGTACGAGTCCGACACGAGCCGTGACACAATGCACAAGTAAATGAACAAATGTCGACCACTCTCATAAAAAATCCTATGCATATCCATACCACACCTACAATTTCCCCTTGATCAAACCAAACACTATTTTAGATGCAGATATAGATAGACGAAGATAAAGGATGGGCACAGCCCCAAGCTGATATATGCGTCGTATTTCTAGCAGTAATACTATCACCACTGTATTGCTTATATACTATAAGAGGCTAAAAAGAGAGGACATGATCGTCTACAATCACATCAAGTATGTACGTTATGTTGGTTAGTCGGTTGGCTGTTGTTTCAGTCAGTGAGTAAGTCCGTAACTTCGGTGGCGAGTCGTCTTAGTCCATCCCATTCCACCTCATCTGCATCTAGCAGTCACTTATCAATCCTACAATCCACCTCTAATCTTCCACCTTCTCTTCAACATACACGAGGACGAAGACTCTAGACCTTAACATCAATGAACTCGCGTTGTCCAGGCGTAGCCTGGTACCCCGGTAAGGACCCTGCAACGCTCATACGCGGCAGACCCTCCTTCCCCGGAGCGTACGGGTAGAAGTAGGCGTCTGAACTGTCGGCGGGTGGGTTTATGTACTGGTAAAGATTCAGGTTCAGATTCACGAGAGAAGGTAGAAATTTTTTAAAAAGTACTTACGGATGGCATATACGCATTGGGATGGAACAACGACGGTTTGGCGTTGGGAGGAGCTGTAATCGTCACGACCTACATTATATCCAAACACAAAGCCAAAAACCCAGCCCGGAGTCGAAAGAACACAGTATAGTTAGTAGGTGATTGAACGAGAGGAAGGAGGACATACACAAGTCGACTTGAACACCGTCGGCATCTTCGCTTTCCACACAGGAACGTACCCGCTAGGAGGCCTCGACGCACGGTCGGATCTCTCCCATGCCGACGTGAGGTTACGGAGACGTCTCTTTCCCTATTTTCGTCCCAAAGTCAAAACCGCAAGGCCAAGTCCCAGACAAGTCCGAGTCGGATGACAGGCCAGACACATATAAGTAAACATTCAGACGAGCTAGTTAGCGTGGATACGAAGCAAGAAAGGGCAAGACCCAAGTACGCACGATAGCCTTCCAAATAAGCACCGGCGCCCAGAAAAAGATGAATGTCCCTACAAACACCGCAAACGACACAAACCGAGCTTCGAAGTAATGTTCCGCCGTATGCTGTTCATTCGTAAACATCGCGTCGAAGATGACTTGATACAGCGCGAGGGGGAGGATGATCACAGCACTAACAAAAAATAACGATAAAAATCATTTCGAAGTTAGCTTTCGTGCAGAACTAGGTTGAGGAAGGACGTACAGAGAAGCAACGATAATCCACACACGCTCAAACATCGGGTGGTAATACCGAAACGCAGTGTCCCGCAGGGTTGTCATGCGCATAGTCCAATCATCCGGATAAATCTAAGAATGTACAAATGCAGAATAGACACCGACGATTTAATATCATATAAGCGCCATGACCGTTGTCTGGAGTGTACGTACGTGTTCGTGGAGTTCGTAGGGTACTATATCCGGTACCGGTTGCTTTGGTGAAAGATACTGAACGACAGGATGATTAATCAGCGTTAGAATATGAAATGACAAAAGAAAAACATAAAATTTCGCGAAAGGGACATACTACAATGACTTTATCCTCTTCACGGCGCGCCTGCCCGCCAATGCCATTGAAGTCTCGGTATTGCATTTTGCACTTAAGTTCTCAGATGTTTACGCAAAATACACTAACAGTGAAAAAGTAAGCAATTATTAATATCGTTAAAAGATAAAAGAAAATTGTAGATGAAAAATGAAAGGAAAGTGAGACAAAACTAGACGCACACAATTCGTATTTGAAAGGAAGGACGCAGCGGGATCAACCACTTGCTTTGACGCTATAAAGAGTGAGCGACGGAGATCTTGAGTGTCGAGATATATCGAGAGCGTCAGCGAGTTACAAGTGAGGCCAGCCTCTGAGTCCTAGTATCGTAATCCCACACGAAAGGGAGGAAGGAGATAGCGGTAGAAGGTAGGAAGGAAACGGATAAAGGGGAGAGGAGAGAGGGCGGTGGAGGTGGTAGTGGTGGTGGAACAGAAAGAGAGAGAGAAAGAACCGAGAAATCAGAAAGGGAGCCACAGCAATAGTCACAGCAGTACTCGCCCGCCGTGTTTGTCGCAGTGGAGGTGCGATTCGGGCCCTGAACAGCAACAGTAACGGCAACAGGGACCACTGGTGGATACCAAGTTACCAACCAGCCAACCGGGGTTACTACCCAGGGTCCCAACGCATCATCAGTTCCGCCTGTTTACCGTTTTTACCTAAAAGAATTTATTTTTAAATATAGATAGTGGTGCGTAGCCACGGAAGATACCAAAGCAGTGCATATGAAGTTGTGAGCATGCCGAGGTGGTCAAGTGGTCGTTAACGGCAATAGCTCCCTTTGTGTCTTTTTACCAAACATGTCTAGTCTGTGTGCTTCCGACGATCAGTTCTTGGGAATTTTGGAAGCCGCCAAGCCGAAGTCTAGACACATTTTCACCAAGAACTCCCCAAATAAAAAATCCCTTGCGATTCGGAATCAAAAGCAGGATTATTATTAGAAATACATGTATCCCTACACTTCCAAGTAACACATGATAAGAAATATTGCTAATGCTAATATATAACAATGGAACAGAAGTGCAAAGCACATCCCTCTAACAAAGGGTCAACACTGATAAAACATACACACAAATTAACAAATTCAAAGTTCCAAAGTTCCAACAGAAATACCCCGATTCGGGTACAAAAATAAGACGCAAGTGAGCAATACATTGAAATCATAGCTATCAGGCGTATCAAGCGCACCACTCCAATTCGTGTCGAGGTCGACGCGTGAGATTCTTATGATGGAAAGCAGGCTTGGACGGCATCAATGATTGTAACGATATCACAACCATCTACCGTGACAGACGTACAGTTCCGAGTAGACACGCGATGGGATCTAGACGACTGTCATTCATTTTCGATTAATCATGTCGATACAGACGATCAACGTATGCTCGTTGCTCACCACAATTCAGACAGATCGTTGTCTGCTTAATCCACAGCAGCTTGCCGCAATGTCCTCGGAAGTTCCATTTGAGGTGACGGTTTAAGCTGCTCGGTCTGCAACGGCACCATCGGTTCCAAATTAATATCATACGCCCCGCCTTTGACGCCCTTTCGTAATGTCTCAATTGACGTAGAAGAGGTTCGATGTGAATTCTGTCTTAAACGCGGGCCTGATATCGTCCGCTTTCGTCTTCGTGGTGAAGAAGCCGTAGTTCCGAGAACGGACATCTCGTGCTCTTGGTCTATGTCACTGGAGCTTTCGCTTGCGTTTGTCGTGGACGAGGTTTCACTTGAGTCCGTTGAGAGGCGAGGGAAAAATAGGTCGCGTGACGGGAGGGGAAGGGAATGTAGTAAGGATGAAAGTGCTCCTGAATTGGGTGATTCAGTGCGTATTCGTGGGGGAGTCCGTACAGGCGAATATGACATTTGCTCGGATTGAAGCGATGGAGATGGGTGAGATGGAGGTGGGAAGAAAGCCAACTGGGAGGCAGGTATCCTTTGTATGACAACGGAAGAGCTATTTGAAGAACTTGAAGCATCTACAGGAACTTCGCCATTATCTGTTTCATCTCTTTCGTCTTTTCTATGTTCCTGAAGAAAACGATTCAGTAGAGAAATTTACTTAGATACGAGAATCTGACTTACATCTGCACTATAGTACAAGTGTTTCTTGCTCGATAAATGAAGAGGGATGTAAAGCACTTTACGAAGATGAATCGGATCCGAAGCCCAAAGATGATTCGCCTTTCGTAGATCCGGAAGTGCAATGCCATATTTCAAGGCCACACCAGCCATAGAATCTGTTTTCAGCACCTATAAAGGCCACATCAATACCAATTCAAACAACTGTAGATATCATAGTAATTTGCTCCCGTACCTCATGTACAACCACCATAATCTCCGCTTCCCTAGTAGACTGCTCGCGAAATAAATTCGGATCTCCTTCAGAAGAACCTTGCTCTGATTCATGGAGATCACTTTCACTGCCTAATCGCCTCCTTAACGAGGGTCGAGTGATCCCGCCATCTAATGAACTCGTTGTGGACAGCACAGGAGATTGGAGAGGATGTGAAGATACTGATCCATCTATAGTCGATATTCGTCGGTGTGCTCCTGGTTTTCGACTCCTCAGACCGTTGATTCTCTTTGGCGATGGTAAGGGAGAAGACGACACCGAAGGCGCCGGAGAAGACTGCGTAGATGTAAATCTCACTGCTGCTTTCGGGCTTCGACTAAAACCATTTTGAAAAGCAAGACGAGACCGTGGTGTCGTGGCAGTAACAGGGCTGGCAGTCGTGGATCCAACACCATTCACATCGAGTGTTTCTCCAGCATTATTAATGTTAGAGTCATTATCGTCCCACGGATTTCCGTTTACTTCTCCGTCGTTCGCTCGTAAGTACAGGTCGTCGCGGGCATAGATCATAGGACATGTACGCGAGCTGACGCTGCGAGAATTGTAACTGGCTAAGGAGCTGGCTGACGATGGAGAGGAAGCGAGCGAATGGCAGCCAGCGAGGTGAAGCGACGATCAGCCGATCATGTGCCGCTCGTTAACCATACCTGGACCCTACACAATTTTGGGTTTTGGATCACGCATCCACCATTTCCATTGACGATGACGAGGTACACAAATCTCGGGAGGAAGAGGACCTTCCTTGAAGCTGGATTCGGAGATGCAAGCGACAGAGCAGCAGATGACATTGAGAACGAACCAGTCCCAGGCACCTCGGCGAACCCGTCCAACGATAAACCATCGAAGAAACGCAAAAGGACGAAGCCCAAGCAGTCGAAGAAGAACGAACCTATTTCGACAGTGACTCAACACGAAGAAGGTGGATTTGAATCGAGAGACGGTGAATCGAGCCAAGAGGTAAAGAACGCATACGCAAATCGAGACGAAAATCGAAAAAGTGCGCCCTCACAAAGTTCCACTACATATAAAGCACTGATGAGCAATTTATCTCGGTCTAATTTCAGAGGAAGCCGATCGTACTGTACGATCGGAACAACGGCGAATTGAACGAATAAAAGAGAAACGAGCGAATACGACGTGCTTTGCATGCCGACAAAAGAGACATCCAGCAAAAGAATGTCCAAATACGAAAACTGGAGATACCACTTCCGATAAAGGCAAGGCAAAAAATAGTGCTGTTATATGCTATCGGTACGTACACGACCATACACCACTTATCCATGTTAACAAATAAACCTGATCATTTCTTGACTCAGTTGCGGTTCCTCAAAACACATCCTATCCCGATGTAAAAAACCAGAAAATCCTAACAGTCCTCTACCTTACGCATCATGCTACGTATGTTCTGGAAAGGGTCACATCGCATCTTCGTGCCCGCAAAATCAAGATAAAGGTATATATCCGAATGGAGGGTGTTGTAAGTTATGTGGAGAGAAGACGCATTTGGCAAGAAATTGCCCTACAAGGCAACAACGTAAGCACTATCACACACCTCATTGTTACTGCTGGATTCTCGTACGCTTCACTGAACTGGTGTGCGCTCCTGCAGTGAAAGAATCAAGTTCGTTACTGGTAGGGACAGGTCAGAATGCTGGGGCAGATGAAGATGATTTCCACTCATTCAAGCGCGTGAATGCTGAAGTTGAGGTAGAGGAACAGGAGGAGGCGAAGGCGAAGGCAAAGAAGAAGAAGGTAGATGTCTCGGTGGGTACGATGGGCAAGGCGGTCAAGTCGCTTGCAATGCCTCCTCCAGCTACGACCAAGAAGAAAGTGGTGGTTTTCTGAGGTCGTACTGTACTGTGCTGATAGCCACTCAAGCCATAGTTTCTTCAACGCTGCACTCTACCAACCAACCGAAAAAATAAAAAAAATAAAAAATAAATAAAACAACATGCGAGCTTTCAAGGGACCATAGCCCGGGAGTCATACTATCCAAATAAATATCCTGCTTTTAGTTACAATAAGTCGGACTCGAAATATTCGAACTTCAGGTAACTTGATTACGTAATCGTATACGACGTTTATCACATGTTTTTATTCCAAGTCTGCAACGCCTACCTTACAATCCAGTGTTCAAGTTGCATTGATATCATATTCCCAGGCACCAAAACTACTATTGAAAGCAACTGAACAGAGTGACATGAGCATAAATTTGAGCTAAGTCATCATGTGATAGGTCTCAGATACTCCACTGTTCAAAGCTAACCCAACAACAAAAAGAAATAGAAATCAAAGGCGATGACACTGAAACAAGGGTCAATACGGATAATCTCCCAAAGGAACCTACTTGTCTAAGTTGCTTAGCTGTTTACGATGCAATAATAACAAGAAATCCAGTACTTATTTCCTTTCTTGTGACTGGGAAGCATACACGAGGGTGGTGAAAGATCTCAAACCAATGAGATCGGGTACAGGTACAGGGCTTTGAATGGAGTGGAGGCAAACGCCCATTGTATGGATCTTTCAAGACGCAAGACAATCGAGGGATCTACTCTCATTTTCGTACAGTAACAAATCTTAGAAGGCAAAATTGAACAGGTAGAATGATACTAGTACATGAAGATGTCTGATGTCAAACGGTACAGCAGAGCAAAAACGAGTTCCGATAACTGTCCTTTAGATTACCTCCGGTTCCTTGCCTCGATGAATTTGTTTCCGTCATATTCAACACAGGGTCAGCCGGGTTGTCCTGTTTTCCCCAATTAGGCATTTCCTAATTTGGAAATCAATCAATCGCCTGTCTTCGAAGCTAATGTTCCAGGAATCCCGACAAACAAATGAAATGAGACTGTCTCTCAGTTAACATCACAGAGACACCCATACTAATGTAATGTATTAGCTTTGAGAGCTTCTGAATAATATGACCAGCGAAAATCACTGGAATAGTTATTGTACTTCAACCCAGTGCAGAGTCGATTCCCTTCCGAGACCATTCAAGGCTGCTTCCGTTTCACAGATTAGAAGATGCACTGCAGCATCAGTTATGCGGCAAAGAACAATACTTGCAATTGTTGAACAACAGTTGGAAGACACTTGCCAAGGGAAATGGTCTCGTGTGCACGCAGTGCAGGGATCGACACTGGTCGAGGCCCCAGTTACTCCACTATTCCACTCCTCTCACAGGAACGCAAAATGCTATATAAATGAGCCCGTAAATGTTATTTCGTTCAGCACTCATCCAACTCACATCCAACTCATCACTCAATCCCCGTTATACGCGCTCGTAAACTCACACACCCTAACACAAAACTTACGGAGACATACACTTGCAAAGATGATGATCCGTCGCGACGAAATGTCCCCCGAGATGTGGGCTGCGATGTGCACACCCATTAACGAAGTCATTGCTGCCGACTCCCGAAAGGGGACAGGCGCACTTTACATCGGCTCGTGGTTCGCCAGCGTCGACCCCGAGTTACTAGCAACATACAATATTCAACAAATTGTCGCAATCATCGACAGCAGTATGTGCTTCGTGCCGCCTTCGGAGGGCCGAGGCGCATATAAGATCCCGCTTGAGGATAGTTCCCGAGCAGACTTGAAACCCCATCTCGACGGCGCTTGCCGCTTCATCGCCGAGCAGCTCGAGAAGGGTAACAACGTCCTCGTGCACTGTCAACAGGTGGGTTAGCTTTGCGCCTGAAGTAAAACATGTCCCGTAATAATAATCTTTCCCTCCAGGGCATCTCGCGCAGCGCATCCATCATTGTTGCGTACCTAATTCAGGAAGAAGAGATGAGTTACGACGAAGCACTTGCAACGGTGAAGAGCAAGCGGCTGTGTGTGCAGCCCAATTGCGGGTTTGAGCGGACCCTGCGAACTTGGGAAAAGGAGATCCGACAGACGAGCTGTTGTTGACGAGGGACATATGCATTATGATATACTATACCCCACAGACATATCTTGCACGACATGTAAATTATGGCAATAACGATATTACGGACGGATGTGATTCAATGAAAATGAGGATCGCGCGTCTGACTCTGAATTGCGTGACCAAGCCAAGCAAGAGAATGACGAATCAGGAACATTTTACGTAAATCGCGTCACCTTCCGAAAAGGGCTGGCATCAGGCGTGCGTCGCAGGCCACGATCCCGACGACATCCACGGCGACGACGACCACCCATTCTCCGCCTCAAACGACCCAATTCACGGCTCAATCTACTCCTTTCTTCTCGCTAATTACCTTTCATCCATCTCCGGAGCCTCTTACTCGCTGAGCCCTTTGTTCCGACCGTGGGAAGATAACGACGACGACGGCCTCAAAGGCGAAGGTTTCATTGACGACCTTGCTTTCTTGACTTAAAAGCGCGACGAGAGCGAGAGGCGCAGTGCAAACAAGTCTCTTGTATATCACGTGGAAGGAGGCGGACTTGTGGACGGGCTCGTCAGTTCACAAAACAAAGGGTGAACGTGGCGGGTGATGACGGTGACACAGCGAAAACGCGTGCAGGTTCCAGACGAGATTCAGGGTGCGTTTCGCTCTTCAGCCGTGTTGCCTCTCTATGGCGGTCATATTCTCTCTGGGTTGTATCTTTTGAGTGTTCTGCTTACGTAAACATCGATTACAGCTGTCTCTGAACCTGGGCTACAAATTCACTGTGACTCGTGCTCGCGCGACCTAACCCACTCGATACGCATCAAATGTGCTGACCCGGTGTGTGAGGCGGATGATGGAATCGACATCTGTCCATCCTGCTTTTGTGCTGGCAAAGAATTCAAGTCACATAAACGAGGGCATGCTTACCGAGTAGTGGTATGTTGCACGACTAAAGTGTACCGGCTGTCTATGACCTTCTGTAAAAAGGAATTACATTCGTATCCTATTTTTGCGGAGGACTGGGGTGCAGATGAGTAAGTCTGAGCTGCGGTTGCTCTGTTTTGCGAATTGATACCAATTTTCCTCTGAATTAGGGAGCTCTTGCTAATTGAGGGAATCGCCCTGCAAGGCCTCGGGAATTGGCAGGAGATTTCGAAACACGTTGGAACTCGAACGAAGGAAGAAGTGGAAGAACATTATCGAAATGTCTATATCAATTCCCCAAATTGGCCTTTACCAGTACGTTTATCTATTGCTCCACTTTTCGGTTACCCTCATAATGTTGAGTAGAGAATGGATCTGTCTTTCGACGTGGACCCATCCGTATTTCACGAACGAAAACGAAGGCGAATATCTTCTATGACAGCTGCCGTAGCAAATTCGAAGCCCGTTCCTGCGCCAACATCAGCTCCTGGTGTACACGATGTGGCGACATTTCTTCCAGGACGACTCGAGTTTGAACATGAGCTGGACAATGACGCGGAAGATCTCATTAAGGACCTTGAATTTGGCGTTGTGCGTGAATATGGCGGGGATCAGCTGCCTATCGATGAGACAGACGTAGATGTTATTGCCCGTGCGAAGCTTGATGAGGAGAGACGAAGAGGAAAGGAACGCGGGCGAGGGATTATTGGGCCCGACGGGAGGGAGCAGAGCACAGATAGTACGGACGTCATGGCTTCTCTTATAAATGGCTACGATATCGCGAACGGACATGCAGAAGTCCGTAGGGGGAAACTTGCGAAGGAGGAAGAGAAGAATGGGAAGGATGTGAAGGATGGTCAAGGGGACGGAGAACCAGAGGAACCCGTTTTACCACCTCCCCTTGAGACACGTGATTCGATCAATTTCAAGCTCTCACTCCTTGGGATGTACAACCATCGCATCGAAAAGCGACTCGAGAATAAAGCGATCATGTTTGATCGTGGCCTACTTGAGTATAAAAAGGTTGGTATTCCTACTTCTACTATACATGAGCCTTATGTTAACTATGCAAGCAGATGCAAGCGAACGAAAAGAAGCGACCCAAAGAGGAGAAAGACATGGTTCAGCGTCTCAAGCCTCTCGCAAAACTGCAGACGTCACAGGATTACGACAATTTTGTGGACGGGATTCTTTGTCTGTCTTTTACTATCTATTGGGACATCATTTTGGCTCATGCTTTCTTTTTTTAGATGAATGCGTCCTCCGCAAGAAAATACAGGACCTGCAGCATTACCGTAGGATGGGCCTCAAGACAGCTGCCGACATCGAACGATATGAGGCAGATGTACAGAAACGGGTGAGTTGTCGCTCTCATCGTCTCTCGGAGCTCCTTCTCATTGAGATGTACAGGCTCAAGCAAAAGCCAACCTGGCCGCTGGGAGCTCCTACGTACAGCTCCGCGTCGGCAGCAATCGTGGCTCTGCAGGACCTGATCCACGGAGGCAGGGGAGTGTGGCGTCTTTCCAGGAGTCGGAAGGCGCGAGAGAAGTTGAGGCACCCATTCGTTCCAGTGCACCAGGATCAGGCGCAACCTCGTCCTTTATACGCAAGCAGCGTACGTCATCCGGCATCCTCCGTTCCTATCACTCCGTGGGGCTCACTCCATTATTCTCTTTTACATAGCTGCACCAATTAGCCTCGCCAATAGTCCTTCTGTACACCTCCTCACTGCCGCGGAACAAGCGCTTTGCTCTCAACTCCGTATTTTGCCGAAACCGTACCTTGCGATGAAGGAGATACTCGTACGTGAGTATGCACGACGTGGTGGACAACTACGTCGGCGCGAAGCACGCGATCTCCTTAAAATTGACGTCAACAAGACGAGTCGTGTTTGGGATTTTCTATTCCAGTCGGGTTTCTTGAAGCCATCACTTGATGATCGGGAAAATGCTAACAATGCAGAGACTCCGTAAGTGATATGATGCTAAAGTCATTCCTTTCGTCGCGCGCATCTAATCTCAAATTCAACTTTCGACAGCGCATCCACAGTGAATGGCTCGACACCCTCCTTAACCCAGTCTACCTTGTCTGGGTCCACTAACTCCACTTTCACAACCCCACGGACTTCTTATCCTCCCTATAACGCTCCTAACCCTGGACCCGTGAAAGAATCAATGTTCATACCACAGCCAATCACATCTTGGCCTCAAGGATAGTCCATACTTATCATATTCTTATAACATCTTACTTCTTAATGTCTCTCATGTTTGTACCTTTAAGTGTTTTTATTACTTTTTTCATTTTTCATTTTTTTTCTACCTTTTTCCTTCTACTACTTTCGCGCTTTCATTTTTCGTACTACGCTTTCAATGCATTCTGTACCATCGTTGTGTCAATCGGAATGCCTACTTTTTGCAGATACGCATCATTCCTTGTGATGACGGTGTAAGTGTTTGAGGTGAGGGCACAAGCGAGCAAATACGTACCAGAACTGCCATTTGCGAATAAAATTCGCGGGGAAAATCCAGATGTTAGTTGTTATTTCTACTGAGAGATAAAATGGCCAAACCTTTGAGTGATGACGCGACCCTGAATCACACCTAGAACAAAGCAAAACGTCACGTCAATCAAACTCATCTTCCTTCAAAAGGTGTCGACCTACAGAATAGTCACAATGCGCTCCCCATTAGACCAGCCCATTTTCTTTGCCAGTTTGACACACGCGAAAAGATTACAAGCGCTACTGGAGCCCAAGAAAAGACCGTCGTTCAGCATGACATAGCGGGACATGGCAACTGCTTCTGCGTCCGTTATTCTTCATTTGAGTTGAATTAGGATTCATCATACGAGAGTTTCGGTAGATCTGGACTCACCGGAATGCATCATCAATTATATGCAGTGCGAGTTCAAAGTTGCTCGTCAAGCGATTGATTCCTCTGACAAGAAAAGCAATGAGAGAAAGAAATGATGCAAGGGTTGCTCGGTGATCTCACATGCCCTCCACGACCGTGTCTACTTGATGTCGACGTTTCGTTCCCTCCCTTTCCTTTGCGTCATACATGACGCCGAACTTGACCTAGAATTTGGGCATTAAACCAACGTAACAGCCACTTCTTGGAAGTAGGTGCTTCAAGCACCTTGTTGTAAAGTCCCGAACCGTCAGGGTCACTCAAGACGATAAGGACATTGTCATCCATATCTTTCAGGAACTTGCCAGTTCCAGCGATGGTCCCACCCGTACCTATCATACCTCAGTCAAATTTCCAGTTCGGTTTAGGGAGGCATAGAAAGACGAACCGGCTCCGGAGACGAAGGCTGAAACTTTTCCATTTGTCTGTCTCCAGATTTCTGGACCAGTGCCGTCGTAATGGGCCTCGAAATTACTCAGATTCTGCTCGAAGATGTCACATTCAAACTCAGGTGAACTCAAAACGATACGGATCCTAAGTCTTACCTCGAACTGATCCGCGAAGAAACCTCTTGGCTTTGTTTCAAGATCATCCTGGCGTGTTCCGTATGCTCTTTCGGCTTCTGGTTCTTGCGCCTTTGAAGTGACTACAATGGTCGACGAGCTGGGGAACGACGTCTCGGGCGATCCGATAGAAGACTTCACGGCTTCGACGACGTCCGTTCCTCCGAATTCTCGTGCTCGTTCTCTAGCCAGGTTCTGGGGCGTTACTTTCGTAAAGTATTGTAACAAGTTAAACAAGAGATAAATGACGCACAACGAACTGAGAAAAAGTCCTATTAGTTCATCTAAGAGAAAAGATATTGGGGAACTAAGAGGCAAAACTAACCTGTTTTTTGTCAACAATACTAGCCGGTCGGACCCGCTCAATCTGAGCGCCCAATGCTTCCAATGCCTTGACTTTTTCCTCTGCTACGTCATCAGGCATTATTATTGCTAGGCGTGTAAATTTATTATCCGTGCGGTTGACTGTACCAAAATAAACTTACTAGTCTCATATCCACTGGAACATTATAGAAGAGTTAGTCTATATCCGATAAAATCCACGGAACTTGATTACCGAGCACGAGCTACTGTTGCAATGGATATACCAGTTGATCCAACGGTACCTTCAAATATTCGGGAGCCAGTGTACGGATGAAGCAACCCATCACTTTCCGCATCATCGATCACTGTTCAAAATAGAATCACGAACGTCTTGTAGAATGATAATATTATAGTATTACTTCGTTGAGCAACGCGGTCCTTGACGCTTCCGCCTGGATTAAGATACTGTCGAAAAGCCGAGGTAAATAGTGCGTCTTTCCCCATAGTCAATTACGGACCTCTGCTTTCCCAACGATTTCTACTCCTAAGGCATTGCTAAGCGAATTTATACGGACAAGAGGTGTGTTTCCTAAGCGAGATACCTCAGAGGAAGCTTAAAAGATCGAAGTGACATACTCACCAATGAGTCCCGAAACACCTTTGACGATTTCGTCGGTCCTTACTTCTATCGGTCTTTGTGAAAACGAAAGGTCAGGCAACTCTTGGCCTTTGCTCTTTCTGCGCGTCCCATAGAATTTATATAGACTTGCCGTGCTCAGGCTTAGAGAGACGCCAATAAGGATTCCCAGAAGGAGTCGACCTACACCAGTACGAGCAGTCCATGTCTGACCCAGAATACTCATGATATTTACTAGATCTTAGACACGCGAGGTGAGGTATCAAGTTAAAGAATATTAAGTCGGAGTTCGATGATGTCAGGACAGTGGTCCGTGCGTGGGAGTTCACCTTCCCCATTTGGACGCCTCCTCCCTTTCACCAGAAGAGCAACGAGGTATAAAAGGGTACGTCTTCGCTTCCTCCCATCACCAGCGCGCCCCCGCCGCATCGTCGTCGCCGTTGAGTTCGGCGTCGAGTATTATGTCTAATAAAATTGTGGTAAGCTGAACACTATTCTTCATGGAATGGTGCAGCTGGTGACACTAGAGTTGAGCCTGCAATTTATCGGGCCATAATTGACGATGTAATTACCAACATAAAAAGCGACTTTGATGACTTCGGCGTTGGAGAAGATGTACTGAGTGACTTGCAGAGCGTGAGTCCGCCGTGCTCGTTTCGAGCGCCGGGACTTCTTACTCGAAAGCTTACACGATTAATTGCAGAGATGGGAAAACAAGGTGATTGCGTCTCATGTTGCAGAATTCGAACCGCAGCCACAAGTGCCACAAAATGCGCCTCAACATACATATCCACCACATGTTCCGCATCCTGCACTTCAGCCGCAAATACATGCTGCATACCCTCAATATGCTCCACCTCCACCACCTCCTCAATCACACGTGAAGGCGGAACCTGTCGAGAACCGTTTCCCACTTCCGAGTAATTTGCCCACCTATATTCCGCAATTACCGGGTCCAACTTTGCCTGGACCCCCTCGTCCCCCTTCTATCCCAGCTGGCGTCCAGCATCATTATGGCACGACGCCGCAGAGTATACCTCCTCGTCCTGCATATACACAGCCTTCGGCCTCGGCGCCCGGAAATACTACACAAGCATCATCTCAAACACGTATTCCTCAAGTTGACGGACCGTCTTCTTCTGCATCCGATTCATCGTCTCCTCCTCAGAGCCAAACTTACGCACCACCCCCTCGTTCGTTGCATCCTTCTTTACCCCAGCCTTCTCAGGGCCAAATTGGCGTGGCGGACTCCGAGGAGATTAATTCAGATCTGGATGACTCTGACTCGGATAGCAATGAAGAAGAGCAAGAGGGCGCTCTTGGAGAAACCGATATTGTATTTTGCACTTACGATAAGGTCGGTTCTCTTCTTTTCTCTCAGTATTTGACGATTCTTGGTTCTGCATTGATCGGTATAGACATAAGAGCTAATGACTTCTCGTCTTCCAACTCTAGGTCGCTCGCGTAAAAAACAAATGGAAGTGTGTATTGAAAGATGGTATGATACACGTTAACGGGAAGGACTACCTGTTTGGCAGATGCACATGGTTCGTATTCCCGTCACAGTCGCGTGCTTTTTCCATATCATTGCTAACTTATACTGTTCAGTGAATTTGAATGGTAATTGTAGTCTAGGGGGCTGTAGACTTTGCCCGAGTTGTCTTTCGTTTCTTGTCCGCCATCTATATTGCCAAGCACCGTCGTTTCATTATTTACCGCATGTACTCATGACCTGCAATTGCAATCCATTATAGTCTTATTGACCTAAACCGTTTGAAATTAGCGCTCATGAGATTAAGTCCGTCTCACGCAAGGAATGCAAAGGTCGCTAGCTCCCAGACTGTCGGCTAATCCTGGTTCCCGTAAGTATTCACTACGTCCGTCCGTTTGTCGAGTTTCAGGGTGTCATCATGTTAAGATAGGGAGAACCAGAGTCTTGACTTCGACGCGGCGCGCGTACTTGGCCATAAATTCTCGAATACATTTCGGCGAGTCTTTCCTCCCTCCACCGGCTTCTCGCTCGCTTCTCTCTCATTAGTCCTCGAAAATCGGAAGCCAAGCTTCCGATTGAATTAGAGAACGGGGTCTATGATCAGGTACGCCGTATCCAGCGTGGCGTGCTAGTGCTCAAAATTTAATAAGAGTTCGTCTTGTTAGCCTGTTTTCCCCGAGAAGACAAGGTCTACGAATGACAACCACCCCGAAACTACACGATCACCCCAAACACACACCAGTAGTAAATTGAAGGCCATCTTGCTATTCCGTGGTTAACCGCTCTGGCTAACTAGTCGGTGCGGACGTCATTACTTACCTACGATTTGCTAACCACGATCTCTCGAAGTCTAGATTCAACAGAATTTCGCCTACTAGTGCTGTTCTCCCGTCGAGGTCTGCCGTAATAACCCGAAGTGCACTTTACACGTAAGGTTCCCCATACCTTTATTACTTGGTACACCAATGCATCTTCAAGATCTCGGACAACGGACGGTGTCAAGCCCGTATCGGCTGTTGTAAACTTTCTACGCTCTGCCAGTTCGCCGTCGCTGCAACCCTGCGATTTGCCACGATCCTCGCACCCGCAAGATAGCATGGCAGCTTTAAGCTTCAGTCATGAATATCTATTTTTACAATACCATACAAAAATATAAACTGTTGCGTCATGACAAAAAATGGAAGGAGAAAAGCTCACGGAGGGTATTCGGACTGCTCTAGAGTGAGTACGGCAATCGGTTAAGTTTGAATGCAAAGTACAAAAAGCTTCTTTCTTAAGGGTAACTTTGGCTAATTATAGTTACAGTGCGTTGATCGCAATGATAAAGGTGCCTCGAGGTACACGGGGGAGTAAATCATCACCGCTCTAACAGAAGGAGGATCAACAAAGCCGTATATTCGGACACTGGATCGTGTGCTTTATGAATGACCTCTGCGAAGTCGATAGTAGAACAAGCACCGAGACAGCGTCAACTAGGAAAGTTCGGAGCATGGCGAGCGGAGAAGTTCAACAACCCTCAAACGCTATGCAAGAAGGCCGTGAACACGCGAGCGCATTGTAGGAGTAGATCTTAAAGTGAGAATGCTCGAGCAATTTACAAGGTAAAGCGTGTTGGTACGCTTTTAGAACTACTTATCTCCCCGATTTGGTTGAATTAATCCCTTGTAAAGGCACGCATGCAACGCTGTCTATGCAGTTCTAGCTTCCTCCGTTCTGAGTCGCGGTAGTAATGATCTAACGCTCATACTTGTTGCCCAAGACAGCGAAAAGTGCGGGAACCAGGAACAAAGAGACTTCTCACCGACCTCGCGGACGGCATAAGTCAACCTTGGACCGCGATTCCAATAATACATATACATGCACCGCCTTGAATTCCGGACGTGAATCCCAATGTCCGCCGTGGAAGATTGAATGTTTGGAAAACGCCCAAAAGCTCCCAACGCTGTTGTATATTGGCACTCCATAAGTTCCATTCCGTCTATCCCACGAGGACCGGGGGGCACAAGCATGCTCTCAGGGATACAATTTTCACCAAACTATCTACCCGGGATGATTTGATTCAACCGTCACCCGACTCGCTGTAGGGTGTGCAGCTGATGCATATCCAGTAAAACACCTTCCTTTCTGAGTCATTGTATGCTCCTTGTTTACTCAGGCTTTCTTAGTATACTCTATAACACGTGAATGCACGTGAGCTCTAAACCCCTTCTGAACGGGAAGTGGGAAGGAATAGACAAAAGTTTCTTCTGTCGATGTGTATAGAACTGCGGTTTAGACGGAAAACGAGTCACATCCAACGCCTATCTATTCTTGTCATTGAGGCAGAATATCAAAATAGATTCACATTTATCAGTTCAAAAGCCAATGGCGAAAGATTCTTCTTTACATTGACCCCGGCGACTTTTTCTAGATGTGCATATGACCATCAGACCATCCATTTTAAAACACTGGTTACTATATCTATCGTCTGTTTAGATAGGACAGTGCACGTCTTCAGAGATGCGACATACACGCCTATCTATGTTTAGATTCAACGAAGGTGTCGAACTATTTTTATGTACATCGGAAAGCGCCGAGGTTCAGCTCAGTTTAGTGCACACGACGTCAAAGCACAATGACTTGAATCGTGATATTATGCTTTTACGTGTGTCGAAATGACACATAATCACACAGTCCGTACTAGCCAATAAGCCTATAAGATCAGTACTGTTTTAATGTGCCTAGACACAAGAGTAAGGAATAAGGAATAATCAAAAGAAAAGTCGAGCATTTAAAAGGCCACTGATATATATTAATCATGATTTACTTTGTTAAGTTTCAAGGTGCCCATATTCATTTGCTTTAATCTAGTATAATGAATAACTTTGTTTGTGAGTCTTCTTTTCAATGTTTTTCTAGAATGTGGGCAACAAGGCTAATCCTCTTCAGTAATTGAATACCAACATTTCCTTGTCATTAATTGTCAGGAGACTTAGCATATTAATTTTGTATTTCGGAGGTCGGAAGGAAATGTCAATTATCACGGAGAAACAGGAGAGAACCCGAATATACTTGCACAATTGGTGATGTGCTGTTGTAGTCACTTGTCAGAAGACCCCACACAATCTTTTTTTCTCAAAAAAAATTTTTTTTAAATAAAGGGGAAAACATATTAATATCCATGTGAGTAAACCTGCATCATGGCACTTGGATACATGCAGACGTTGAGTGCATCACTGAAATAAGTACGAAAATGCATTGGAATTTATTCCTATAACACATATTTTGTACATATTGTGGTGAATATAAGGTCCTTATAATCGATTATTGCACACGGGAGTTGCCTTGTCAGACTGTAGAAAAATGCGATGATTTGTTCGATCTGTCCTGAAGGAATAAAACTCATGCGTACATATTTTATATTTTCCTCTTTCGGAGGAATATGCCAATAATCAATAAATTTTTAATAAAAAAGTAAGTAAATAAAAAAGCGAAATATTGACTAGGCGCACATGCATTCCTACATAAGCTTGTTTACATGAGGAACGCACTGTTAATGATACAATGTCCGAAGAACAGAAACTAAAATAAGAAAAGGTTATAACGGCAGCAAGTGATGATGGCTAATTTAGGATGAAAAAAATTAAACAATGAAAGAACTGGGCGGAATGAGGTAAGGGAGCCGAATTGTACAGCACAACATGAAGTCAAAGGCGAACAAACAAACAATGGGAGGGACGTAAGAGTAGCAACAACGCCTTTCAGCTGAAAGATAAAACCAAGGAAAGTTATGGATGAACTCTGCTAAAGTTACACTATGCGTTACGCAATGAAGAAAACAAAGGATATCAGCATCTGACTGACTGATGCCGCTTCGCCCGGAATATAGCAGAGCCGGAATTAAGGAAAGAACACGGGCGCCACGAAGCAACTGAATCAACATGCATTTGGGGTTGAACGGTGAAAATGACTCAGCATCAATACAGTGGTATATGAGTCGATAGAAGGCGTTATAAAAATGTCGTTGGAATGCAAGTGCAACATGCGGCCAGAAGGCGAACTGTCCGAGAGTAAAGGCAATGCCATAAGGGGCATGCGGAGGTAGCATATGGACAAGGTCCTATTTCTTCGAGTGTGTAGTGAAATCGAGATTCAAATCAAAAGAAAGCATAAGGCGGCAGAAAGACGCCGTTAACAACCGGTCGAAAGTTGCGCGACGCCCTAAATGTGCAGAAGTTGAGAAGGTCAGATACGCCCCTTTGTTTACTCGTAACTCGACTTCGCGCTCGTGTTGCTTGATACTTTTCGACATGGAAGTCGACTAGCCTCTTAAGGCAAAGCGCACGTTTGATCTCATTCAGGCTTCACGTTTCCACGGATATACTCGGAAAGCAAGTGCCGTAAGTGGGTCAGTCGGAACCCTTGCGCCCTGTGAAAGCCTTCAATGCCTTGTCATCAAATTTGTCGCGCCGGTACGGATGCGCCTGTGCTCGGACTAGCGTCCGGAGTGGTGCAAGGTTCAGCTGCTTCCCACCAGGGACACTAGATGAGGAAGTAGCGCTAAGTGGGGAGTGCGGTGGCGATAGTGCTGGTGAACCGTTCTGCAGGTGCTCATCTCTCGCATCCGATACAGGGGGTGAAAGTCGGTTGGCCAGGTGTGGTGGAAGTGTAAGCGTGGGGCGACGCGGTGAAGCGCTCGTACCACCCGGAACCGTGGATTCGGGAGAAGGAAGCCCGGCTCTTGTTGGTGACGGAATACTGATCGGCGGTGGACGCTTTATCCCATCATAGGTAGAAGGAAGAAGGGTCTGATAAGGCTGTGAGGTTAACGACACCGAACCACCTGCAGCCGGTGATTCGTATGGGAGTGGCGGCGAAGCAGAATAAGTAGCGTGTTCAGAATATTCATGCTGTGAATATGTTGGGCTTGATCGAGTACTTGCTGATGTCGGAGTCGGAAGTTGCGAGTTAGCATGAGAATTTGCAGGAGGAGTGTACGTGTATTGCGGCGGTGCATTATAGTTCTGGTAAGAATGAAAGCCATTGTAGTCTGGTCGCGTGTAGTAGCCATGAGGCGCAGCTTGGGAGTACTCAGCGGGATGGCGAACTGTAGGAGCTCCATCTGTGAAAGGAGATATTAACAATTTTATAACGTCCCATAAACATCCTCTTACTGTAATATTGCCTGTTCGGTTCGGGAACTGGGTGGATCGGTCTTCCGAGTAATTGCTGTTGAGGGTAATCATATCCGTTCATAGGCGGGGGCGGATGTCCATAGTATTGTTGGCGATGGTCATAGACATTCTGCGGAGGCCCTACGGGCGGAACTGGAGGTGTGACTTGGTACGGCATTGGAAACGGTGCATAAGTGCGCGATGTAGTCGCGTTTGTTGGCCGAAATACGTCGTGAGACGGCGGATCGGCTGTATGACCAGCAGTTCCGGCGACAATAGAATCATCTTGCCTCCGCGGCTTTCCAAGGCGCGTTGAAATGTATTTTCCAGGCGGAACTTCGATACCTGCTAACTGGGGCAGGTCATCCACAGTCTGCAAGCGGTCGACAGTTGCCTGAGTAAAGTAGGCGGCTGCGGGTGATTCGGCGGAGCCGCAATTCAGTCAGTCTCCATAGGGGGAAGCTTCGATATGACTGGGAAGGCTTACTCAAATGCCACTTTCGGCGACCTCTGGGACTGTCTACCCAAACGCTGTAGGTTTGCTTTACAAGGGGATCCCAATGCTTACGCATCCGCTCCTCGAGGTAGGGGTTCTCCTTGTCTCTCAGGTGTCCAGGAGGGCTCTTCTCGTAGTAGAAAAGGAATTCCTGCGCGACATAATTGGCATACAGGGGAAAAGCATGAGCCAGCAAGGAAACTCACATCCCGGACGCGTGAGGGGCCCCAGCGTCTGCCTTCCGTGAAACGTTCAATGCCGAGGCCGGTTACCTCTGTATGCGGACCTCGCTCCTCCCAGGCGTAGACGCAACCCGAGCGGAGTGCTGCGCGCTCATCGGCGTCGAGACGCCTGGAAATGATGGGCAGGATATTGAGGGAGACTGCATGGAAGATGATGTGAGCGTCGCGCGTTGAGCGAATGCGGATATTTGAGCACGTCGGCTGCTGCATCGTGGGTGGCAGAGCGAGCGTGGTGGATGGTGGATCAAGCGGGTGGAGGAGGTGGGTGTAGAGAGAGAGAGAGAATGCAGAGGGCAAGCAGAGGCCAGAGTTACATAATTGTTACACTTATTTGTCCGGAAAGGGCAAGCAGGCACATGTCGGTTGCAAGCGGCTAACCTTAAAACTCAACCGCGACTAAAGTTAAATCCTCAATTTCGTTCCCACGCAATTTCCTAACTTTCGCCCGCCATCACCTCAGCCTCTGTCCGATTGGCTGACAGCATTTCATGTGCCCCTTGCAACCCCCGTCGGCACTCGGCCACAGATCAGGCTCAATGGGCGCGCCATTTCTCCCTCTAGGCCTGAGAGATCATGCTTCCCGATTCGTTCGCACCTTTCTGCGACGGAAGCAGCCTTTGTCTTACCCTGTCTCTGCGCACTCATTCACCCCGCGGTTGTCATTATCCAGCAGCTGGGCTCATGTTCTATCACCCATGTTCTATCCCTCTATCGAGCTATGCTTCCATTTCCGGCTCTCCCGGTCAGCGTGTCGAAACAGAACAAGCGCCCCTATGCCGTTGCTTCTGCCGCGAAGCTTTTCCTGCACGTTTCTGCATCAGACAACGTACCATGCCGAACGGGTTGTGAGCGTGCCGTGTGCACAAGTCTTTCCATCCCCACATCCCTGCACAGATATCCTCCGGCGGAAAGAACTCCAACTACAAGGGGCTCCTGTTCTGCCTGCCAAGCCTTTTCCACCGTGTCAGTCGTTTATTTGATCGCGGCGCCGTCACCATGCGGGAGCAGGCCTTTCAACTCCATACGGACGCGCTCAATGTCCGAGAGCGAGGGATAGAGTAAGTAACTATGGAATAGATCGAGCGCTATTTTTCGGAATCTTGCGATCATGGAACTACGGCAAACAGTCTGGACCGATGCATTTCACCACTCACATATTGTACGGGTATGTACAGTATGTGCTAATGTGCTCTGGGAGCTTCCATTTGAATCATGTCAAAACGAATTGCTGGAAAGTTTATCTCGATCGACGCCTGCAATTGAGTAGGTAGCATCGTCCGTATGCACTACAGACCGTTATTTATCCGCTCTGCACATATAAATGCGAGTTGACATTGCTATTCGGTTGCGGGCTCGTATATTATCGCGACAGCCGATCCGATCAAAGAACGGCCAGACAAAGTTCAAAAATAGCGTGGTGGTCCCCAAACGGCATCAGCCATTCCCCAGTAGTTCATGTCCTTTGTTCCCTTGCACCGAAACAAGGTCTTCAATCAGTACAAGGCTGTTTGGCTTTGACTCGCTGATTGCCAATACACTCTTGTCTAACTATAAACTGTAAAGGTGGGTCTCAATTTATTCTGTTATATCTATCTCCCATGTCATCTCATTTCAAAAACGTATATAGAATCGATACTAAAGGGGCACGCGTATCCATATCATTCGTGGCTTCAATTCGTTATTCGTATTCGGGTGCTCACCGCGTGCAGCTGCAGCTCTGCGCATCTAAAGCTTTGACTAGGTGAGGTCTAACTATCAATGGAAAGTCGAGCAGGTCTGTCTCCTTTCGGTTAATTTTGAAATGCGAAGTGTGTCGATGTGTCCCAAGGTCTTATTGCGGCTTTCATCATAATACCGTCAATGTCTATTGCTAACAAATTCGTGCGTCTCCATCAAGATATTTTCAAATTTCATCCTCGTTTATATTCTCGCATCGGTCTTGCGCGCGTACTCACACATGCCATGTATTCCAAATTCGATTCGGAAGCATTACCTCGACTCGGTTGCACCCGGATCGTTGAATACTTGTAATGAACGGCTAGGAGCATCTTCTCGTTATCCCGCTGCCTCCTTGTTGAGCTTTTGAATGCCTGTCGATGAGCATCGACTGGAAGCACAACACATGTGCCTTCGGAGAGTTGCGGTCGCACTTACCCGGTGGAACCTTTCGGCCGCCGCCAGCCTGAGGAGTCTTGAATGGTGGTGTCTTCATCGCCGATTTCCTGTTTACCGGTAGAGGACCAGCAGCGTGAAATGGAATCAGCTGCTTGCACAAGCCCGAGCATTTGAGGTTCAATGGTTCTCGGCGAGGCATCGGCAAATGTGAAGAAAAGGGACCAAATATTTCCCTGATTCACTACCGAGTATTCTGCATGATGACTTCCATGCACCACAACTTCTCCACACTTCTTTGTCCTTGAGGCACGTTACAACTTTCTTTTTGACAATCAAAGCAATTCATGCTTCCGAAAACCTCATAGACGCATGCATGTACACACAGTTCGCGCTCCGAAGCTCAACCTTGTGGTTCTAGCGCGGCGCAACCTTCATTCGCGCCGACCGATTCAGCCAGCGGGAACAACTTCGAAGCTTTATCCGCACTTAGTCGCGCATATACATATATATGTCGACTCCTTATTCTCATCGCTACCCAAGGCATCTGGCAGATCGTTCTCCCGAACTTTCCCAGGGTACCTGGACATACAGAGTATCTATGGGCCATGATTTGCAAACACGAGCATATAGATGGCAGAGTTCTCCCGCACTCACTTGAGAAGAGCTCCTCATTCTTGGTCCCGCCCGGAACTTGGGAAGCGACGTTCGTTCCACGGGCTCTTTAGCGGCTTATCAGTGTGTAACGTGTACAATGAATAATGTAAGTTGTTCTTAGATTTTCTTTTTTTAATTCGAAAGCCCTTCTGATCATTGCTTTTAATAATGAACGTGCGTCTATGACGCGATGATACTCAGTTCTCTAGAAACTCATCCGAATGCTTCGCGCAAAACATTCTACTTTATCTAAAATCCGGGCCTTTTTTGATAATTAAGAAGCCAGTTAACTCGGCTGTGCTGTCTGTCTTTGACTATTGGTCACGCCGCGAGCTATAGCTGCTATCTGCGGTCGTACATTGGTCGGATAGAGGTGTGCATGCTACATGGCAAGCTGTTGCAATGGAACTATCGCACTTTCTGACTATTCCCGATTTCTTCGGAAATACCGTGCATAACTTCGAGGGGAATTAATTGTAGGTGTCGTAATCATTCTATTAACGATGCAGAACTGTGGATTTAGCAGTTTATCCTGTGACATCCGCGCTGTGATTAGTGGTGTGAAGGTAAGAGAATGGTGGCGTACAGGACTAACGAGTTTCCATAGTTGACTATATACATCGAGACCTGTGGAGTCTCATCAATGCATCATTCAATCATCGGCCTGCAAGATTGTAGCCGCGTACTATGTCATACTATATGCATAGTTTCATATTTTTCATACCATTCATCGCTCTCTACTCCTTTGTCAAAGCTTGCTTTGAAAGCAATGCGCTGTAGCTGATTGCCGAATTTCGGCGCTGTTCTTCGCCGACCATGACCGTTAAATGCACTTCACTCTAAACTCCTAGACTGTTCTCGGTCTCAGACATCGTCTCGAGCTACCACGGATTTCAAATGAAATTCGTAATCTTCAGCATAGGTCGTGAAGACGTGCAACTTACCCTAGTTCTGGCCTGACGTTTACTTGCTATCCGGGACTGCTTCGATCCCTACTGTCTCCGAACAGAGGCTCTCAGAATCGGATGCAGCGTGCCGGATAAATGGCTTTACTGGGGACTTCTACTACAAATGGTGGAGCTGCGCGAAATTGGTATGGATGCACTTTTCTCAGCCCTATGTGATAATTCTATTCTAGATCAGGACCCATTGGCGCTAGCACGGAGATCCCCTTAAAGCGTAGATCTCGTCAAAAAACGCTAGTTTACTTACTCTCGGCCCTTGCGGGAGAACCCAATTTGAAGTCAAACCCTCCTTCACAAGCTTCCGAGCGAGCTTTCTTTTTTCTCATGAACGATCACCGCCGGGAACGCGAGGATCTACCATCGTGTTGCTGGCATTGTTTAAGGGGATATAACGAGTCGAGTTATACCCATGAAAGCCAGCTCTTGTGATGAAACTAGCCATCGTTTCGGCGCTGGTACAATAGCATTCAATAGGTTTGACACGCCAAGGAACTATCTTGATCATCTGGTATTTCCGCCATTTCCTCAGTACGGGCTTGCCGAAAGGGATAGGTGGAAGAACACTTGACGAGGCTATTTAATAATTACCCTTTCGATGGCGGGTCCATTCAAGACTGGTATCATCGCAACAACGTAAATTCTGGTTATTGATCGCATTTGATATGGAGTTTGCACCTCGATCTCTTCTCTGACGAAACGTCGCGCCAAACAAGCATTCTTGGGCGATATATTAATTCGGATGAAGCAAGATTGTATAGCCTTCTATGGAAATATGCATGTGCACGGTCCCTGCTCCTGTAATAGCGTGCGGTTTCTTTACCCTGACTCCGCACATAAGCCGGCGGCGGAATTGTTCGGTCCGTAATACTGCCACGATGTGATTCATGAGAGACTTAGCATTAGCAATTACATGGCAAAATGCCTATTAGCGTTCTCGATGCCACGATCGATGCCGAGATGCTGCGTATACCGGATGACCCGATTGCGTTTCCGTGCACATGTACGTCAGTGCATGTGCGGCGCGCGAGGTAAACCATCTTCAGCATGGACGGCCTTGGGGTAGCTAGCTCGGCTCAGACATTCGGCGAAACGATCTCAGCGTACAGGAACGAACACTAACGAAACATGCGGCGATCATATGAGGGTACTCGTTCCATCGTCTTCGTCGACCCAATCCTGCGAGACCGTGGTCATCTTCGCCCTTCTGCAACCGCATCATATGATGTTCTCGATGCAAGACTCTGGCGCTTCCCAGTTCAAACAAACCCCGCTTAATCCGCTGGACTTCGTGACCTTCCGACTCCCGACTCCCGAGTGGGACCGTTATTGCGTCTAGAAGTCCACGTGATTTAAGGCACAACACACAAATGAAAAATCTTTTTGACTCTGTAACCTTTCATTAAAATTCAAACAGCGTACAACTCATACAACAATCTTCCTAACAGTCCGTTTGACAGCTGAGACAAGCAAATGAATAGGTACACATCATATCGAAGTGGATGGGAGATTTTGGCCTCTGGGAGACCCGGTCAATCCGGACATCAGTTTAAATGTTTCTTCCCAGAGACCGAAGAGCCTCGTTGTCAAGCGGATGCCGGGGCGAGTATGGGCTCTGCACTGGCGGAGCAGGATGGAGTCCGAGGGGAGGAGGAGGGAGAAGGCGCGAAGGGTTCGGCAGCGGTTGCCTATCCAGACTAGAGGATGACGGTGGCGAAGAAGACGATGCACCTGGCTGACCTTGGTTCCAATTCGGCGTGCGAAGCGCCTGCGGCGAAACGCTTTCTCGTGATCCCGAACCCGGCGAGGTAAGGTGCGGACCAGGGTATGGCGCGTATATCGGTGGCGGTGGGTATTGCGGTCCAGATATGGCGGCTCCAGAGGACGAGCTCCCGCTATGGATGTCGGTGGGGTAGTACTCACCACGAGCTCGACCTTTACCCATTTTCGCGCTGGTGTACATGCCTTCTGGAGGGCGGATGTTGGCTAGGGCAGGAATGTCATCAATAGTACGCAACTGGTTGACGGATCCGGGAATAAAGTACGCAGCTGGTTTAGTTCAGATTACGCGTTAGCGCAATTTTTTCTTTCAAGGAATAATGAAACGTACTAAGGTGCCACTTGCGTCGACCCTGACTTGTCTCGACAAAAACCGAGTACGTTTGCTTGACGAGACGGAAACTCGCGCCTCTAGATAATAGGCTTAGTATCTTTTATGGAAGACGTGATGAGAAGCTCAGTACTTACAACTCACTATCGGTGAACTCATAGTCCGCATTAGGTTCGCGTTCATGATACAATAGAAACTCCTGTTCAAACAAAGACGCATAAGTAAGCTGCTGTCCAGTAACTTAGTGACAAAAAAGAACAAGATCTTACGTCGCGTACGCGAGATGCGCTCCATCGGATACCATCCGTCCACCGCTCAATTCCCAACTAAAATACAATTAACAAATTAAATTTGACAGGTGTCTTTGTCACGAGAAGACAATTAGCTTACTCCGGTAGCTTCAGAGTTGCGACCTCGCTCTTCCCAGATGTAGACGTTCCCAGCCCGTACTGCACGACGCTCCTCAGTATCGAGGCGCCTGGTGACCATGGGCAGGACATCAAGATAAACAGCATGGAAGAGGATATGGGCGTCTTGGACAGAGCGAATACGTATGCCAGTGCAAGTTGGAGGCTGCATGCGCGGCAGAGCAGCAGGATTAGGGTGACGGTGGTACATGGTAGTCTTCGCTACACGGGAGCAAGAGGCTCAGGTAGGGTAGTAGTAGTGCCAGCGGGCGCAGCAGAGGTTGTGGAGACAAAAGATCAGCCATCGCACTGGTATTTAAGCCAAAGAGCTTGATTGGGTTTTGGTAAACAGATGCTCGTGCGGTGCCAGGACGAAAGTGTTCGCTCGGCTTATCCAATTTGCATTAGACCAGATGGACCCGACGATGGGCTCTGTGTGTACTTAATCGAATGCTAAATTTGGTTTCTTTTCATCGGTGATTCGGCAACAAGAAACCTTATTTATCTTGCATCGCACCGCATCGCATTCGAACGAGTTCCTTGAGCCTGTTTTAGGAGCAGAATAGAACTTCGGGATCAATATTAAATGTTATGTACGTACGTACGGGTTAGGCTTTCCTTGCCTGGCAGGTCTCCGTCAGTGCTGCTTCTCGTCTCTGGTCGACGGAAATGACTAGCGTCAGGAACGATACTCTGAGCGCGACAAGTCGTCTCAAAATCACTCCTTGGATCTCGATTAGTGTTGCATATACCTCAAACCCACGATCTTCGCGGCAGCCAATGAGCAGATCCGGAACCGTATCATATTCCGTCCCTCCGCCAAGGCATGCAAGAAAGCCTCATTATAAAAGGGTTGCTTTGTTTCAACACGAAGCAAAACGCGAATACAAAGGAACGAGGGATGACGTCGGAATTCGTGCTTATGCTTCCGCCCCGCTCATATATATTTCGCTGATGTGTGCGATTAACCGCAATCAAGATTCAATGTGAATAACAATTCAGTAGCTCTGTACAAAAGTGCGCCGAAAGTCCCGCGATAGACGTGGAGACTAAGTAATGCCCTGAATTTTCTTCGCAAACAGAGTTATGTATGTACCTTGCAGCAGCCATCTCCCCGGGCATAACTCCAAATCCATCCGATCTCGACCGCGTGAGCGAGAGTGCAGCTGTGTGCCAACGGCGGCGTTCTCTCCCAACTAACGGAGAAGTTCTCAAGGTGGCTATGACAAGAGGGAGATTAATATTTTTGCTTCGCTTCCTAATGTCAATGTGTTTCCGATTCTGTGAATTTTCTTACTCGCAAACGCGGCATTCGGAACTTTCCTCCACACTTACACTTAGTTGCGTTTTGCGTCCGAGTATCAATGTCAGGATCAAATTGAATAGTGGATAATCTGCTAGTTTCGAGGGGACGTAATTTGAGCCTATTTTCTTCGCGAACTGGCTCAGTTTCAAATGCTATTATGACCAAATGGCAGCAGAACGGGCGTTGATGATCACGAGACGATTACTTGTGGATTAAAGTCCGCTTCGACTTTCTTTTGATACGCACCGGCGCCATTCGAAGCTGAATTGCCGCGGAGATTCATTTCGCTGAATACACTCAAGAAGGACAACCGAATGTGAGCAGGAACAAACGGCTTCTCATCGCCAATCAGCCAAAGGGCCGCAGGGAGTCGCGTGTTGGCTATCACGTTGGAGAAACGTTACATCCGCTATGAAGTACGGCTCGCTTTTGATAAATATTAATGATCAGCGCAGCCTATAATGGAGGGGCGTCGAGAAGAAGCAATACAATTCAAATCCAACAACTCTTCAGCTCTATTGAATTGTAACGACGGGCAATGCGAGGCTGTCTCGACGTCACTACAGTAAGTAGACGCACAGCAACAAGCGTCTGGCGCAACGGAACCCCGTCAACTGCCTTCCTTTGCCTGCCACGCTAGAAACTCCTGATGCGCCTTCACCTGGGCGGCGTAGTCCTTCTGTACCTTTTTGGCGGCGTTCTTGCTGAGCGGATTTCCCTCGCCGTCTGTCAACGGAATTCCGGAGTCATCATATGTGCCATATGTACCCGCGGGGACGTTCGGAGGTTTAAACAGCTCGCTGGGCGGTGTGCGGCCTTTCTCGAGCTTAGCCAAACGCTTTTGGCGCTCTGCGTCTGCCACGGCTGCTTTCTTAGCAGCCTTTGCTTCGGCTAAGGCTCGCTTCTCGTCGCGAGCTCTTTGTAACTGTGCGGGATCGACGAGTTTGATAAGGGCTTTTCCATCTATGAGGGCGGATGAATATACCGGATGAACGACATGAAACGGATTTGTAGCAATCAAATAAGAACATTTGTAGAACAAAGTGGCATGCCTGGCCGAGCACGCACCTTCTTGGTCATCCAGAGCGACTCCTAGTGGGACAAGATCTACGTCCCGGACTTGGTCACAGAGTGCGAGAATGCTTTGGAGCGCCCCATCTCCACCCGCGATCGCAAGATGTCTGACACCGTCCCGGAAGGAGGACAAAGTCCGCAAGTAGGGCATGAGTATTTCATCCTTCTAAATCAGTTTACAGGATGGTCAGCAATACTTTATCTTTTAAGGCTTGATGTACAAAAATAGACGTGCGATATGCAACGACTTATTTTGATTAATAGACGGTAGAGCAACGGCAACTTACGTTTATTGGACCGCTTTCCCGTTCCTCGCCCCACCCGATCTCGGCATCTGAATTTGCTGCGGGGCCTTCACCAAGGCCGAACATTCGTAGCATTTTCCCGACCCAAGAGGCGAGCTGTTCGACAACATCCACGTTTAAGCTTCTGCCTTGCGCATTGACGTACACGTTTGTCCGTGATACGAGTTTCAGCAGCGTCTCAAGTGCCAACGGTGTATTGAAAGAATCGCACAACGCGGCCCGGAAGGCGGTCTGCGTCTCCCGGAAGCTAAATAAGCACATGGATCAGACCGGTGAAAGCAGATGAGACGCAACGTGGCACAGCCAATACAAACGTCCACATGCGCCAATTGGTGGGAAGAATACTAACAAGTCTTGCAATTCACGTTCTGGAGCACCATATCGATGCTGTTCTTCGCTCGGCTGGTTTTGTGTCTGGGCCAGGCATATGGCTTTGATGGTGGCGAAAAAATTCTATATGAATCGGTCCACAGGAGGTTCGGGGGAAGAATCGGAAGACGCGGTTAGGACCAAAAGAAACAAGCACCATCCACATCACAAGTTCGACAGTCAAGGATGGTAAGAAAGAATACAACGACATGTGCACAATGAAAGAACCGTGAGTTCGCCGTTGGAGCTCTGAATTAGATTGCTGCAAAGATGAACATACATTAAGGGTTGTTTCTATCGTGCGGACTTCTCCCGTCATGAGGCTATCGGTAAAGTCTACCTTTGAATTCCAAAGCTGCGTCAGGAACGCAAGGCGCAGTTGCCGCGCAGAGTAACGCTGAAGTATTTCCTATGCGGATAAAGTCATGATGTAGTTCAGCATATATTTCCGGGCAGTCAGAAAAGGCAGACAAAGAACCGAGTAAGGATTTGAATTCACTCACGTCAATAGTGATGAAATTCTTGAGTGATTTGCTCATTTTCAGACCCTCGATGTGAAGATGCCCCGTGTGTATAAAGTAATTAACCCATTGGTTACAATTGTGATAAGCCTATTGGAAAAGAATTCCCGAACGAGTTAGGCGGTCAGAAGAGTACAATGATTTCCGAGAATGCATAAGCGGACATATAAGAGAAGGGAAAGCCGCGACAAAACGCAAGGTAATTCGTTAGTCTCAACATGAGGCAGAAAGCTCGGTGTCTCTATCGACTCACCTCGGATTGGGCCATTTCATTATCGTGGTGAGGAAATGCCAGGTCAATTCCGCCGGAATGAATGTCCATATTGTCACCGAAAATAGCACTAGCCATTACAGAGCATTCGATATGCCATCCCGGACGGCCCGCGCCCCAAGGCGACGGCCACGACGGCTCGCCAGGCTTTGAGTTCTTCCACAAGGCGAAGTCGCTCTTTGACCGCTGGCCCACCGCCTTCGGTGCAAGTACACCTGTAATGCGTGATTGAGAATTCAACAAGTCGGAAGTCATATATCTATAACTGGACGGTACCTTCGCCTTCCTCAAGTAGCTCTCTGTTGCCTTTGCTGCCGGGTTGGAGTTTCGGATACGCGTGTCCATCAGCCTGCTCAAAAGCACCCGCGTCGAAGTAGACGCTGCCTTCACTCTCGTAAGCATAGCCATTCTTTATGACCTGTTCAACAAATGCGATGATTTCTGGCAGATATTCTGTCACGCGAGTGAGTGTATCTGGCGGACGAACACGGAGTCTCGTCATATCCTTGAAAAATTCTCCTTCCCAATACCGAGCGAGAGACCGCGAGAGTGCCGGATCGGTGACCTCATTGCCATACTTAAAGTTTAATCAGTCAACGTTCAGAACGTAAAGTTGCGAAGCCGGTCAAAGCGAACCTTTTTATCAAGCGCTTTGACAAGAACATCTTGTGACTCGTCTATTAGCCGTAAAGCGTCTTCTGAAGACGTTTGTCCTTTCGTAACCAGGGCCTTTGATGCGGACAACGCTCTCTTGGAAGTATCCTATAATAAATACATTTCAGTTGTAGCATTGCACGATTATCAATGCATTGCGGAGCCTACCAACGCCTTTAAGTGCATATCAAATTTATCGTCTTTCTTCATGCGATCCTGCCTCCACTCGGCATCCTGGGCCTTGTCCCAGATGACTCCCCACCATTCCAATTCACGGCCTTCTTCCGGTAATTCCGTTTCTTCCAGCGCTTTCGCAAGCTGAGTTCGAAGGTATACCTTCCACGCGTCCTCGACTTCCGCGATGAGATTAGTAGTGAGAGCACTTGCATTAGATTTGAATTTATCGAGAAGGTGGTTCTCGCGTGATCTTCTAATAATCTGAAATTCTTCATAAATACGGTTATGGCGTGGCGAAATGACGCACGCACCTTGTCGTCTATGTCGGTAACGTTCATAACAAAATGGACATCATATCCAAAATAGTCTACCAAGATGCGCCGTAAGACGTCTTGTGTTACATAGTTCCTGCAGGGATATCATTTGCATAGATCCAGTCTACGTCCGTCCATAAAGCGTACCTGGCATGGCCCATATGCGAAGCATCGTAAACCGTCGGACCGCAGTTGTACCATTTTACAAGCCGACCATTCCGGGGCACGAAGTCAGTCTATTATCAACAGAATCAACACGTTAGTTTCGTGAAATCGGCCGAAGCACGGACCTTGGTCTTCGTCAATGAGTTATAAATTTTGAGCGATGGCTCGTCCGATGGTCCGGCAGGAGGGGCCCAAGTCGATTGCGAAGCCATCCTCCGACTCGTCGATAACGACGGATATCGTATCCAATATGTACAGGTGTGGCAGCTAAGGCGAAAGTGTGAAGTTAGAAGGAGGGGCATTCACCCGTGTCAAGTAGAGGTGCTGCCACGAGTCCAGCCAGATGTCGTGACTCGAAATGAGTCGTAAATGGAAGGTGATCGACGATCGATCACTTTCCCAAAAATAATAAATTATATAATCATACATCTAATTCTTGTCGCAGGCCCAGGATAGCACATATGCTCACAGTGCAGAGATAACTAATTGCATCACACAATAATGTTTAATGTCGTATTTCATGAACTTTTATTCAGCCAAAATGCGTTGTTATTATGCATAAATCACATAATGCATTAGACATTGCTTTATCCCCACAATATGCAAAAGATAGTTTGTACAGCAAGTTTCTTGACATCTATCATTAATGTAAAGCATTTCACCATTCACAAGAGTCTACTACAAGCTTTGTAATTCTCTCCAGACCCACTTTATCATTCTCGTCAAAGCCATTCAATGCAAGACAATCTAAATCGAATACTCCGATACAACGTCCATCCAGTAGTAGTAGTGGGCATACAATTTCGCTCTTGGTCTCTCCATCACAGGCGATGTGTCCAGGGTAGGCATCAACGTCAGGAACAACAAGTGTTTTTCTCTGTATGTATGCGTCAGCACAAACGCCGCGACTCTTCCCAGGTATCGTGTTGATGAACTGGCATGCAGGCTTTCCACAGAAAGGCCCTAACAGAAGTCTATTCTCCTTCGGTGTCAGGCCTTCCGTCTTTCTGCTGGACAACGAGGGTCTTGGAAAGAGAGATGAGTCGATATAAAACCCTGATCACGGAATAAAAATGATTGAACACATGTATTTCAATATCTCAGATATTCCTTACCACACCAGTTTACTGCTCTTTCTCCAGGCCCAAAATGCGATGGAAATGCTAGCAGTGAGTTATAGATCAACGAAGATGCATTCGCACAGTTCGACACCTAAACACAACAAGTTGTATGCTGGGTATAAACCAAAGGTCCGCAATGACCAATTTACCCAATTCTTCTGGGCTTCCAATAGGCCTTCCAGCAGACCATATACATGCTCCCAGAACTGTGCTTTGTTCGTGACGTTGGAAGGTACAAGTGCAGCGTCAGCATGTGGCATGATGTTGGTAAGGAACCAGGTCAGACCTCAGTAAAGTCCAGGCCTAGAAAAGTGGTGGGAATCTTTGGGAATAGTTTCTAAATTAGGCAAAAATCGATTAGATCGTCACTAGCGCGCATGCAATACTAGTGCTGTTCAGCGACTACGACCATCTGCCTTCATCATGGCTCCGTTCATCTACTTTAGCCGAGAGGATGAGAGAGTACGCTTGAAGGTCAAATAATCGCTCATTTTCCTTCAACTGAATATATCCCAGTCTTTCGCAGATGTCACTGAGACCGATATTGGTGTCGACACGAAAGAATTCTTGGAGGCTGCTACGGGTGTTGTCAGGATCATTGGTACGTGGGCACTCCTTTCAAATGTAGGGCATATATCCTCACATAAAAATACTCTAGAGCTTCTTAAATCGATCACATTCAAACCTGTCTTAGATGACCTAAACGGCAATATCACTGTGAGTACACCTGCGTGCTATGGCGCTCGACGTGTGATCCCTTCGATATCTTGGAATCCACCTATATTCACAATAGTGTTAATATTATCAATATTCTCAGAAAGTCAAAACCCGTTACGAAGCTAAACCGGAGAAATCTGCCACGCTAGAAGAGCTTGTCAGAAACGAGATAGCTGAGGGAAGTACCACGGCCACGCAAGGTCTACTCTGGCTTACCCGAGGGCTTATGTTCACAAGTGGCGCACTCAAGGCCTGTCAAGCAGACGCAACCTTGAAGCTCTCGGAGGCTTTTCAATCCTCATATGGCGATACACTCAAACCATTCCATGGCTTCATTGTGAAGGGTATATTTAGCGTGCGCACTCTCCTTGATTTCGTCACTTCGTCGGAGATTAGTCGAAGCTAATCAGTTATTATCGTAGGCGGCCATGCGAGTCTGCCCGACGAGGGAACTTTTATACGAGGACCTGAAAAAGGACCAGGACGGTGGGCCAGCTGCGACACAGGAAGATCTTAACGAAAGGCTGAACCAATGGGTGGATGCTCTTGAACGAATCGTAACCAGAATCGACCAATTCCTTGAAACAAACAACTACAAAAAGGGTCTCTAGATACTGTATACTAGTAGGTTTGGTATGTACTTACCACATGTGAAAGCCGGATTACAAATTTAACACAAGCTACCATCGAGAGCGGTTAAGGAGGCGCCGACGCAAAATCCTCCGTGGACACTTAGAAGACCTTCGGGATGTCATTGGCGCCATCTTCTCTTCCTCTGATATTACCGTGAGAGGGACAGACAGCTTCTTGAGCCGCTTCCATGAACATCCTAGGCAAGTAGGTCCTCAACGGCCCTTAGTATATTTCACTCCTTGCACAAAACATCGGAATCTTCTCTTGCGGAAAGCAGATTTTCCTATCTAACCTCGGGCGCTCTATTAGTAGAGTCCATGGACGAAATTGCACACGTTGCGCCGCGATGGCGTGCTATTCCCGACAAGTGATTTTTTTCTCTCCACACCCTGCACATTGCATATCAAGCTTCAAAATTATACTGCGCAATAACGTTACTTATTTCCACTTCTGTCATTATTTTCAGAGACGCTATCGCGCCGCCCTGCTGGAAGCTCATATACGAAAGAGAAAAGAAAGCCCCACCTAAAGTTTAGTGACTGCTTTTATTAATAGGTTTGCATGGAAGGCGCATCTGAACTTGAAAAGAGAAAAAATAATCTTGTGATCAAGCTTTTGGTCACAGAAAGTACCGACCCTCTCCCGCCTTCTGCTTCTCCCGCACACAAGTTTGAGCAAAGTTCTAGTCCTTCCATGCGTTTCCCTCGTCCTAGATTACCCGACTATCCCGCTTTACGACGCAAGATCCACCCTATCCTCCCAGAGCCATCCTCTCCCAGACAAGTCGATTCTCTCGCCCGTGGAGGAATTTGTAATGATGCGTTTCTTTCTTTGTCAAGGGAAAAAACGAGGAAACGCGCATGGCGCTTTTGCCACGGCATTCGTGCTCGGATCCGCGGGCGCGTTTCGTGTCCTGATAACACCCATAGGGGGAAGAGAAGTAGATCATGAACAAAACGTTGTTGAATCACATTTCGTGTACAAGAATAAAACGAGATTCAGGGCGCAGGCGCGCGCGTCTGCCAGGTGGAGAGCAGCTAATGGACCGCGGCGCATCCAACCCCTTCCCCCTGTCCCCTCACTCTGGCCCAGCTTCGGAGGATAAAGTTTTCGAAGATCTGCCGCATAAGCTCCAAGAGAAAAGAGTTACCATTTAGCCTTCCAGCTAATCTATTCCAGTACATCAGCCACGGCGTTCAATCGCCCGCCGCCCGCCGCCTGAGGATTAACCAAATGATCCCGGATCCACGCTGCTGGGCTCTAGCATTACATTCATGATCCTCTGCGAGTGAATAAGGGCATGCTGGAGATGACAGGACCAGGAGCTAGTTATAACAATAAGTCATAGAAGTAACTGCAAGCCGGAATGCCCGGATCGGCTGCACAGGGGAAACAATGAAAATGCGGAGAGTGAGGTAAGTCTACCTTATCATATCTTACGGAATTATTCGGTGAGTAGCTAGTGCTATTTGGGTCTAAAAACTCCATTCTGGCGATGTACAGTAGATATCCAGAAGTACGAACACCAGACGTACTGCGATGGTACAACCGTCCGAGCCGGAGATCGGAAGGCTGTGCCCGTAACGCTGACGGATACGGCGAAGCCGAACATGAACCAACTATTAACCAGAGTAGTATGGCAATGAATCCGCGGCGAATTCATTAATTTCATCTCTAACTCATCCGAGAGTCTTCCATTTATCATCTGTATATTGCAATCACGGTTTGCCACACAACTGCGCTTAAGCGTGATTGAGTTCGGTCAAAAATCGAAGGTTACTACTGATATTCAACAGAAGACGAGGGTACTCACCAATAAGAGCAAAAGGCGCGGAAGAGCATATACCCGTATCATTGGCCCGCTGGATCCAGGAGGTTTGCAAGAATCTTACCGTATTCATTTCGCCTGGAGCTCAAATTGCTCCAGGAGCATTCCCTCCTGCCACCGCCGAGCTCCGACGCGACATTGACCGATTTTTCCACCCGCCCGTGGAACTTTCGAGTTTCCCATCCCATGACTAAAGTCCCATGCTGCGCCATGCAAAAGGCGGCCTGCGCTCCCACGACTATAGCGGAAACAGGAGGAAGGAGAGGAGCTCTGAACGAAGGAAGGCATCCGCTTAGTGTTCAACGGAGAGGTATGCGTGTTCACAATCCCACAGTAATAAGCTATTTGCGTGTGTGTAGACGATTGTACTGAACTACAGAAGCAAACGTCATGACCTTTTCCCTTCCAGTAGCCCCGCAAACACGACTAAGGCCAGGGAGTGATGATCCTGCAAGATAAGTAAGAACTTCACGGAGGATATTGAAGCCGGAAGTTTTCGAAAAGAAGCATTAACCTCGGTACTTTAGATGCATTACTTGAGGACAGTTCTAGAGGCCACTGAATGGCAGGCACGGAGCGCTCATGGAACGAACGTGTCGATATACTTTGACTTTTCACTTTGCGATCTTCCCATTTTCACAGCATTAGCCAAGTACAGACCGCCTGAGAAGTAGTAACACTATTTCCTTTTATATTCGTATGTAACTAATTCGCTTTCCTGTCCGAGGCTACATTTGTACCCCAGTTGCTTTCGTAAGGAAAATAGGAGGCTGTCTCCCAGATCCTCGGGCGGGCAACTCTCGGTACTCCATGTTTGCAATAACGACCGTCACTGAAGACGCCGCATAATACTCCCTTTTAGCCCCTACTTTGACAAACGTGGGCGTGTGGAACAAGTCCACGGAAGTGACAAACCAGCAACTAAGCAACATTGCAAAGAGTTCGCCGCGAAAACGTGTTTTCACTGCGTGCTTAACTCGAGCAATTGAAATCGCATGCAGAAAGTCAGTGCTGCGTGGTGGTTGGTCCCACAAGACTGGTCATTATTATTCCTACCTTCTGTGGCAAATATATTGTTCCAAATGCTGTCCAGGGTCGATGTAGAAGAGACGAAGGTTCGTAGCTACTCACCTAGGATGCATATTGCGAAGTTTGGGAGCGAAGACGATAGGGCGTACCAATTGAAGCCGCGAAAATGTGGTCTGGTCTAAAGTTGATTGATTCTTTGATAAGCAGATAAATGGGTGCAAATAGCTGACAGAGCTGTGCCCACCTCAACGCCGCCGGTCCATTTTAGAGTTTGGCCGTTGATCAACCGGAGCAGTGCCCCTTGCTTGCCGAAAAGCATAACCGAGACGATCTTGATCCGCCCTTGTTGTGGAGACCAAAGGGTCAGACATGTATGAACTCTGATCGTCGTTGTGATAACCTAATTTGGTTCCGTCTATCAGTCGCTTGGGCCTTGACGGAGAATACAGAAAGGAAAAACGAGGCTTGATCTTGTGATACCTGAAATACGGGTAGTTTTGGGGCGAGTGCTTTTGTTTTGTTTGAACAATTGCGTCCCATGAAGGTGTGGAATGAGCCAACTGATTCGGAAGCGGTAATCGGTCGTCTTGCAGACATTACGCATTAGAGGTGACGCGGGCATAAACGCAAGACATAATTGGTTTGGCGGGCACTCACTAGTCGTTAGGGCGTTGCGACATTGCATTACAGGTTGAATGGTAAGTGATTGTTCTGGAAATAATTTGTCGGTGAAAAGTGCTTCTATTCGCAGCAAGTTGTCTTCGACAATAAACTAACCCTTGACAATCTTACGATGGTAAGAGTATGACAACCTTCGTCTTGGGTAAGATCAAGATGATGCGGAGAAAGCGGCCTTCTTGTTTTTAGGCTTTTCCTTGAATCCAAAGTGAAAAAAGCCAACCAGTGGATGCATCTGATGCTGTTTCGGCTACAGGACCACCGAGGACAGGTCTTGAAAAAGCAAATGTAAATGTCAGCCGTCAAGGCGTAAGGGAGTGGTTTTGGATATAAGGGCGATAAATTCAAAGAGCTGGTGAAGAGCTGGTGATAAGTCGGCCAATGGTTTGACTGACTGTTGGACAGTGGTCAATAGTAATGCCTCGGACAAGGGCGTCGGCAGCAGGCGCATTCGCTTCCGGTAAGTAAAGCGATTTATGAGTTATAGAGTTGTATATCGTAGTCATGACTCCATAACAAACAAGGGAGACGTGTCATCATCAGCAAGTAGACCGGCTCGATGCGGTGATTTCGCAGAACAAATCAGCGGTTTTGTTGTTTATCATGTACTGTGACATGCATACCACCGGCCTCGGAGTAACGCCTAATTAAAAAGAAACCTGGACAGGCGACGCCACTGGTAGAAGGCGTAAGTATTTGGATATAGACGAGAAGGTTGGATCCAAGATTAGATTCAAGACAGTACTTAGACAGTCAGCCGGCCTTCCAAGGCAGAAGAGCGGAGAAAACGTAAAACAGGTCCGGTCGACGAAGAGCGGGATGCGATCCTGACGAGAGTTGGACTGAAATGGGTCAGGCTATCCCATGGCCGTAACGGAGTTCTCGTCCAGAGCGTCGCCGCAGCACGAAGAGCGAATGAGAATTGCATTCCAGAAATCTAGCATGTGGATAGCAGATATTCACCATTGTGCAAGTTGCTAAGCATAGGCGACTGAGTCCGGGGCAGGCAGCTTCTGTATTGAGATGTAGGCTGACAGCTTTTTACTGCTTCTGTTGCTTTCCACAAAGGCGAACTGGGGTACTGTTGAAAGTCCAGAACGCGACTGAGTCCGAAATGCAAGAATCCCGAAGCGTCCCCAGGGAAAGACATTCTTGGCTTGTGGAACTCGAGGTGGGTTGCACGTATTAGGTGGTCTTTATTCTTTCACTAGCGCGTTCTGAGATACTCACGAGCATATGGTCCGTTGGCGCAGGAAAATAGATGAGTAAAGATGCGAAAGCGGAAGAACTGATTAGAGTGACCAGCCTTGCCAGCATGACTCATTCATAGAACTGTGAGATGAGCGGGGACCTTGGCACGAAGACGCTCGGCATGCGAGGCGGCTGCTCGCTGTGCCATAAGCACTTTGTGTTCTCAAGACGGAGCTGTCCACAACCGGTCAATCCAGCTGTGACAGTTCATTTGCAGAAAAGAAAGTGATGCAATGCCATGGAGCTGACACAACGATCGGGTTTGTTGAACGACATTGTACTCTGTCTATTCCAGCTGTCTCGACGTGGAGGGCGGCCTCGTGATGAGATGCTAGCTGATGCATCAGTGACACTTGGAGACCCACGATAACTGCTATAGCGCTCGACAAGCCGGCGAAACAACAAGCTTCAAGCCGGCAAGAGTGTCTTGCTCGGCGGTGCCGTATGGGTATCCGCGAGGCCATATAGTTTAGCTCGTGGATAAGTTCTCGTGCAGAAGGGGCGACACGCGCGGGAAAGAATGACGGTGGACGAAGAATGATCGACTCGCAAAGAAGAGTGTTGAAAGGGCAGTTACAAGGAGACTTTTGAGTGCTCAGAGCGGTGCATGCTGATGGCAACAATCAGCATTTGAAATTCAGCACCGATGGGGTCTGGCAGAACATGTCGGGCACGGCGGACCAGCCTCGCTCAAGCCGCGGGCGACGGAATCAAAGATGCGTCTGCCTTTCTTGGCCATTAACCAATATCGGGTCTGCGCACTACAAAAAAGAAACAAAAAATGATACTCTGATAGCCCTGCCCTTTGTGCCACCAGTGGCAACGCAGAGGTGGTGGGGCTGGTACCGGCTGGTCGCGCTGCGGTGCTAACGGACACTGTGATGACAGGGTAGAAAGGTGCAAATGCAAGTCGCAACGTGCAACGCTGGCGGCTGTTCGGATCGCGATGTGCTCTGGGGTCACTTCGCGGATTCGACATCTTGAAATCTCGCTGGTTCCTCGCCATCTGCATCTGCTGCAGCGCATGTCTACACAGACTGGGAACCAACTTCCAACAGAAGACTGAGAAGAGAAGACGAAGACAAGGGCGAGAGAGCCTGGGGGGCGGTAAGCTTAGAAGCTTTAGGATAGCCTCAGGCGGCCTTTGAACTGCCTGTTCTCACCTCAAACCTTGATTCAAGCCGTGGACTGCGCAGCTCCCTCTCACTCGCACTTTCTCTGGCGACATGACCCGAACAACTCTCGATCCAGTCGTGCTCGGGCGGACGGGTTGACGCATATAGTCGCGTGCTCCCGGCTGCCACGCCCACGATTAGCTACCAATCACTCCAGGATCCAATGTCAGTGCCAGTGCTGATGCAGACCTGATCCCGATCCCTGCCACTGTCTGCCTGAGAATACAACGCTAACCCATCTCGCTTGTTGCCTTATGATCGCACTCCTCGGCCCTAATCTCTCTTCTCGCTTATTCTATGATCGCTATAAAGACCTACGTCCGCCGTCCCGTCTCTCCTGCCGCTCTCCGTAATTTGGCCTCTTTTGTCTCAGAGCCTCTTGGCCGAAAAGCCTCTCTCGCTTTATACTGCTGTCGTCATCATCTTACTCTCCTGTTGCCCACTACGTTCTCCACAACGTCTCCCGCGAAGAGCACTCATATGCGGCCCAGTCAGCGGCCGACAGCAACCGGCATGCGCGTCCGCTCGACGCGCGACGCCAATGTACTCTTTCATGCTGTTACCTGTGGGATACTCCCAATGGTCTCCCGCCGTCTAGATGCCGCGGACCGTGCTGCGCTTCGACCCGGCTGTGTGTACATATGGGAAGAGCGTTCCCCCGCCTCCGATGCCACCGGCGCAGGCATGGAGCGCTTCACCGAGGGCCGACACTGGCATCCTTCGCGCGTCCGTGACGTGAGTCGTAGATCCCAACGCCGATACTCTCGTGTCAATGCTAATTTAATCATTATCTGTTGCCCGTCCTGCTTCCGTGTTTGATCGCCGCCCCCCGTCGCCAGGACTTCTTGCTCTATGTAGAAAAGGACTGGGATACAAATGAAGCGCAAGCTGCTGAAAGGAGCCGAATGCTGAGGTGGCTCTCTCACTTCTCCGCTATTATTCCCGACTCCAAATCTAACAACGTCCGCAAATTACAGACACCATCGCGATGCTTATCCGTCGACGTCGTATCATATTCAATCTGCGCGACGCCAGCCTCTTATAAAGCAGACTTACTCAGCCTGGGTTAACACCGGTACATCTCTCAAAAAATGGCACATGAGTATGTGATTTCCATTTGTCGGTCTCCGTGAATTCATTCGTCGTGTTCGCGAGTTAACCGAAGTTTATTTTTTCTCTTTTCCCCATGTGCATCTAGATGCGTACTATACGGAAGATTCGCTCGAAGAACTTCGCACTGTGGACGACATTCCTGTTCTTGCGAATTTGCACGTACCGCATGAGTGCTACCAGCGCGCACGCTCAAGCACTGTCGGCACCAGCAAGAAAGCCGAACGCGGACCGCGCGAACCTTTTTCGACTGACGTCGCATTGGCTCATGCTCCGCGGAGAAACTCATCGTCGACCGCGTCTCAAAGCTCCCAATCCGATCGCGACCAATCACAGTCCTCAGTCTGCACGCCACTTTCTGCGTACTCGCGCTTTTCACCCTTTCCACCCAGTCCAATCTCAGCAATTACGTCGCCGTCATCAGGGCCATGCGCTCGTGTGCACTCTCCACTTCCAATGTCTCCTTCACGCATCCCAGGCGGATATCCGCCAACACTTCCACCATTGCTCGTGCCCAGCCAAGGACCCGGTTCCGGAGAGATGTATCGGAGTCCGGTGCAATTCCCTACGCCTTCTCCATCTCCTTCCGTAGCGTCGTCCCATCCGTCTTCTCTTCCATCACCAGCGGCTGACAACGCTGCAAGCCTAAGCTCTCTACATGCCCTACCCGCACCTTTGGGTCCTCCGTCTGGTTCTTCTGGCCCTCGTTCGCTAGTACCCCTGGAGCATCTGCGCGCGGGTCATGCAACACTTCGCCGAGAGCCCGCGGACGATGAGATACTTCGCTCGTTCCGTCTGCTTTAGGTACTGCCGTCACTCATGGATTCTTAGAATTAGGGCCCAAAAAAAGGACGGCTTTCCATGGTTGTTCAGTCCCTGGAGCCCCTCTTCGTCTCCAGTGTTATTTTTGACTTATATTCGTTTTTCCTCTACGAACCCCTTTTGTTTGATCTTTGCACCCACGGACTCAACTCGCTTCGCTGCGCGCGCTTGCTTTTTTTGGCTCAGTACTGTACTAGTGTATGCATACCCTTCCGCCCTCTTCTCTATTTCCTTTTTCTCTTCTCTTCCTTCTTGATTTCTTGAAGACATGCCACCGAAACGCAAATGTATACCACCATACGCATATATCGCTCAATCAGACCAGAACGAAAAGAAAAGAAAAATTGTAGCAGTTCTTCCGCCTCGTTGCACATGCTTTCTATGCCTGACGCGGTTCCAGATCGGTTGATAATATCAGGGTGCGAGATACATGAAAGCGAAGAGAGAACATTAACGAGACGCGGCCCTGTACCGATATTCAACCTCCTATTTCCCCAAACTATTTTGCTTTTTGTAGTTTACCTGCGTGTGTGTGCAGGGAAATCAAATCGGATTGAGAGGGACTTTCGCTCGCTCACGAGTAACGATGCGGTTAATGCCCTTGAAAGTCTTCTTCTTTACATGCTGTTCAAATTGTCCCGGCCTCCATCGGCTTCTCTCTGCCTTACTCCCCATACTCACTCGTTCATTGTTGGAAAAGCTTAACTCACTTCTTTACTATTTACTTCACACGAAGCGGAGAGGTAAGTCCCTCCCCAGAAAATCCGAGGAGAGGAAATGAGAGAAATTAGTTACACATGTACGTGCTACTCAACTGCAAGCGAAAGAGACACGTCTACATAACAACGTTATTCGCGTGGACGAGGGTGAAGAATAATATATGTGAAAAAGAGAAAGTTAGTTGGAAGAAATGAATGAACTTAGTGAGAAAGAAAAAATTGGACCCGTTGCCGTATATGCCGAATAAATCAGGAAGGTGATCCCTGAAAAAGACAAAATCCAATCTCACAGGCAATCTAATGCAATAAAATAAAATAAAAATTGTATGAATTAGAAAAAAAATAATTAAAACCTTTAAGAATTTGGCTTTTATTCCGCATGCAGACTATGTGCTCGTGTTCGGGGAAATCGGCCTTCATTGTTTGTTTTCCCTTGAGGCTCTCAATGGTCTAGAGCATACTTGGAACTTTGGGGGCTTTGATGTACTTCAAACCACTCCGTTAATGAATAGGATCTATTCATTCAATTTCATTGTGTCGCATTCTGATCGATGTCTACATGCGTCCATAATGTTCTTGTTATTCCTCGTAGCGGTTTAGCCCCTTCTGCCTGCTGTCAACGGATCTTTGTTGTCTCCTGATACCGACTATCGAAAGAGTAGGGTTGGAGAGGGTCGCGTCACAGTCTATAGTCATTAATCACCTCTAATCAGTGACTCTTATTAGTAAGGGCTGTGGCTAGACTAGACTGAGCAAGGGTCGAGCCGCCAGGTACGCGGATACGTTCCTAGAGGGGCGAAAATCCCGCTTAAAAGTGGCTAATTTGTCTAATCTCGTCGTAGTAAGAACATAGGCTAAATACGCGGCTGCCGGACAAATAAAAAACCAAAACAAATTTATAAGCGGGACATCCGGGCAAAAAGCTTAAAGAGCATATGTTAATTCCGGGGCAGGAAACACCCGAGCGTGTTGAAGCTAGAGCCGAGGCGATTGGAGATATCTATCCGACCCGTTACACATCGAATTTGTCTGGATGTTGGATTTGTCCTTTTTCCTGGATTATGCGTGTTTCAGGAAAGTAAAATCCGTGGATTTTATGAATTGAGTAGTAAGAGCTAGTTCATTGCAATTCACTCTTTTTCTTCGACCTTCGGCGGGCTCGAGATCGGGTCCAGGAAGTAGGCGGGCAGCTGATTTTGCCAGGACGATCAACGGAGACGAGCGGCACGCTTTTCCTTCATACTTTTTGCTCCTCTCAGCAATCTACTTCTTCTAGGCTTAATATCTCAACCTGCCGAGTTCGAAGGTATCTGTTATGATTTGCGTTCTACTGTCTCGCCCGCTCGGTTAAGAGATCATAAAAAGTTATATTGTGCGATGGAATTATGCGGCATTTTTTATTTCCCTTACTCTAACCAACAAATCCCCATCAGACTCAGGTGTACGCGGATCGGAAGAAGACGTTCGGGAGACCCCATCGTACTTCCATGGCATGTTAAAGCATTTAAATTTATCAATAGACGTAATGCAACCGGATTGAATAATAAATGCTCACAGCAATTTTCTTTTCATTGCAGATGACCCGTATTCAAAAAGTTGTCATTGGATACCCACACCATTGTATCTTCGAGTTCGAGTTCCAAGACGAAGTGTGGTGATGTGAAACGGCTCCAGAATTAAAAAGAATCACCCAGTATCGGTAACTTCCTTGGCCCTTGGATGCATGGGTGGCATCAGCTTGGCGCATTGACTACAAGCGAGGACTTCGTTTGCAAAAATGAGCTTACGGAGGGGCATGTAAAAAGAGTCTGGAAGTTCCATTGCAGAATACGGAGAACCCCCGATTCCTACGAAGCTTTTCCACCTTTCATCGACGGTCCGGTGGATAGAGAGAAAGTCAATGCGAAAGCAGCATCTTCCGCGCAGCCTTTGTCCTTACGATGCGAGACAAACCCGAATCGGACAGCTTGCCTCGCTGGAATACACGACCCTCGTTTCTCTGTTCTCTCTGTTCTAATAGAAGAACACAAGCGCCGCCTTATGTGCTACCTGCTCCATCCACACTCCTCTCCTAGCAAACGGGATTACACCGCCCGCGCCGCCGCATTGAAATAGAGCATGCACATGCTTCACACGCGTGAATCGGAGAAAACAGAGTGCGACTAGAGAAGAGGCCACCACTCGGATGAATCGGAGGGTCTTCGGGAATCTGAGAATTAGCAGCAAACAAAACGAACGTGAGACGAGGAGCTTTTATCCAGTCCCACACTGAATTCGACGTCGGGTCGGAAGCAATTCAGCGGCGATGTCTCGCGGAATGACTATGTGCATTGGCTTGCACTCCTTTCGCTATACCTACACTAGAACGCTTCGATTAGGCGCGTGAAGCCTTGAAGGTGGCTAACTCCCACTACATCGAACGCCGTCTCGATCAAGACGGACAAATTCAGGCCCAAGAACGACACTAAAGACAAGAAGACAAGAAGAATAGCCGCGAGTATTCTCGGACGCTGATCTCGAGGTGGAACTCCTGATTGCTTGAAATATTGACCATCAACTTTGGGAAAATACTTGTACTTTCCAAGCATACATCTCCATGGGTCTGGAAGTATATTCACATGGTGCTTGTAAGACGTTATGCCCGCCGAGACTATACAAGCGTTTAATATTTAGGGGTTTTTAAATATGCTCCTTAATGTTGGTTAGGTCTTCATGAGAGATTTCTCTTGAGACTTGGATTCATTTCAATATTCTAGCGGAACAACACACGGTACATTGAGTAAGGGGATAATGTAACAAGGCGAGAATTACGGATGTCCTCATTTCCCTTTCGCACAGCAATAATCAGAACAACAACAACATACATTTCACAGGAAGTCAATCCACCAGGGGTCGCAATTATAGTACGTTGTGGACTTTCTCGGGACCATTTACTTGTGTTCTACACACAGCTCCATAAAGACACTACGGTTGAATGGAAGAGACCGCCTTTCATTCATACATATATGCATGTATGCCTTCACTTCTCTAAATAAGGATGATGTGATTGGATCAATCTACGCCTCGCTGCATTCCTTCTCGACGAGCGAGTCCGAAACGCGACAACTCACGAGTTCTAGGGTCATTGCAACTAGAACGCTTTCAGTTCATCAATAACCTGTCTTGGTGGCTTTTGCGGGTAATCCGCGGACGAAAAGGCTACCAACACGGTCACCACGACACCACCTGTACTGAGCGCATCTTGAGCGCGAAATATTTCTCCTCTTTTACCCTGATTTCGTCATCGAGCATTTTGAAATATCGAAATATCGAATTTGCAAACTCTTTCGGGTTGTTCTCCCCAAAGCGCGGACGGGTATCGTCGGTATCCCAGTAAGTCATATATTTGAAAAGGGGAATTGCCGATAACTTAACGCTCGATGAATGAGTCCACATCTCAGATAGATAGATCCGCACAATATAGTTTAAAGATCAATATCCAAAGCTTGTTTGACGACGAATGATTATCACGGCGCCTAGGAATGCATTCTGAAGCTAATCGACTCCTGGTTGAGCGCGCGTTAATCAGACGACAACTCCAGTTTGTTAGCGATCCATCATCATGTTGCAAGGAACTGTTATCGGAAATAAGACAAAGTTTCCAACTCCACCGCTCAGTTGCCTTTCGGATTGTCTTGTTGAACGCTTCTGAGACGGATCCAACACCATAGACAACGCTCAAATCAATATCAGGCTTCTGGTTCCCTCCTGGTTTCAAATCCCTCAAGCTTTGATGCGTTATCCTTGGTGTTCGGAGTCTTCTTAGAAAAGCGATGTAACATACAAGTTTACATCCTTCTTCTCCTAATCAATTACCTCATGCAACGAACTAAACGCCGCTGCTTCTCCATACATCGACCTTCTCCAAATGCACAAGGGTGTGCAGAGCTTAGAGGCGCCGTCGAGGTATTTTCGCAGATGAATGATGCAATGAATGATGCGGCCCTAGTATTTCATGGTTTGAGATGCACCTCATCAGAGTTTGAGTTCAGACTGGACGTGCAGGTAAGTTACAATACACTGCGCAACGATGCGTGAGCTATTTCTTCCTATACGAGGCTAGTATTCATCCTTGCCAGAAGGCCGCTTGTCGTTTGACCGCGAAGTCTCATTAGAAGCCCCAGGTTGAACCGTTTAACGACGGAGAATGACGGTCGCCGGAGCTCTTCTTTAGCAAATTGTGGTAATTGTAATAGATCTGCCTTTCAAATGAATGAAGGAAACGGTTGAGAGGGTTTTGCGTTTAGAGCTCACTGTGTTAATAAGAGATTATGATCCTGGAGCTTGTGAAGGTACGTTCTCGCTTTATTTGCCGAAGGTTCATCCGCATATACAAGCGGGTCTGTCCATTTGATGCACAAGATGCTACCATCACGGAGAGAGAAATCTGTGCATCCAATTTTGCAGATAAAAATAATAATAAAAATGATTGCGTAGAGATGGTCCAGTTGATAAGACTCTTGATGAACTCCGAGCAAGGACCAACATAACCTAGATCCCCGCTGAGGTACCCGTCATCTCTCTTCGCAGTGAACAGAACAGGACAACAATTCCCAGTGGATCCACAATAATCCAAGAATCCTTTATGATTTCCTGTATTGAATGTATTGTTCATGCTTAGCATGAACAGGACCTGACTGTGTGCTAAGTTGGCCAAGCAAAAACCCCGAGAATATATTCACATCTGCGACATTGTATTGAGAAACGGTGAATGAAAAGAATAAATTAGAGTACAAAGGAATACCCGCGTCCAAACTGTATGTCTGCATCTCCTACTTCACTCCTCGCCGTTATCGTCATCGTCACTCCCTTCTCCCAGTCCTTCAAGTTGAACTTCATTCTTCCCTCCGTCCCTATCTTCATTGTCCGCTCCGTCCTCTCCTTCATTAGCCTCCTTCGTCTTCTGCAACTTCGCAATGACCTTATCCGCCCTATTGAAGATCCCGCCGGTCGCCGTCCCACAAGCAATACATTTCGGAGTCTTCGCGAACCGTTTGATAGCACATGCAGAGCAGAAATAATGTCCGCATCGTGTTACGACGGGGTCAGTGTACGGTTTGCGGCAGATTAAACATGCGAATGGGATATCATCGTCCGAGTCTGTATCGCTATCCGAGTCTGAGTCGCCGACATTACGTTTTGCATTCTCCGCAAGCTTGTCAAGCTGCCACCCAGCAAGATCTAAATACCAAGTCAACATGTTAGTAAGTAATTTGGAGCGGAGGCGAAGGGAAATAACGTACACGTTCCACGGTCATGAAGGAACTTGCAGGTGTCGCCAAATCCACAGTAACCAGTTTCTACATTGGAGTTAGACGCGAAGCCTCGGCAGAGAAGAAAACAACACCACATACCTTTGTAGTCCTTACACACGTCGGGTTGGTAGTCAACTATGGTAACTTGGCGTATGGTGCTCGACGTATTCCGTTGAGGACCCACACGCATGGCCTTTGGCACTTCCTGGTTCTTCTTCAAATGTGACTTGTATGCATTTTGTCCATGATACAACCCATCATCTAGTCCGTTTTCCTCCTCATCTCCGTTCAGCTTCGTCTTCTTGTTCCGCCGCTCCGCCAAAGCTTCGGCCTCATCACCCGCCAGGATCTCCTGGGCGGCGGCCTGGTGGGAGCCTGATGCAGTCCATTTCACGTCTGGCCCGTTACGAGCTTCTTCATCTGAGAAGTCGCCATCATCTCTTTGTGATTTTAATCGTTTGGTCCCTGCCGAAAGCAGATTTGGACCCGCTTTTCGAGAAGGAAGAACCACCTCTGACTTTGTGGCAGTATTTACTTCTGAAGCAGCTGATGATTGCATCACGTTTGCAGCAGACGGAGATGTGTCACGTCTTCTGTGGTTTGCGGGCCGTGACTTGCCCTTCTTGAAGAATGGGACAGCAGGCTGAGTGTCCGTCATGGCAAAGATGGTCGTGGTCAAGAGGATAGTTGAATTGCAGTCACTTTCAAATGTTGTAGTACTTGTACACTTGTTAAGTTGTGATCGGCGATTGTATTACTAAGCAGACCGAGGATGACTAAATTAGCAGGAAAAAAATCATATTTATTTTGTGCATGAGGTGATGCAACAGAAAAAGCATGCAGTAGAAATACATCTAAGAGAGTAGCATCAAACCACTCGTAAAAAAACAGTAAAGTCAATATTTTGGCTGTTCCGAGACGGGAAGAAATAACTCACATAGTACGGCATTGATACAGCCGTCGTTTTCCGGGTTGTTCGTAATTTGGGCATACTTTCCAAACACGACCTTCCCTCCAGTTGTCACCATACCGAGTTCTGAGACATTCACTTCAATTACAGTACCCTTCGTCAGCACACCTAGCTGCGTGTACATCGGAGATTGAGGATTCTTCTTGACACCCAATATTTGCAACTGGAACGTTGCCTTCAAGTCGGCTACGTAACGTAAAGTTAGACAGACTATGAAAAGTAGCCGGAATGAGAGTACGTACGATGCGTAACGTTCGCCTTTTTATATCGCAGGGCCATCGGCCGGACAAACCGCTCCATCTTGACCGGTTTGCGCGTGAAACCCTCTCCGACGAAAGTCGCCTTCGTAACCATACGCTTCCAGGACTTGCTTTTGTTCTTTCCAGTTCGCATGACCTTGAAAACTTCCTCCTCCGCAACTCCTCGTACCTTGGGTAACGGTACGGCATACTTCGCAGCCTTCTCCTTTCGTCTCTGCTTGATTGCAGATGACATTGCCTTCGCATCCTTCTGGCCTTCACGGTCAAGCAAGAAGGTCGGAAGTGCCCCCTCTGGAGTAGAAGCTGCGTCCTTCTGCTTCACATTTCTCTCATCGTGCGCTTTGAGGGTCTTCTTGAGCTGCACTTTCTCAGCATGGCGTTTAGCGTGGAGCAATTTTGCCTTGAGACCGAATGCTTTCTGAGCGACTGCAGATGACTTGTGCGCCGCCCGTGCTTCCCGCTTCCGTCTAAAATGGTCTGAGAAGGTAATCGCTTGCGAAGAAACAGGGACATACTTTTTCTCGTAATAGTCTAATCGTCGCCCATGGCGTTTGATGTGTTCCTCAATGTACTCGTTCTAGGCAATATTCAGTACTGCTTCTTTGTCAAATATGAATTAAATCTACCTGAGGCTAGAACACAATACAAGAAACTTAGCGCATATTTGATAATTGGGATAAGAATTCACTCACCATGATGGCTCAGAGCAAGTTGTCGTAAAATGTGATGCTACATACGGACTTCCTTTTTCGTCGATTATCTCGCACGTGACGTAACTTTCTTTCTCCACGTTGCCTGTGCGGACACGCAGTTCTCAATCTCTCGACGTTCACCAGCCAGTCGGCCCTGTAAATTGTCAGAAAAATAAATGTGGCAAGACGCGCAAAATCCGTATACTCAGGCTGCACAGTCACAATACTACAGCCAACCTCAGCCACCTCCTCAAGGGCAGCCTTTACAATTCTATGCACCTTCTCCCGGTCCATCAGACAATGCCTATTATCCAGGCTCTCGCCCTAGTTTAGAGGGAAATATGGGGAACATGGGTGGAAGTGGAGCATCTTCTGGATTTGGAGGGAACATCCAGCAGGTCGGACCTTGGTGGACTGCGTTTGGGACAGGAGGACTTGACGGCGAGCAGCCTTTGCTAGAAGGTAGTTCATGCATTTCTTCATAATAGCCCCTTTAAATCTAATAAAATACTATTAGAGCTCGGGATCAACTTCTCACATATCCGTGCCAAGTCATTGACTGTACTTAATCCCTTTGGACGCGTGGATGAACACATCATGGACGACGCCGATCTATATGGGCCTTTGATATTCTGTTTCTGCTTTGCTACATGTCTACTCTTCGTAAGGACATCACCTCCCTGGCTCCAATCCTTCACTCGTTATGCTAACTAGTTTTGCTTATGCTAGTCTGGGAAACCTCAGTTTGGTTACATCTACGGAGTCGCACTCCTCGGCTCTGCATCGATTTACACGCTCCTCAACCTTATGTCAGAAACGGGCATCGACGCGTATAGAGTAACATCCGTGCTGGGCTACTGCCTATTACCCATGGTCGGTGTCGGAGCGCTTAGCGTTGTTACAACCCTCGAGTATGTTGCAGTTTCATTACTCTCCTTGTTCATTTTATCAAAACTCATACAAATTCCATTAATAATATTTAGTGGCCTAAAAGGCCTCGTCTTAGCATCCCTTTCAATTGCATGGTGTACATACGCCGCATCAGGCATATTCGTCGCCGTACTCCGCATGTCCCAACAACGACTACTCGTTGCATACCCCGTTGGACTCCTGTATGGATGTTTTGCTCTCTTCAGCGTATTCAGTATCGGAAACGGTGTTGAAAGCGGTCCAGAAAAGGCACTGTAGCTACTCATATCTATATAATACTCTTATAATCTCCTCGATCGGAAAATAAAATTTATGTAAACAAAAATACATTCATAAGACATGAATCCTTGAAGCCCAATATTGTTTACGTAATCAGTTACTGGTTAACTTCGAACCGCCATGGCCGCTGCTTCAGGTTCAGCCTCGCCTTCACCAGGCCCAAATTCAGACAATACTACAACACCAGCAAACAGACATGCGCCAACAGCACTAGAATTACAGCGCATGCAACTCGCGAAGTTGCTCAAAGATCCTGCCAAACCTGCACATATCCCCACACCACCGAAGGAGAAGACGATCCGCCCTCCGCGCGAGATGATGAAGAACGTGCAAGGGAGTAGTGCAGGTGCAGGGAGTGGTGAATTTCATGTATACAAGGCTGCCCGGAGGAGGGAATATGAGAGACTGAAGTTGATGGAGGAGAAGACGCAGAAGGTGAGCTCTGGCTAGCCAAGTTCGGCGTAAGGAACATGACGAGAAAGCTGAATTGGTGATACTTTTTCTTTAGGAAACCGCTGAACTTGAGTTTGAAATGAAGAAACGTCAATGGGAGGAAGAGGCTGAGGCTAAGACAGCAAAGAATCGTGCAAAGAGGCAGAAGAAGAAAGAAAAGGCGAAGGAAAAAGCGAAGAGTGGTGTCCCGAGTTCAACGGCCCCTGGAGGTAAAGCCGGTGCAGAGGGGACTACTGGTACAGGAATTTCAGCGGGAGATGCACCACTGAAGAAACGAAGACTTGTTAACGGCGAAGTGATGGTCTTCAGGAAACCAGGTGAAGAGGGGGAGGAAGGTAGTGAAGAAGACGAACCAGGTCCACTCCCAGCTGAGATGGTACAGCCCACCTCCGAACCCGGAGCATCGGCGGTAGACGACCAGCCACGAGAAGTGGCTGAAGCCGCCAAAATTGTTATTCATGAGGACGATTGATTATCGGTGAGAAATAATATCCGTTTCGCGAACTCAGAATACTATCGAGAGTATTAACAGGCTCTTTCATAAGAAGGTTCCTTGCTTGATAAGACTTGGTCCGTGCATCACGCCGAGGCTCTTCTTCCGTTGCCTCACGGCTCTACTGCGCATTGTTCTGTGCTTCCCAAAGTGTTTCGCAAGCTCTTACCGATTTTGCAATTCCACGAGGAATTCTTTACCCTTTACGCCATAATATGTGAAGGCAGAAGTGTACCGTATCTTCTCGTACCTATTTTGCATACTTGCTTAAATGCGAACTTTCACGCCAGATTGGAAGGGGTTTTCCGTATCGCAGGTGCATAAAATTTGGTGCATTTATTTATCCTTCTTCATCTCGCCGTCATCGATCACAAAGTCCATTGTACGTACAGGCATTGTGCATATGGCGTCTGTTTTCAAATCCCACCCGGCTTTATTTGCCTTGTCTAAAAAGTCAAGGAATTTTGTGTTTGTGCATTCCAACGACTTCTGAAGGGCGCTGAAACTTCCTGGAGTCACATTATTGCTCTCCTGTCCGACCTGGAGTCTGGACCCAGCTATCCGACAAAGTTCAACGGCATTCACCCAAGCTTTTAGGTAGTCCTCGGGCTTTGCTCCGTGCTTAAAGCATATCAGAATCTTGCACGGGAAATCTGCTCGTATGCCGAGGAGAACGTAAGCTTCATGTTCAAATGCTACAAGAGCATTTTTCCAAGAAGCCATCGATCCCTGCCGTGAACGGCGCAATAACTCCTCGGGCGACGTACAGATAGTGCACGTCCCTAGGAGAAAACCCTGCAAAGAATCACGTATAGCACCGGGTACTTCAAATATCCGTTCACGCCGCGCTACTTCTGATGGTGTCAGGACATTGTTGCTCTGCTCACAATAAACCCCGTAAGCGATATTTGTTCGTTGTCGGCTGAGGGTTGTAAGTGTGACGGCGCGTACGGCAAGGTAGTTCGTCACGAGATGTGCGGTGAGAAGAAATATGAGCGCAATCCAAGTTGTACGTCGCGAAGTGATGTGCGCCATAACGAAGGACCCGCACTTTTACATGTTACGAAGACATTTTATTTAGCTTTATGAGCTGAAAATAACTCCGTATATGAGGAGTTGCGGACAGGACGTACAAGCATGCCGAATAGCCCGATGACTGTCTCCTGACTCGCGTCCTTCGCGTTTAACTCGCCCACGTTCCCTGTTCGGGCGAAGTGCACGCTCAAGGCGGCCTTCGCACCTCCGCCACATACACCGCATATAGCTCGTAAAGCACCTGCTAGGCAGAGCGCTGCTATACGGAGTTGTGTCGGTAGGGCCGGGGAAAGGCAGTCAAGTACGAATGCACTGTCATTGAATATATCCGCGGCGAGTCGGTACATTTTCGCCTCGGGGGCAAGTGCCGGACCGAATTTCCATGCGAAAAGGATGGCTTTGAATAATTCCTCTCGTCAGCAGACACATTTCCTCATTCATTTTCTCCCAAGGTCTGAAGGGAAACTAAGGAGGTGCACTCACTCGCTAATCGGCCCGTTGCATCCTGAAGAACCGTAAGTAGAACGGCGTGAGTTGATGATGCGTTTTCATTTCCGACGCCAAAGCCTAATAGGATTTCAGGCGGCCGATTAGAATGAGAAAATGTTAAAGAATCATGAGATACATGCCCTCAAGAACAGCCCTTGAAGATAGAAGTCCGGCGATTGAGCTGCTGAATGCTTGCAGCGAATCAAATATTTGATATCTAATAATTCCCTGTGAGATTAGAAACAATATTGCAGTATATTGCTTACCCGATATAATCTGTACTGAGAAAATCAGCTCACAGACCCAAATATCTGGATAATAACAAAACTGGTATCCATACCAGGAGTAACACTGTCCGGAAACCCCGATGGTAAGAATATTTCTGACAACGTGTGTGAACCAATCTTTCGTGCAGCTCTAGCGCTCGATTCCTTGGGCTTAAGGTAATGCAAATTGTAAGGACAGAAGCGAGGGAGATGCGGGCTCAACGAACTTACTTCTTGCTTTGTGCCGCTTTTAATACGGTACTCAGGACCAAGGCCTACACTGCCTTCGGCCTCGGATAATGTCACTCGCACAGACATAGTATTCAAGCATGTACTGAATCTACTACTCTTTTTTACCGGCTGTGAGAGCAATGAGTACGTCGAGAGGTAGAAGGCAAACAATCAAACCAGACTCGGAATGACGGCATTTGCCTTCAATGCGGAGTTTTAACAGTGATCGGCGTGATGGCGCGGATCAGTCATCTTAGTGGTCAAACACAACAGTGGCAGATTACAATGAAGCATCACAGAATGACATGTTCGAAAGAAAAAGGGGTTATCCCACTTCTCGCTCAATCAGTGACACATATCTTAAGGTGTGAGGCATTGGTCCTCCTTGCTTTCAGTAATCCATGTCCAAGCCAAATGCGCGCGTAGGGTACTATGACAGATGCGAAGAAACGTACGTCATCGAACATATATATCGTGCTGAACTGTAACCTCGCCACATGTAAGTATATTGCATGTAGTAATGTGCAACACACAGGACGCCAGTGCTGATTCCATTTTCACATTGGTCGACTTTGCACGCACATGAAGTTCACCAGTGCAATTTTGCTTTAATTTGCTCCATACCATACTGCGATATATTGCTAGTACATGCATATCAAATCGAAAGGCAAAGTAATCGTGTGCAAAGTTCTTAGTCGTATAAATATCATACAAATACAGTTGTATTTTCTCCAGTAGAGTCCTCATTGCGAGTTGAGAGTGAACAGGATCAAAAGTCAGCAAAACCAATTCTATTAATACAGTGACAGAGCCAGGCCGAACGTCCAGCATGAAAAGCCAAAAGCCCAAGCGAAGGGACTCAAAAGTCAGCTGGAAGGATGAAATAGAAGGACAGAACTTGGTAGAAATAAGACATCTGCCGGACATTAGTGATGAAGACGACACACAAAGTGACGGGAGTCCTGCCCCTGGACCATTGCAACTTGCTAATGAGACTGTGGCCAGACAAGAAGCTCTGAGTATTTGAAAGACAAAGATGTGGATGCAATAGGATGTAAGGATCACGACCCCTATTGGCACATACAGGGCAATAATAACATGTCATTTACAGTGTTAAGAGTCTTTTTTGGGACTGATAGAGTAACAAAAGATGGCAAGAATACCTATGAGCCAATAACAGGTGGGCCTAACAAGCATGCTTCATCCGAGTAAATATTGCATATTTAATGCGTCTTACAATAGCCAGATGGTCGGAATGTATTGTTGCTCCTGCCTGTAACTACATTTTGCATGAAAGCATACCAACTGGAACATCCAGTGATTACAGAGTAGCAGTCACTGACTTACTTTATACTGCACTAAAAACTTATGTAGAGCATGTCTATAAATACCACAGAAAACTCAACAGCAGCCAAAGAGACATTCACTGCTGTACTCGTGAAGAAACAGCAGTTAGAGGGCATGCTCAACCATTATCGGGGATAAAATGATATACATTAGTCGATTTAGAGCCCAAGCAGACATGACTAGATACTATTGTTTGTGCATGCATACTCATGTTACTTTTAATGAGCGAGAAATTAATCTAATTGGTTATCCAAATAACAGCGCGTGTGCATCCCTTGAACTACATCTCTTAGCCTTAGAATATTCACAGGTATGCACTTCGACCTGTTTACTGCCTACGCCACCTGTATGCCCTGGTATAACATTCAGAGCCAGATTCACCACATATGTATTGAACAAGTGAGTTTAGGCAGAGATCACTTGTTGGAACAGTTTTGTATTGGGCATGACATAATCCAGTTTGTCTGTATTGTAGTAGAACTCGTGAGAGGAACGCGCATCATCTCTTCGTCGCGTTATCGGAGCTCGAATAACGATTGGCACAGTGGTACTGGTATGAGTTTTTGCTCATTGGGAAGAGCAACAAAAGTCCTCTTGACAAAGACGTGGTAAGCTGATAATACGAATGTTATGAATCTACTTTACATAAAGCAAGGTCTCTTCCGAACCTGAAGAACTGTGGTAAGACGCCAAGACAGATTACCACAGTTGTTTTACTCCCAACGTTTGCCAATGAGCAAAGAACACATATCGTTATCCCACTTTCATCACGTCCACACAAAATTGAAGGTATCCAATTGGCGTATTAATACTACGAGGAAGCCTCGGTATCAGTCTCATACTGGTATTCTCGATGCGAAGCCACATCCCTTAAAATTATCCAGTTAGTTCAATGTCCGCCAAGGTTTGACTGACGCTCACATCTCGAAAGAAAGAAATTATGTTCATCTTCATCATCCAATCACAGTTTCCTTCAGAAGAACACCATACGTATGTCATGAAAAAGTTAAATAAAGTCTGACGAATGGTGATACCTTCGCATTCGGCACCTCTTCGTCATTGAACTTATTCGGGCGGAAGAATATCGCTCCGCGAGCCATCCATCCAATGTCATTATCTTCCTTCGGAGACACTTTTAGTCGTACCGTTCATCCGTTCATTGGATTGGAAAACTCTCACCCATTGTCATACATCTGAAGCCCGAAGTTTGAAGCTCGCTCGTGGGGTACCTTCCATACAGCGTACATCAATTCAGAGTAAAATCGGACTCGGAATCTTTCCATGTAGTATGCACTTTCCCTTCTTCTTCCCCATTTTTGCTCTCAACCAGCCCAGAAGGAAGAGCGCTTACCTCTAGCGTCTACTTATTACAGACCGAGAAGTCCCGGCTTGGACGGTACTCTCACTCCTGATTCACATTCGGACTAATCGTGCATGATGAATATGTTGTTGCGCAGATCGTTTCTCGAGAATGAGAATGAGAAGAGCCGAAACGAAGGTTTGCCCCAGTGTGTGCGTCTATATGCACCCTGGGACGATCTCGGTGCTTGATGATGAGGCGAATATTTTGGCAGCTTCAGGGGTAAGTAAATGGAACTAACTCCAGGGTCCCCGCGAGCGATACATAGATGCCGTGCCCTCGAAATCTTGGCGTTTAGTATTCTTGAATACAGCGCTAAGGCATTCATAAGTTCTTTCAATTCTAGGGACGATAGAAATCGAGTGACATACAGATTGGATGGTAATACATACATATGCGGAGTTCGTTAGTACGATGCGAACGTTCAGCTCACACGTACCATCGGACCGTAGTTCAGTGATCTCCACTACCACGTTAAGCAGGATCGGAGGTGTCCACTCCTCTATAGCGAGCGGAGAGAATCGGCGAAGCACACAGAGTAAGAAAGCAAACTTCGATCCGTCAGTCACCCACGCGTCCTGCCATTCCGGGCGCTTCTTACGCAGATCGAGGGACAAGAAAAACAGGTGACGAATGCACAGACGTAGGCTGAATAAGTCATGATCCCACCATTAGGCGAAGTTTCGCGGGAGCTAGAAGAGCCGGGGAGGAGCCAGAAATAATAAGGCTCAGGAAGGGGAACTCCACGCATACAATTTGGTACTCGGAAGATCCGCCTTTCAACATTCTTGCCGAACTGCGATGAAGAGATAATTCTTTTCGAGTTGTGCGAATGATGGACTTTCGGTGTGGAGAGTAGGTGACGCTCCGATGCAAGGTAAGGATCATGAATTAAATTGGCTCTGCGACGGAAATGAATACCACGTTGCGCGGGTGAATTACGCGAATCTAGATCGTTTGCGGCCGGGACTTGCAGTTTACGGCATGACGATTGCCCTTCCTGAATTTATGCACTCGGAGGATCGTCCATTTCGAAGCATCTCGCGCTGGCACGTCCCTACAGAGGGCGATCATGAGATAGTGAGCCATGGGAGAAATTCTCTGGGAACTCGCGCAAGAGGGAAAGTCTGAGTCTATGATGACTTGAACATGAAGGGGGAGACAACGGCAAAGGCACCGATTCTAGATTAAATGAATGTTCAACAACGATGCCGACATCGAATTTCAATGTGACCGTCGTTAAGTATTATAATCATGAGAAAAAGTCGAATAATAAATACGGTATCAACAGATAGGGGAAGTGCTCGCGGTACTTCTGCGGCCGTGGGCGCACAGGAAGAAGTGTGAAAAGGGAAGAGAAGGTACAGAAACGCGGAGCATCTACCATAAAGGCTATTAGGTGTAGGTTATTTGTGGAGAAGGGAACCAATATGTGAACGCATAGAAGGGCGTCGAAGCGAGAGAACGAGGCCCAAATAAATATACGACGAGCGCGAGGATGGACGATAGCAGAGAAAGTGACTTGCAAACCGCCCGAGAGCGTGCAAGAAAGATGCCGAGAGAGAAAAGTGAAAATTTGGAGAACATGTCCGGCGCGCCCTCACGAGCGTGGCTTCTTCTCGCAGCCATTGTCGAGGTGCCGCTTCAATGAATCGGGCCGACTATAGTCCTTCTGGCAGTAACGGCAGCGGTTGCTCCCTGAGCTCCCTGGGAGATGGATCTCCATGTGTCGTTTGCGGTCGAAGTTACGTGTGAAGGATTTATCACAATTGGGACATGGGAAGCGGTCTGAGGACGACGACGGCTGCGGCGACGGCGTAGAGCAGCCTGTGGACGAGGAACTACGACGTTGGTGAGCATATGCTGCTGCAACATTTTGCCCATGCTCGGGGTATTGTGAATACAGTTGCGGCGATGCCTGGGCGTAGCTCGTGCTACTGTAGCCAGAATATGCCGGTTGTTGGGTGGGAGGGAAAGCAGCTTGTGATGGATGAAGTCCGCCCGTTGTTTGCGGAATAGTCGCATGCCCGGGATGAGCGGAGTATCCTTGGTATGCGTAAGATGATGGCATTGGAGTCGCAGCTGATATCGGACAGAGAGGGGCTCATTCAGGTTATGATACATTCAAGCAAGAAAGTAAGCATACTGTTTGACTGGACTGGAGTGGCATGGCCGTAGCCTTGCTGCTCCTGATAGTAGGCGTACGTAGATTGAGACATTGCGCTCTGGGAAGGATGATAACCCTGTGCTTGAGATGATGAAGAGTAGTGAGGCAGATGCTGGGGCTGGGGCTGGTTTGAGGGATAATACTGAGCAGTCTGGCTGTTATTAGAGTATGCAGGATGGTTGTTCATGATGGACGATCAGGAAGCGGATCTGCAAGGAGAGAGAAAGGATATGACTTGGACGGCAGGTGAGAGCAGCGAACTCTTGGTGAATCCGAGAATCCCATCGAAGAGGACTTCTTATACGCAGAGCCGGCGTCCATGATTGAGTGAGGAGATAAATTTCGGGATGAAGCGGACTAGACAGACGAGGCCGATTGATAAATCAAAGGGTGCATGGGGCCTCGGGCTGACATTTCGCATCGCACTGGCGTGGCACACGATGCATGTTCAGTCCAGGCAGACAAGCGAGGACGGCAGGCGCGATGGCGGGGTAAGCTGATGGAGGCGCGGAAGGATATCGTCTCGCTGAATTTGGCACATGCATCAGACAGACGGCAATAAAGCGCCAGTTTCGTCATAAAGTAATGCTCTGTGCACGAGAGCCCGAGTAGGCGTGCACTGAGCTGGAGCGTACATGGTGGCAGAATGCAAGGCAACGACTGGCTCGGACGCAGGTTGTCAGGGCTAAGTTCAAAACACGTCCAAACGCGTGCTGTGGCGTCCTCGGCCAATCGTGCTGCTGCAGAATATTTGACGCCGCTCTGATCAGTTCGCATTTTTGGGCCCATTTTTTTAATTTGCATTGTTGATATTCCTCCGGCGAACAGCCTTCGAAGGTCCTGACATCCGCACCGACAGCGAATGGGCGTCTTTCGACGTGCCATTTCCTTTTCTGTAGCATCTTCCAAGCCCCGAATCCCGGCGTGCACGTGTCAGAACGCCTAATTCTGAGCAGAAAGACAGCGAACAATGAAAGTCAAAGTGCGTTTGTATGAAACGCAATGTTGGAAGACACTCGTAGTCAAGTTCTTCGTGAACATGATTCTCTCGGTTAGTTTTCTTCCCGCGTCGTCTGCCTGCACGATTCTCTTTATCCTTTTCGGTGCTTTGTATAGCGTATACACCACCGTGACACCCGCCGCGAAAAAGAACACTTACGAGACAAGATCTTGAAACACTCGGTCTTCGAGCTTCGCGAATTTATCAACTGTATTCTTCAAAACCATCACGTCACTGCGCAAGAGCTTCCACAAACTTATGAAAATACCCGTCTTCTTGATGATCGATAATCCCGTCGCGGAAAGCAGTCTTCTGTTTTTCTCCTGATCTCCCAGCACAACTGTGGTATTGCACGGCGGCTTTTCCGTACCTTCGGGGCTTATCACTTCTCGACACAATCATCCTCGGCTTTGCATTCTAGTGAAACATGCGACTCGAAATCGCGCTCTAGTGCCGTCCTTAGCTGCTGCCGGACCTCGAGTACGCAAAACACCGTTGAATACACTGAGCTTTTTTTGATCGGGCGTATCGACTCCATTATCGTCACCGTGATCCGGTCTTTAATCTCCGAATGCACCGCATTGGCTGCAAGCCCCTTAATAAATGTTCAGAAAGGTTCTTAACACAAGGATTACCTCTTGCTAACATGCCTACCAGACCTGAACGAGATCCTTCTAGTGAAGTGTCATGTGAATGATACATTGGCTCAGGAATGTTGAATTCGACCTATTTACACGCTACAGTCCTCAGATAGGCAAACCCCATGCTCGAAAGCATTTTCGGTTGATGGATCCGGAGCTTTCAAAGGACCAATGTCCTTTTTTCTGGTGCATCCTTGTGGTCATTATTAAATTCAATGATACGGTTGACGTTTCACTATCCATCTTTCAATGTGTTACCCGACTCACCCGACAACCTTAGACTGCAAGACGCTACTGGCTAGATATACGCCAGGGAGGCAGCAGCAATACAAGTCATAAAGAACACCATCAGTCAAAATAAATCGGCTCCGTGCTTCACGCTCTCATATCTAGGCCGGACTCATTCAGATCAGTCCGCATCATCAGACCTTCGCGCTCGACTGATGAACTATTCACCGATATACTGACCTCAAGTTCACAGCATGTCTCTCTAGCCATTGGTCCAACAATCTAAATGGATTTCAGCTATCTTAATCAGTGCCACGCTCCAACTGAGATCGATTATCCGATTTTCAATATCCTCGTAATGCAGCAATCGCTGTGAGCAAGTAATTTATAGCGTTGATTTTGAGATATCTACGAGCTGAATGTCAGAGACAAAAATAAGGTTCATCATACGTAATAAAATATTACGTGTTTTTGCTTCCGAATTCGAGTCAGAGATCACGAGACGCGTACAACGTTCCTTTCAGAGATTGCTTGCTCGACGGACGACAGCGACGACAAGGTGGAATACAACAACAACATTGGCCGCACCAAATGGCTCCATTCAATTTGGATGCATGTATCGAACAACTACTACGCAAGCAGCTTTTGCACGAGGCGCTCCTCCGTGAAATCTGCGAGAAGACGAAGGAGGTCTTGATGCGTGAGTCAAACGTCGTGCATGTCAGTGCTCCCGTTACTGTCGTCGGAGACATTCATGGGTAAGTGTTTAGCTAAATTGCGGCAATCACCACTCGCCCGCTTCTCGAGGCTTGCATACTGAATGCTTCTTCCAGTCAATTCTATGACCTTGTCGAGATCTTTCGGATAGGCGGATACGCTCCGCATACGAACTACCTGTTCCTCGGTCCGTTTGTCACTTCATTTCGGCTTCGTGCTTGCTTATCTCGACGCTTGTATGACAGGCGACTATGTCGACCGTGGTCTGTTTAGTGTCGAGACGATATCGCTCCTTACTTGCCTCAAGTTACGTTACCCTGATAGGGTGCAATTAATCCGGGGTAATCATGAATCGAGAGCCGTGACCCAGGTGCGCGCTGTGCTGTCGCTGTCGTGCTGAATAGTTGGCCTTATGCTATACGTACCTTTGGCCCGTTAGTCTTATGGCTTTTACACCGAATGCGTCCGAAAATATGGCTCCGCACACGTATGGACATACTTCACGGACATGTTTGATTTCCTGACGCTGTCAGTTGTCATTGACGACCAAATTTTCTGCGTGCATGGAGGTATGGAACGTCAGGTCATCATAGTCATCACTATATTTTTATCTGACTATTTTTCGTTCGAGTGCAGGGTTATCACCGTCCATTCATTCGATTGACCAGATTAAAGTAGTGGATAGATTCCGAGGTGTGTGTCGTATGCTAAATGCCTGTACACCTTGGTCAGCACTTGACATCGCGTATCAGAAATCCCACACGAAGGTCCAATGGCAGACTTAGTTTGGTCGGATCCAGACCCCGACAAAGAAGACTTTGCCATCTCACCCCGGTTAGTTGAATTTTCTCCCAGCACACAAAATTAGTGTAAAAGTAATTCGCTTCACTCATCTTTTCTTTACCATATTTACTAGTGGTGCCGGGTATACGTTTGGCTCCGGTGTCGTACGCAAATTCTTAGATATCAATAACATGTCGCATATCCTCCGTGCACACCAACTTTGCATGGAAGGCTTTAGCGTCTTATTCGAGAATCACCTGTCGACGGTTTGGTCCGCGCCTAACTATTGTTATCGATGCGGGAACTCTGCAAGTATCTTGGAAGTCGGACCTGGTGGCGGTATGCATTTTAACGTTTTCGAAGCGGCGCCGGAGAACGAACGCGACGGACCTGGGCAACAACAGCTCATGCAGAACGGTGGCAATAAGGTGAGTTTGTTGAACGAACACAACTTCTGTTGGTCCCCTTGTTTGCTGACTATTGATTGTTTTCCTTATATTTTGTTTTTGTTGGCGTGTACCTGCCTTCTCGCTTGCGCTTCTGTTCCTGCGACGTAGCTCCCGGAATACTTCTTATAAAAGACTAATGAAAGCTAAAAAGCTTGAGATGGACGTGAGCACGCCATCTTAGCGAGCAGGCCGTCCATATGTCCAACCAATCATATGGCTGCGTATATGCTTCTTAGCTCGACACTAAAAGCTTACAATGACGGAGCTAGACGTGGAATTGGACACCACGCACCACGAGTTGCGTTACCTCGAGCAGTCCGCGCTTCCTAGAATGGGGCACTCAGTCAACTTCGCGTTCGCGGCTTCTCCGCTGAGTTTACACGACCATATGGTGACTTCCCGCGTCTTGCTTACGCCTTCACTCCATCGTTGTCCGGCATTTTCTCCGCATGTGATGACACACGTCGGAAGTGGCATCACTAAATAGCATCTTACCTCCGACACACAAGCAAACACAATTCCAGGCCAGTAGCCACTATGGCATCCCCGCTAGGCAGACTGTTACTAGAGGTCCGCTCCTACCGACGAGATTCAGGTTGCTGTTCATGTCTGAGGAGCATCACAATTATTCTTATTTGGTCCGAACGTAGAAGGTATAGAGTTCTGACAATGACACGGTTATGTGCGAACAATAATCAAAGATAGCAAGTAAGTCAAATTGTGACTGTTAACATTGATGTCAACAATGGGTGGTAGTAAAGCCACAAGGGTCCCGTAAACGGCGGAGAAAGGAACGGTAGACCAAGGGCGTTGGTTGAACGAAAATAGTGTGAAAATCGATGTTATGTATTTTTACCCCACAGTGTATTTGGCAGTGGCGTTGTCGCCGAGTCGGGGTATCTCTCCCAACGGTATGAGCGAATCCCAGCTCCCAAAGAAGTCGAATCAAGAAATGACAAACTCAAATGAAACACTAACCAACACACGCCTCAAAAACGAAAGGATAATTAACCGAGATAATGCGGGAAGAATACGAGAAGCCAGGTTCAAGGTCCATGTCATCCTCAAAAGCGTCTTCCTCTTCAAACGTCGTCTTCTCGAGATTCTCATACTCAAAATCAAACTTTAACGCGTGCGCGGGATCCACAAAGTGAATGGTGCTGTCCAACACGCTCACAAGCGACATGAGACTCGAGCATGCACTCTTAGAAAGGCAAATTGGTCCTCTTGCCATCGTCGTCGTGCTGATGCTGACAGACAGATCCTCAAACGACAGAAGATGCAGGGATGATGATGTCGACGACGACCATACTTCCGATCCCATCAATGCCTTCCCGACCCTATGGATCAGTGGCTATATCCGATTGCTAGTAAGGGAGAGCTTACCTCACAAAAAGAATTTGAATTGATCGTGTCTTCCTTGCCACATACAAAGTCGAAGTCGCCTTCCGCAAATCCCGAATCGATGAAACCGTGATCGTCTTCTGACTCTGAGCAACCTACAGTCCGATCCACCGTTTCATCTGTAATTCCTTGAGTTTGCCTCATGTTACATACCCGAACCAGAGAGATTGAGCTGCTCGTATCCAAACTAGGAAGATCACCGACATAGGCATCGTCACTCCTTAAATTAAGGATCGATGACGAAGCAAACGTTTCAAATGTCATTGGCTTGCCATCATATGAGAATCGGCGATCGTCATCATCGTCCCATAACTCCCCCTTGTTGGAATTGCTGTAACTGAAGCCTGCTGTCCACGTGTGCCGGATAGGCTTAGAGAAGTCGATAGGCTTCTGAGGAAGACGAGAAGAGAAGAGCACATCGTCTTCTTCGTCCCATAGTTCTCCTGGATCAGGTCGACCAAACCACCCAATTAAATACGGAAGGCTTAGTCGCCTGCGAGGAAGAAAGTCTTCGATACGTATGTCGAGAATCTTGGTCGAAGAGATGGAGCTGGTGATCAACGAGCTCAGGGATGACTCAGATTGGAAAGTGACAACGTATCCAGATGTAAAGCTTAGTGGTGGCAGAGGAGGGACTGGAGGGAACTCTGCAAGCTTGGCACCCAACATAGAGGCGAGGGTTGAAGAAGAGTCGATAATGATAGACCACGAAGTTGTTGCTGGGACAAGTTGTGATGTACTGATCTCTTCAACATCTTCATTCCGGCCGGCGAGCGAGAGTTCGATACCAGCACCCTGAAAAGAGCCAACGACAATATCTTGACTTTCTTCGGTCCGACTTTTCTCGCTCTTGCTAATACCTTTACTTCGAAAAGACACTAATTTCGTCACCAGGTCCTCAGGAGCAGGCAACACAGGAGCAGGCTGCATTGGCTGCATTGGCTGCTGTTCTGGTGAGCTCGGCACGCAAGCCGACGATGAGTGAGTTATGTTGTCCTCCGGCGAAGTCGGATCGACCACTTTCAAGACAGAAGCACACTTGGGCAGTTCAGTGTAGGACAGAGCGTTTACGTCCATGGAAGAAAAGACAGAGTCCAAGAGACAATTAGAAGACTGTCTAGCTTCAGTCAGGACTTCAAGTTCAATGGCGTCTGCGTAAGCGGTGAACTCGCCTAGCATTGATGACAGAGAAGGCAAAGAGAGTATCGGTGCTCCTTTATTAGATGCGCTCGGAACAAGTGAAGCTGCGCTGTTACTTTTCACCGCAAGGAGTGAGCTATTATCTTCACACTTGTCCTCCACTGCTGGCTGAGACAGTACAGTGTCACTAATGGGCAAATAGTAATCGACTCTAGCGATGTATATCGAGTTCAAAGGCAGTCTAGGAGTTGCAGTCGCGCGAGGAGTGGTTAAATGCGTCTTGATCCGTTGAGAAGTAAACTTGCGTGCAATTTTTCTTCTGAATATTATGACGGGTACGGAAGAAATGAGTATAACGAAAGTGATGACGCAGCCTAAAACGATTTGAGGTGTGCAGATTCCTGAACAAGTACTCTTGACCTCTGATGCTTTGCTGCCTTCGGTAAAAACTGGCGGCATAGTAAATCAAGATGACGAGCACGTAAGATAGTGCCACTCCAGATCTTCAGATTTGACGCAGATGAGAGGGAGGTTGTTGCCGGTGAGACGAAGCACTGGACGATATCCAAGAATTTGTTGGTGAAGTAAATGTGCAAGGTAAAAAGAGGGACAAATTTAAGGTGGAAAAATAAGAGAATGACAAGCAGTTGGATGGGAAATTCGGAGATGAATGAAAGATATGAAAGCGATGTAGAAGGATCGGCACAATGTGATTCACGTGATCGGGCAGTCTACCATTTCTGACTGTAACCGAAATTAACTGTATTCGTCTGCTTACAGTTCGAGGGCCCTTTGTAAGATAAGAAGCGTTCCTGTTACAATGTATCTGTCAGCATAATTCTAAGTCACTTACCAACGAAAGAGGAATTGATCTAGCCGAGGTGAATTGTAAACGACTTGGTAACATGGTATGGTATGGTATATTTCCCAGCATAGGTCCCTAAAAAGAAACGCTGGTGCTGCTGGTTACTGTAATGTACATAACAGGGTAAACTACCTAAATACAAAATCCCTGTCCAGCATATTCAGGGAACTACTAGTGTAATAGCACTCCATGCCCTTCCAACTGTATACTATTAGGATAGAGATGTACACAGGAAGAGATGCTATTCTCATAGTAGCTATCCTCTGAATAGTACAGTAATTATAGAAAGAGTCATATGTAGCGTAGTAAGTTTTGACGAAAAGAAGGATAGCAAAATGAATAGGCTATCACAGTATCACTAGCACAAATACTAATACTGTCATTTAAGTGGTATTTTCGTCTTTTCTTTGTCTTTTTCTTCAGTCTACCAATTTGGTAGTCTTAGAGAAGATTTTGAAGTATGTTTGGTCCTTAATAAATGATATATAGATGTGGTAGCAATTGTTTTATTTTTGGGGGGTATTTTGTGTTTTCTCTGAGGCTGAAGGAATGCGATCCTCGACCACGTGACCTAGCAAGTGACCGAACATCCTGCAACTTCCGCATGTTCAAATCGAACATGTATGTCTAGCAAGTTTATCTCCGAGTAAAGTGTCTTTAACCCAGTCCTTTCTCAAAGAACAGGAGATTCGTTGAGGCTGACTGTGGACCAGTTCTGATCAAGACTGAACAGTGGACTAGCCTTTCTCAGCACAAGCTGTAGACTGTCTTAATGGAAAATGCGCTGGTATTAGTGGCTCCAAAGATATCCCTTTTCTTTCCCCAATTTTCGAGCAGCACTTGGTTTGTTTGACAAGTATTGCAATTTCCAATTCCTTTTTACCTTCTTTATTTGTGACTCACATTCAAAAATTAATGTGGTGATGCACAAGGCTTAAGATGTAACGAATCAAGGCTAATATTGACATCATGGGCTGTTCAGTAGTGTTCGTTCAATTCTGATGAAGGTTTGGTTGTAAGCATGCTAATTTACAATATTGACCATCATACACACGATTTCTGCCCCTGAATTTCCTGTCAAGTCACTGGCAGAAGGGAAAGGACTCGTGAGGATCCTGATGGTCAGACAGTTGAGATTAAGCATTATGAACACACATTCTCATGGCCATTGACTCTCTGGGTGAAGTCTATGATTTTGTCCATCGTTTCATCTTGGTTCTCGAAAAAGACAGCATGGCTTCCACCCTTCTCAATTAAATGAACTTCCAGATTCTTGAAGTACGGACGCATCTTATCGGCAACGACATTGCTCATAATCAGCCTGTCGTATGCTCCTCCAAGAAACAAATAGCAGAAATCCTTGTTTCCCGAGCTCAAAGAATCGTGATGTGTCCTGTTCGCGGGATATAAAGAGTTGGCGGACTAAAGGACGTTGTAGTCCAGTCGTACCGAACCACAGGACTAGCAGTTCCCACGGAATTTTCGTGGCATCGAGGAAAAGCAAGTCGACAAACTCGCGTGTGATGGACAAGGCTGTTACAACGGAGTCTTCAGAAGTAAGGCCCGGGACCAAACTGAGTATTTCGGGAGTTGCGATTTGTTGAACAATTGAGCTAGTGTATGGCACGCCGCAGAGGTAGATGACATCAGCGAGAGGGATGTCGGAGAAGTTAGTGGCAATGTCGACGGGGATAGTCGCTTCAGAGGCAGATGTATCCATCAGTGGCTCGCGACATGTCTAAGCGAAACATGCAAGCAAACCTCCGAAACTCCTGTAAGAAAATTGTTCCGTCAGTGCATGATACGCAGGCCAAGGAAAAGTATTATTACAACGTACCATCCGACGAAAACGGGCTTGTGTAGGTTGAATGCTTTCATGACGACTGCAAAGTCGTCCGCAAAGAGGTTTGAAGCGTAACCTTCCCCATTGATTGGCTTGCCGCTTCGTCCATGGCCTCTCATATCATAACGAACCTTCAGATAAATGGCATGAGAAGTTTCTCTTGAGTATACAACATTACTATGACGCACCAGATAAAAGTGCTCGGTGTACCGTTTGTCCGAGAAGATCCTGTCGAACACAGCACCACTCAGGCCTAGTCCATGGACGAAGATAATGCTTGGTTTACTTGTGTCTCCAGAAGCATCTGCATAGATCTTTGTTCCGTCGGAGGAGACAAGAATTTTCGGGCTAGATGGAAACTCGGACATGGCGTAGAAATGGCTCAATGGAACACATGCGTCTCATTCCCGTTTATCCAGATATTTATACCTCGGTACAATACGTTCGGATAGCTCGGATGTGCGATGGCGAATTCCAAGGACCGGAAAGGGGCGGTGGCTCGGACGATAAATGCAGGCCGGGGCATAGCTAATGTTTCATCCATATTGTTAACGTTATGCCGGCAAGATGCGGTACTAGTCACGATGTTCACAAAATGGACAGGAAGTTCCTGTCAATGAGCGCTGGAGAATTCGCGTACGGCATGAAAGGTCCCCGCACCACCACTAGCGTGAAGCATAAAGCTATTTCAAAAAACTTGTGAATAAATCACATCACGTTTGAGTAGATCTGCTAACTGAGTCATCTGAGTGCTGAGTGCGACTTACCCAGAACTCTAGCAGTTGCTTGCGTAGTGTGACCTGTCTCCAACTCCAGAAGCTCTGAGATCGCAATAGAGGGGATATTTCGAAAATGGATACTCTCTTATATTCTGCCAACAGTACAAAAAATTATGCTTGCAGAGCATACAATCGTGTTCCTATTGCCCACAGGTACATATATTCGATTTATCCTAATAGACATTGTGAATAACAGACAAAGCATTACACAGCCTTACCAAAAACATACGTTCCTCATGATGCAAAGCCAACATGGCTACTCGATAACACTGGGAAAGCTGCACCCCTAGCAAGGGCTTGAGAATCTGCAAATATCTCAAGCTGCCTATCCCTCTGGCGCCTCTCCCTCTCCACGATGAGGAAACTCAGCAAAACATCTTCGCGCATTGCATCTGCTTCGTAGGAAAGATGGAGACGCGACGGCGTCGGTTCGGGGTTGTAATTGTAGCCCTGCTGGAGATTGACATACGGATTCGCTCGTTCGAAATACGTGATCATGGTGGCTTTGTCTGCAAGGAGCTATCAGTGCATGCGGATTTCGTTAGCACAACTCACTCTGAACTGTAAAGTAGTCGGATATACTCTGTGCTGATTGCGAGGACCTTTAGTGTCCCATTTGTATGTATTCCCGTTTATATCCTTGAAAGTCGTGTCGCTGAAGAGTCGTTAATATCAACGATGAAACATACCCTCAACGTAATGTATAAAATGACGAGCCTAGAAAACGGGTTTACGCTCTTCTTCATCCAATTGCTCAACTTCACATTATCCAGCCCTCGTGCAGGTCTGGTGACGGTATCAGACGAAGAGTCATTCCAAGCGAGCGTCATAACCAGTGCACCAGCCGGTGTGTAGACATCAGATGTAAAGAGCAAGTCAGGACGCCCAGTTCTCGTCTTGATGGTCTCTCGCCTCGTCTTGACAATATATAATGGCTTCTCGTTGAGAGAGATCGTGGTGTTGCATGGATCATCGCGAGAGAACACGAGCTGGATTGGGAACTCGTCTTCATCAAAATGCTGGGCGGAAGAGGTGGACATTGTTCGATCGCGGGGTATCCGATACCAAGCAATAGGTATGAAGTTCTCAAGAGTTCATTTATACCCGTCACTCTGGCCGTAAGAAGCGAGGCTATGAACTGATCCTTTATGCAGGCTCTTGAAGGATCAGCGGCTTGTGGGGTAGGGCTGCGCGGAGCATACGAATGAATATGAATGATTTAAAAAGCATCACCCTTATTGACGACCGGCAGTAGACTGCGCCATCAAAGAGATTTGCCCACGGCACGAACGGCTTACCTCTTCCACGCGAGGTCAGGTGGCAAACAGATCTAGACCGGTACGTTCTATGATCTGAGAAATACAACACATTTGAATGTTACCTCCACCAAAAAGAGAACCTGAATAAATATCATGACTGTTGAAAGCGATGTTTGTGCCGCGCTGCAGCACTCTAGCGCCAGGACTGTTTCCGAGGTTTCTCCTCTTCGTCTATATCACCCCTCTTCCGCTTCTTCTGGTTCCCCACGCTATTCTGGTGCCTCAATTGTTTCTCGGGCCGAATGCCATTCCGAACAGCCATTTGTGCTTCCTCTAGGGACGCGCGCACCTTCGACATACACCCTACCAAGATGTGTTTTTCTCCGATCCGAACGATTATAGCGTTTCGTACGTTATATGGAAGTGAAGTCTGCCCAGATAGGAGGGCTTCGTCGTGCTGGATGGTTTGGGTTAGTCAAACTCCTTCGGAGACTATTTGAGCTCAAGGAGATGAAGAAGTTGGAATCACCTCAAGTGTAGTCGGATATTTCGCTAGGCGCCTCTCTAACATTCCGAGTACGAGGGGAAAGGTCTGCAGTTTCGAGTCCATATCGAGTTTTGGTTTCGGTGGTTTACTCTTGGAGCGTGCCTTCTCCCATTCCAGTTTTGACAGTAAAAGGAGTTTTAAGAAAGATATCATCACATCGGGAAGCTCTAGATCTGTCCCCAGCACGAAAACACTGGATCACAAAGTCCAGATTAGCGCCAATTAGGTCGATGAAGAGAACGGAATGCGCATCCTTACTCATCTCCACCTTCCTCAAGCCACCAGTCTATTCGCTCCTTTAATGATTCGGCGTCAACGCGGGCCTGGCTTGACAAAACGGCATGTAGAGCGAGGTCCGCGGGTATCTCAACGACATCGGCGGGGTTCCCTTCTTTCCAAGGTACACCCGGTAATGGAACTAAATCGACGTGTCCATATTCGCGAAGCAAAGCAGAGTTAGGTAGGTCTCCATATGCGTTGTACTTCGGAGCACTGCCTATTAATGCGAATTGTCGTTGGAACTGCAATGAATTGACGTACAATTTGTTCGCCCCGTCTAATGGGCTTTGTTGAGACCATATTTAGGTGTGTTGGTTCGTAGAAAAGTTTCGCCTTATAGCAACACGTGAAAATAATATGGAAAGCCGAGTAAAACGCGCTTACATTTTCCGAACCATATTGAGCGTTCAACATGTCTGCCATCGGCACCATGGCAATGTCCGATGGGTTTTCCGCTTCATCATCGCTGTCATCGTCACCACCGTTTTCGGCTCCAACAGCGCTCAAGTTACTTGATTCATCGTCGATATCCATACAGTCACCATTCTCGTGCAGCTCCGAACTAGCTCGACTCTGAGATCCAGGTGTTTGCTCTTTCCATTTCTCGACATGGAAGCTTCGCGAGAGAATGCGGCTTCCCATAACGTGGTAATTCTCTAGTGAATAAAAAGACGCTATGTGACCCGGGTCAAACAGATCCGGTCGTGTCTGTGGATCGAAAATAAGTGAGTGTATCCTGGTCGTCGTGAGAAGAAAACCATACCCGGACTGCAGGGTTGAGTATCTCATAATAGTCTCGTTCCGCTTGTTCCTTGCCAATTTTACCTGGAGCAACACAGAAATTCGCTCAGTCGACAGGGTACAAATAGCATCTGCGCTCAATCATACGTTACGGTATGCACATACCTAGCACATCGGTTCCATCTAATTCTTTAAGTTCATCGCCAGTCCAAAACATGGGTGTATCAAAGGCCCTTGGTAAAATATCTTTGGTAATTGTTATGAGTAAGCTCCATACAAGAAGGTCTAAAATTGGAACGAACTAAAATATCCACACCACTTGGAGTCCGTCCAGCGGCATTCCTCCCACATCATGCATAATATGAGACCCACCCAGCCTTTGTTGAGCCGCAGAGACTTCCACGCTGCCTCACCGATTAATTTGGGTAGTTCGGATGTATGGGTTGAAAGCGTCAAGGATCTAGGAACACTAAACAATGTATGCCCTTCCTACGATGTCAGCTCAGAGACAATTCCTTTGAACCACAACAGATGTATCTAAAACTGAACATACCGGTATGTCTTGTAAAGCGATGGCAGCCCGTCCTTGGCTAGGAGTGTCTACGATACCTATTCGAGCTCGATCCAGCCAGCCACCCTCTTCGACAAACCATCTGATGAAGTTGTCCATGTCCTCTATGTGGACGAATGAAAGAGAAAACAAACGCATCTAGCCACGCAGTAATTAAAGTTTTAAATTAAATTACAAATACAAATAAGCCATTCCGGTTTAGCATGCGTGAGAAAGCTGACAAAAGCGCGCACCGCGTCGCAGTACCCCGCAGCCAATATAAACAGAGTTTCCTCTCCACGACGACGAGCACACACCACACACCATCAACGAGCAGCAAGGACACTCATCGAGACAACGAAATGACGAGCACAGAAACTCCCGAAAGGGCCTCGTCGCCGAAGAGTCCTACTCAGATACCAGAGCAACCAGCAGAAACGGAGACGCACAAGCCAGTCGCGTCTGCTGATTCACCAGTATCAATCTCCTCGCCTGCGCCTGGTTATACTCATGCTGAGGAGCCGACCAATGTGTCACCAAGCGCAGAAGCTGATCATGCGACCAGTACTTTGAATGAACAACCTGTGCCAGACACTCCTGCTCGACCTCAAGGACCAGAGCAGCCAACTGAGCGCATATCACCAGAGGCCGAGAGTCTGAAAGCCATGTTTCCTGATTTCGACACTGGCATCATGTAAGCCGTGCGTTTTTATAATTGAATAAATGTCTAATATGTTCCTCTTTTGTGTAGCCAATCTGTGTTGGAGTCTGTAGATGGCAATCAAGAACGAGCTGCCGATGTCCTGCTTGGCATGAGCGATCCAAGCTATGTTTCCCAGCATCACAGTGCACCAGTAGGCATCATTCCACTTAGTATTCTATCTCTGCTGACATTTCTTACCCTAAATATAGACGCAGAGCGAGTTGGATGAACAGTTTGCTCGCCGATTATTGCTAGAGGAGCAGCAACAGCAAGCGGCTTGGCATCCAGATCAGCCGTATCCACACAGTCAAGATCAAAGACGTGACCAGAACGTCCCTTATCAGCCGCGTGCGCAACAAGGATATTATCCTGGTGGTGTGGACAGATGGGGTGACTCCCAAGCACCTGGAGACGGAGGCGGAGGTAAGGATACAATGTCAGAGGTACAGGAACAATTCAGCAAATTTGCGGAGAGTAGGTTCTGCCCTCTTTGATTCCGGAACATGAACTCAAAATTTATTTATAGCCGGGAAAAAGACATTCTCGTCGCTGGTGTCAAAAGTCAAAGCGAAGATGCAAGAGTTTGACCAGTCAAGGTGGGCATTGTTCGGTATTCTAGTTTGGATCAGATTGTCCTAATAGAGATGCTATGCCGAAAGGAATGCTTCTGGGTCTGGATCAGCGCCTCAAACATCCTGGGGAACTGGAACTCCTTCTAGAACAGAAGGAGTGCCTCCAAGTCAAACTCAGAATAACCAATACTCGACTATGCCAGCTGGTCAACCCACCGGTCCCCCTTCAGTTGACACATACAATGTGGGATATGATGTTACTCCTCAGGCTCAGGCTAGCCCCGTTGGAGGAGGTCAGATACTACCGTCAGTTACATCGAGTTCCACAACTTCCGTACCACCTGCAGAACGAATTCCTGCGCGTCCACCGTCTGCTGGACCTCCACCAGCCGGCAATGTCGATCCAAGTTAGTCTAGTCCATGTTCTGGCATTTACTTCAAATTAAGCATCACCTGACAATGTCACTATTGCTTTAGGCAAAATTGGGATGTTACCTAAACGCCCTGTTTCGCTGCTCGGAACTTCGCCTCCACAATCGAACACGAACGTTCGTCATGATGCAGACGAAGATGAGCTTGATTACGTCGAGAATCCGTTTGAAGAGGGGCGAAAGTAGGATATGAGCGCTTTTTTATATGGGCGCTTATGTATGGCGCAATGATATGTACGGACTTCACTTATTATGGCTAGGGTATGTAAACGATTTGTCTATTAATCTATATATTGGCTAGTAGAATGCGGTACCGAGTGATCGTCGGGACCATAAAAGTATCTAAGTCAAACGTAACTGGCTGGAACTTTGTCGGATGCTTCTCCTACTCGCTCCGGTTTGCCATCCGGAATGCCATTTTGCCATTTGCGTCTCGGAGATAGCACATTGCCACATTCGCGGGATAAGAATAAATATCCCCCGCCATGAAGCACTTGGAGTGGGATAGGTGCCGTCGCCATATATTGACTCATTGAGAAACAGACGGGCATCTTGGTGGAGGTGATTATCAAATAAGCGCCCGTCCGTACAAATCGTGTGGGAAATGAGACCTGTGTTATGATGCATCAGGCCGCAGCATTCCCGCAAGCAAGCACATGCGACCAGTACAGCCCTGTTCATATTCCTATCGCTCCTATAATCATCTACCGTTTATAATCTCGCTTCATGATCGAGGAGGGAACGAGCTTTGACGATTAGACCTCCGTCATGGCGCCAGCAACACCAGCGCAAGACCCCTTCAAAAACTTTAATCATGGAAACTTATTTGCGAACGGCGGAAAACCACAAAGATCTGTTGCGTGCGATGCATGCAAAAAGGCTCGTCGAAGGGTGAACATCACTATGCACTCAAATTGTCTTACGAGGGTTGACGTTAAGGCCGTGTTTAGTGTGTTCGGCCCCCAATGCGGCCCGATTTCCCCTGCGAATGGTGTGTCCATCATTGTGTAAGATGCACGACGGTAAGTCTTTACGAATCTTCGAGGAACCGGGACTTGTACTCATACCCTGACATGACGGCAGACTACGCGGAACTAGACCTAATAGAATTGAACCGACGAACCATCAAACTCAAGGGATTAGCTGACGCAGAAGAAGAATGAAACAAAAATTTACTCGAAGCAAACAACCCCCGTACTACACAAACATACACGACTCTGCATATATGCGTCAATTTATTTCATCTCAGGAACGCCACGTGGTAGGGCTGAATGGGAGTGGATCGGGAAACGACTACCATATTATAAACTTGTACTATTGTTAATGTAATGATCTTGTCGCTTACACAAGCAATTGAGTGGAGAGGTGAACTTTTTATGTATGAGGACTTTCATAATACGCCTCCTTTCTTGACGCTCTGCGGTGTAAGTTTTTGAATTCGACATTTTTCTAGCTGATTCCTCCACTTAAATTTGTCATGCATACATTTTACAAATTCCCAAAATTTATATACTTGGGTTAAATCATTGTGGAATAAGAAATACCCAGGAAACCCAAAATAAATCGAATCAATATAAACAAGCGCACACGTAGAGTGAAGTACTCGGGAGACGGCCTTTAAGATGGGCAGTCGTCGAGATTAAGGTCGCCATCTGGGCAAGCCGGAATTTGAGTAGCTTGACCAGCTGTGAGAGTAAAAACAATATTGTTAGCAAGTATAATGAAGAAGTCACTTGAACTAAGACTTACGGTCAGTGCGGAGGACCGGGAAAGGTTCAGGGCAGGCTTGTTGAACGTCAGCGCGACTGGTACCGGCGGGGAATCTTCAAAGATTTTTGTTAGATGAGTAAAATACAACCTAGTGATACAAGAGGACTCACGTAGCTGGCTTCCTAACGGGCGGCTTCGCTTGCGGGACAACTTCCGAGCAGTCAACGAGGTTGTTCGGATTGTGTCCGACAACCGCAAGCTTGGCCATGGCGCTCTTGAAGTTATTCATCATTAACTGTTGGTTATCAACCATACTCTGCCACTCGCAAGCCGTTCGCTACAAGGAATTTAGCATACATTGTTAGTACGCATCGCCAGAGGGGAAACGACGGAGATCATACGTACTCGGTCACGAGCAAGCGCGAAGTCAGACTGCAGACGCATCTCACCAGAGTTTGGAATGGGCGAATCGACTTCTGCACCGTCAGTGTTGTTAATACCGAAGGGAACACCGACTCCCTTAAGCAGAACTTCAAGGAAGATTTGCGTATCAAAAGTGAACGGTGTCGTATCAAATGGAACTGCTTCATGGCCAGCGACGAGCGTATCCGAACGAGCTATAGTATGAGAGGCAAGCAGATGGATAAGTTCAGCGGGTGAGAAGCCACCGTCTTCCATGCGCTCAAGGATCGTAGTCACGTCGCTCTGCGGCAATGGAACGGTGTTGTCATCAGCAGGGAATGTGGCGTTTGGACGACCCGCAAGGAATTGGAGACGCGGTGCTCCAGGGCAGTTGGTACTGAAGAGAAAGTCTCAGCAATAACGAAAGTAGAAGAAGGGGGATAACATACGTTCCAACAGCTCCAGCGAACTGGATAAGATCGCCAGCGGTGACCAAGTGACGAGTGAGGAACGGCGAGAGTGCGTCCACTGAGTCGTCAATACCGGCGTTTGCAGCGAAGTTGGTCTCAATGTCGCTGAAAAGGATCATGGAGCCGTCAGCTCCTCCACCCTTGAGCTTGCCGGACCTGGAGAAGCCAATAGCATCGTGGAAGGTGAGACGCAAGGATTCATGGACGTCTTCGCCGCATTCGCCGTCGAAGAGGTTCTCCTGGAGGTCATCGCGGAGTGCGAAGAACGCACAGCACTAGAGAATCGAATTAGTAAGAAATCTGTCACGTAGGTGACAGAACGATGGAGGGGGACAAACAGCTTCGTGACTGGCGATGTTACCGTCAGGACAAGTAACACGCCTGAAGTTGACCGCGCCAGCAAGGGCAGCGAAAGCAATGGTTGCAGCGGCAAGTTTGAAGACCATTGTGCTTGCTCAAGGAGATCCGACTCTGCAGGAGTGAGGTTCAACTGACTTTTTGCCTCCTTTAAATACTTGAACAAGTGGAAATTCATTAAATACGAAACTCATCCTCGAGACACTGTGGGTTTGCAAGCCCACAGATGAGACCGAGCAGAGCACCCGTCCGTCCAGTCATAATGTGGCCAAACAGTAATCACGCCAAGCGTGGCGTGTTTTTCTACCATCCAGGCGCAACGGCTCTTCGGGGCAGCGCATGGAGAGGAACACCGATAGACAAACACATGCTCACTGAACCAATGAAATCCAGACCTGGCAAATTCATTTTCAACAGAAGTTGAGCAAACGGAAAATCAGCGCACAGCGTGTTGGATATCACGAACGCGCGTAATATCCTCTCATGCGAGGTCGCCGGTGCCATAGCGTCGGGCCTGACACAATATGATCATCGCAGAGTCGGTGGGTGAAATCCATTGTACTGGCTTCGGGTGGTGAATAATACAGCCAAATAAGGAAATGCTTGAGAGAAGTTCATATGCGTTCCAGGCTTTTCGGTCTTTCCACCAACATGGATTCCCGTATATTAAGGGAGGCCTTGTTGCTATGTATAGCACATTGCTGAAAATATATGGACGTTTTAGCGGAATGTTTGCATGGCGTTACGGAAAACATTAGAGAACTTACTGATTATGGAAAATAAGTTAGTTACGGCCTGTCTAGCAAGTGTAGCTTCGATCGGTTTTCAGCTGCTTGACAAATCTTTACCTCTAGAAAATAGCAGATCTCCATCCTATTTAGGAGCCGTCTAATTTTGAAGCTCTCCATATGGTTTCCATGTTGCGTATCCAGTGACGATAAGAAGAAACGGTAGTATGAGCTAGACCGTGTGGATTTTCTCAGAGTACAGAGTGATCTTCCGTGCGATAGTCTGTCAGCTCAGCGAGTCCATGTGGGAGTTTTCAGGGCTTCACTGTGAATATATATGTTGTTGCGACCACTTAATTGCTATCGCCCTGTGGTGTTTGCAGCGAGAAGAGTTGGAATCCTGTGTTATATAGAAGCATCAAGCGGGAATTAACAGAATCACCCTAAAGGTTCTCACCTGCGGTTCCGCCTATTTGCGTAACGCGTCGGTGAGCAAGACGCTGCTGACGAGATCCATGTGACTACCATGTAAAAGAGGAAGTATGTTCACTTTGGCACTTAGGGGAGGCGTTTATTCACCCCAGCTTCATTAGTCCTCCTCGTCTGAGAATAACTTGAATAAGGGCTAAATTAGAGCCTTCAACATAAGAAACTGAGGCTTTGGTCAGTGATGCATCGAGAACCTCGGACTAAACTTCTGAAGGCACTTACATATGATGAAGGCTTGTTGCGCGGATGCAATATGGTCAAACATGTGAAGATAGCCGTCAATCAAAATATGGCCCAATGGGAGTAAAGTGATTAAAGAGAAAGTAAATTCATGTATTAAATAAGAGAATAACACAGAGTTATAGCCAAATGTACAAAGAAAACAAGAAGGCACGGAAGAAGGTATAGGGGGAATAACTGGTTATTTGCTAGAACGCATATATCCTACTGCAAGCACAGCACTTAGCATGAAATTCCATCATCAATGATTCGCCCACAGCGCCTGCAGACAACGCGGCGGTCTAGCAAGCACAAGCCAATACCAAGCGGGAACCAGAATACTGCAGCGAGAATACCGAGAATCCCAAAGCGAGATGCACTGATATGCCGACCCTCTTGCAAGCAGATCATCTCGGGATGGTCTGGAGGTAGAGGCGTGCTGATGACATGACCAGTGGCATGTTGGTAGTGGTGCAAATTGTCTCCGGCGGGAGAGAATGAGGGATCTGGCGCTGCCGTATACTTAGGAACGGGGCCAGGTTTGGGCTGGTCTGTGTTCGTTGCCCGCGCTTTAGCATCTGTGGAGCTTGAAGCTGTACATATAATTTTGGTTGGTATAGAAATCGTTTCAGTAACAAATGAGAGACTCACCTCCGGTGGCATAGTCGTACGAAGGTGGATTAGTAGCAGGTGCTTCGCCCTTCAGAGTACTTGATGCGTCGTAGCTGGCATCATTTGTTTGTTGCATATTCTCAACCTGGTAAGAAAACGATTAGAACAGCAAAGTTGCCAGTCAAATGTGATACTCACCATGATTGCTGACGTGGTGGAAGGCAAGGAGCGACGTACACCAGCGCATTGCTTTATATGCAGTACACTGCGGAGCAGGCAGTGCGACTGCGGGACTTATGACAGGTCCGGCTATACCCGACGAGATGAGCTAATGATTACGTCCTCAGTCCATGTGATCGTGGTCACTGATCTCAACAGTTGCCTAATATGGGAAGCCCTTCCACAAGCGCGTTCGAGACGCGAGAGAGGCCTTCATCCTAGCCACTATCATCCCATCGGCCCCGACTCCTATCCATCCATCCATTCTTGCCGTGACTCGTTTCGTGGCTCAGAAAATTTTCCCCGTGATAAACAAGTACAATTAGTCGTCGTGGCTGGTGCGTTTTTTCTCTTTTTACTGCCATCATCTGTCGTGCGATTTTCGGTTCAACTTATCGCTGACGACGACCTTTTTTATCCACTATGTTCCACTACAACAATCCGCCTGTGCGTCCAGAACACGCTCCCGCCTCCATACCAGCATATCTTCCAGGAGTAGACCTTGAGGGGAGGCCCGTGACACCACCTCGTCCCGCTATTGAGTAAGCAATTTTCGTTCCTCTTTTCCGGGTCCGGGTTATCGTTCTAACTGACTCTATCTTGGCGACAGCCTGAGAAGCGACCCTCGGGCTTTTCACTCTCCCATCAGCATCAACTCTCACTCTCTGAGTGCACACATCACAGGAGAGAAGCAGACTCACGCAAAGATGGGCAAGACGCTCTTTGGTGAAGTCCTTACCGGGCTCATCATCGACGTACCACATCTCATTGAAGACAAACTGTCGGACAAGGCACTTGGCCGTGGATTGGGGAGATGGGTCCACGGAGCCGGCTCCGAAAAGGCAAAAGGTTTCACAACGAAAGTGGCGAAGATGGTCTCGCACCTGAAGGAGGGTGCGATTCTGAAGAAGAAAGGGTTTTATTCACAGCCTGCGAAGCGTTGGCATGCGTGGCGGACCCCGAGACGAGCGGAATCTATTCAGAGGTTGCAAAAGGAAGAGGAAGAAGAACAGACTCAAGCGGAACCGCAGCTTGAACAACTTGTGCAAGCCGTGCAAGAACCGCAACCTCAACTCGCGGAGCACCCGAAGGAAAACCGGGCTTCCGAACAGATGAAGCAGCCGGAGCCAGAGCAGGTCCTTGAACACACAAAGCAGTCGGAGCAAGAAGAGGTTCCCGAACAAACAGAGCAGCCTGAGCAAGAAAAGGTTCTTCAGCAATTGCAACAAACAGAGAGCGGAGCAAGCTTGAAAGAAATCCCACGAGAGGGGAGGAAGAAGAAGCGCTCAACTGGACCGTCAGATGAGGAAGACACAGCGAATTTTTTCAATGCTATCGGAAACAATATCCGAGAGATGCACGGTATCAGTGGACTCACGTTCGACGCCCGAGTATTCTCGGCCCGTTTCCGCCATTGCTCCCCTGCCGATGCTGCCGTTGACTGCGTCCGCAAGCCGGACCTGGTCGTACTTGAACGATGGGCCGCCGATGCACCGGATGCGATGTGGCGCGATATCAAGGCTCTTCTCGAGATCAAGCGTTCAAGCGCAGAGTCGGCTCGAAGAGATGCGTATCGAGAACTCCTGAACTGTGTCCGGATGGTCTTTGCGGCGCAGATGAACCGTCGATTCGTGATGGGTGCGACGATATGCGGAGACATCATGACATTCTACATCTTTGACCGAAGCGGTTGCCTCGTCTCTGAGGCGTTTGATATTAACACGGACGTTGAGCGAGTGACTCGAGTTGTGTGTGGGATGTTGTTTGTGGATGAGATCCGATTGGGATACGATCCAACGATCTTCAGAGAGAAGGATGGACGAATTGTCGTCATGTTCAAGGGTGTGAAGTACGTATGTGCTGAAGATCCGCTGTACGTTGAGAAGTCTGTGCGGGGACGCGGGACTGGCTGCTTTGAAACTCTATACCTTGGAGAGCCAGCCGTGATCAAGGATGCGTGGGTGGATGACTCACGGAGACGACTTGAGCACGAGATCCTTGAGAAAGTGAAGGATGTTGAGGGTGTGGTGAAGGTCGTGGACTACGAGATCGTGCAAGTACCGAATGATGATGATGAATTGGAGAATGATACGACGACAAGGAATCGTAAGCGATTGACCGAGAAGGATTATTGGAGAACGAAGGCAAAATGGTCTGGGTTTGACTTGGTTGAGACCCGGACTCACCGGCGAATTATCTTGCAACCATGCGGAGGACCACTCGAAGGATTTGCAAACCTTAGCGAGCTTTTACTTGCAATCAAAGATGTCATCAAATGTAAGCCCTCCGTTTTCTTGTGAGCTCGGTTATGGTACTAATTACTATCACAACTTCCACAGGTGTCCAGGATCTACTTGAGAGGAAGGTGCTACACCGGGACATCAGCATGCGGAACATCATCCTTGCGAAAGCCGATCCAAAAAATCCGGATTCACGCATGCGCGCATATCTCATTGATTTCGACTATGCGTTGGATCTGGAAAACCTGTCGCAAGATGTGGCTAAAGGTGCTCGCACGGTGAGTTTTACGAGTAGCAATCCTTGCTCGACGCTAAATGTGTGCACTTACAGGGCACTTTACCTTTCATGGCTATCGAAATGTTAGCGGAAGAGACCGCCAACCACGTTCCTCATGCGTACTACCATGACCTAGAGTCTATTTTCTACTCTTTGTGCTGGCTGTGCACATCGCAAGAGGGTCCTAACAATACTGAGCGCGATCGCCGATCGTTCGACTTCAATAAGTCGGAAGTCGCGAAATGGACAGGTATTGGTATGGAGAATCCAAGCCTAGATGACATCCGGCGATGCAAGGCTGCGACGATTCGCGACGAAACCGAGTTTATCGAGAAAGTCCTGAATCAATTCGCACCTTACTTTGATCCTATCAAACCGTGCGTACTGACATTGCGAGACGTGATGATCAACGAAGGATCGAATTCTGGTGACCCACTTGCACGATCCAGAGTCAAAGAACGAATTGACTTTTTGGAGGGATGTAGACGAGCCGGCATATCTATCAGCCCAATGATGTTAAAGGGTATCCCTAATTCCCAACGCGAACCTAGTGACGTATTTAATTCGCTCTACGACATCATCGACTCTACACTCGAAGGGTTGGTCGAGCCGTCTCTTCCACCAACGTGCACGCCAGAAGCAAAGACTAAAGCGAGGGCAGAGGAAGAATTTAAGAAAGAGGTTAAGCGGATGAAGTTTAGGAGGTACATGTCCATCCGCGAGATGCAAGAAGAGCGGGAGGCCAACCTTCAGGTCAAAGAGAGCGAGGCTATCGAGGAAGCAGAGGAGAAGGAGAGAAAGAAGAAAAAGGCCGACGTGGGGGAGGACGAGGAGGAGGACAATGAGGGGTACGAAACGTTCGAGGAACCAGAACGTCAAAGGCCGTCATTTACGACGTCTGAGCAAATAGCCCTCGCCCATCTGCGGATGCGAGCTACAATGAGCGCATCCCAAAGTTCAGTGCCAGGTCTTACTTATTCGGGTACCTCGGGCTCAGCTTCTGGCACTCGTTTTGGCTCAACATCCGGTGCCAGGCTAGGCTCGTCCTCGTGGTCATCGTCACTAATGGCCGCCCCGGAAATTGGCCCGCCTCCCTCGATGGAATCTGTAGGGTCGAAACGTGCTTTCGATGAAGGTGACGAATCTGAGCACGGACAGCCACTGCTGAAGAAAGCGAGGAAAGTTTCCGTACCGAAAATGAAACAGCTGCCACGAACGAAGTCTAAGCCGTCGGCATCGAAGCCAACTTTCCTTGTTCCCGGACTTCCCGCAAGCAGAAGCTTTTCTGGGTCACACCACAGTCTTTCGTTTGCAGGTGTTCCACAATCGAAAGAGCCCCTCGTTCCACCTCCTTCTGGTGACAGTATCATTCCTTCGTCAATGGAATCGACTCGGTCAAAACGTTCGTTATCTGAAAGCTCGGATGACGATTCGTTAACAAGCGATTCTCGGAAGCGGATGCGGTCTGGAGATTTCTGAGACTATTCATCGGATGGCCTGGGTTTGTCCTCTAATTGGGCTGCTTCCGGTTTCTTTTCATTTGTTTTTGATTGGTTCATTTCTTTGTTTCCTTTGTTTCTCGCTTTCTGCTTGCTTTCTCTGCCGGATTGTACTTAATACGCACTGCATCACTGTATTACTACCTGCATTTGGGTTTGTTTTCCTTTTTCGCTTTCGCATTGCTTTCGATATTTATATTATTTCCTCTGCTGCTGCTCTGCCTGTTTTGCTCTGCATCATGTAATCGCATTAGATAGATACCAGCGCGCGCGCGCTCTCATAAAAGAACAATTTTGAAGGTCTGCGTCTTTGCAGATACTTCACAACGGCATCCCCTGGTTCGATTGTGAGATTTTTGCTCTGAAGTGAGACGAACTTCGACTAGGAGAATCTGACCGTTAACGTTGTAAGGCTCGCGTTGACTTTCCTATTCTGATTCAGTGCTTGTTCGCTGACGACGCATAATAATCACCAACTACCATACCAGTGTATGAACACGGATGAGTATAAACTTGTCATTTTCAACCGTTATGTATGATATATATAGGCAGTCCTTAGCTGTGAGCTCTCGCAGCACCATGAACCGAACTTGTAAATGACTCGTCCATTTCTGAACCATACTGAGTTCTACACAGCAAAGTACGTTGATACATAGCAATTAAGTTCGCCACAAATCGAATGTCTACAATAAAGCAAGTTTATTGTGATTTTAATTGATATTATGTCGACTGGGAATTTGACGTTTGCACCAGTATGCTGTAATCCTATTTGTTCACCGCGATTTTTATTTATGGGTTATGAAGGATGTTGAGCAAACAAACCCATACAAGAACAAATAAAAGTCCAAGAAATGCAGTGAACTTCATATCGAGCCGCCTATGAAAACCAATTATAGGGATATATGTTAGTAGCCTAGATCCATTGTAGCATTAACGTTCACTGAGCGCAATTAATTCATTCGCTACAGTGTGCATTTGTACCAAGGAATTCTCCTTATGTAATTATCATATGTTTATTTGTTGCACTCAGTGCAGGGGTTTCTATATGACTGTACTAAGTGCAATCTGTACGACTGACTGAATAATCTACGTGACTAATAGAAGTGTTGGAGTAAAAAGAATTTCAAAGCTACTACTTTAGCTGTTCATGGCGTTTGGGGACTTGCGTGGGTCGAGTGTAGTAATTTGAGGCACTGAGACACTGACATAGTAATACAGGATACAGTCATAATGCTGTCCTGAGTGATATTCTCCGATGTCAGAAGGGTTGTTTGAAGTAATAAATAATATGCTGTTTACAACTTTCTCGTAATACCTCATCCACAGATGAATATGACAGTCAAATTCCAATAAACACGACTCGTACATTTGAGATCGCTTCAATCACTCGTTGACGTGCCCATGCAACCAATCGCACCCAACGAAAACCAGGATGTTGTTGCCAAATATCTGCGAGATTGTAGACCTCTTCAGAAGCAATGAGCCAGCGAACAAGATGAAGGAGTACAGTGATACAGCCCTGAAGTAAAGTAGAGAAAAGAAGTAAGGAGACAACAACAGCGACAGAGCAAAACGAAAAAAGGAAAGGAAAGGAATCCAGAAACAGTCCAGGGAAACTCGACAATCGCGGCCTCGGAAGCATTTACTATACAATATGGCACGAGAAAAATATGGTACACCTCAGCATGAGAATCCATCGTCAAGCACTCGTCCGCAACGCTTGCATACAACACGGCGGTCCAGCAAACAACAAGCAATACCAATCGGGAACCAGATAATTGCTGCGAGAACACCAAGACATCCAAAGCGGGTTGAACGGATGTGGCGACCTTCTTGCATACAGATGTACTCAGGATGGTCAGGCGGGAGCGGTGCACTCACGAATCCGCCTGATGCTGGCGGCTGGTAGCACTGTGCATTACTTGGAGCAGGCATGTAAGGACCCTGCCTAGGATAACCTGGGCCTGCAGGCTGATTTTTGTTTGAGCCTAACGCATGCGTTGATGAGGATTCTCCACACATTTATGTTCGGCACGTACCTCCCGTAATATAATCGTACGAAGGCGGGTTGGTGGCACCAGCCTCGCCCTTTGCATTGAATGCACTCTGATTGTGATCGTTCTTCTGTTGCATATAGTCAGCCTAGCAAAGAACATAGTTAGAACAGAGCGAAATTGTACTGTTGTGCATGCATACCATGACTGCCGCTGTGGTGAAGGGTAAGGAGCAAAGCACTCCGACACATCCTTATATGCTGTTCCATTGCGGGATACGGCTGTGCCACAATTGGTGCGCAGTGACGAGTGAGGAAGTATCCGGCTATACCCGAGGATGAGCTAATGTGGCCATGTGACCGTGATTACTGCTAAGCACGTTCGAGACGCGACTCTGCTGAACTGCCTTCTACCTGAGCCACTATCATCTCATCTCTTCGGCCTCGACTCTTATCCAACTAACCAATCTCTCTGTGACTCGCTTCGTGGCTCGAGAGCTTTCCCCCTAATAAACAGCGCATTTTTGTGTCGTGGCTGGTACGTATTTTCCCTTTACTATCATCCACCTCTACGCGTCTTACAGTTGAACTCATCGCTGACGACTTGTATTATCTACTATGTCCGACAACAACAAATTGGCCGATCAGCAAGGACGCGACTTCAAGTCAGAACAGGCTGCACAGGCTGCACACGAATCAGCACAACGACAGTAGGCATATCGCAGTTCTCTCTTCCTGTTCATCGTTCTGACACCTCTCGGCGATAGGTTTGGAAGCGACAGTCGACCGCAGTGCTCCCCCCGCAAAATCAAGGCTAATAGTCTTTCTGAACACTGTCGTGGAGAAAGGCAGACACACCAAAAGATGGGCAAGACGCTCTTTGGTGAAGTCCTCTCAGGATATCTCATCGACGTGCCGAATCTTGTGGAAGAGAAATTATCGGACAAGGCGCTTGACCGTGGACTGGGAAGATGGGTCCACGAACCTGGCTCCGAAAAGGCGAAAAGTTTTACGACGAAGGTGTCGAAGATGGTCTCGCATCTGATGGAGAATTCGGTATTGGGGAAGATAGGGAGCTATTCACGGTCTGAGAAACGATGGTTTCCATGGCGGGCGACGAAACGAGCGCTGCATGAAGAAAAATTGCAGAAGCTACAGAAGGAAGAAGAGGAAGTACAGATGCAAGGAAAACAGCAGGTTGAGCGGCTTGTGCATCCTAAACCAGAACATCCACCCGCGAGCGAAACGAACGTTAAGAAAACGCTTCGCGAGGAAAACAAGCGACTATCTGAACTGTCGGATGAGGAAAACACCACGAATTTCCTCAATGCTATCGGGAACAATATTCGAGAAATGCATGGCGTCAAAGGACTCGCGTTTGATGCCTGTGTTTTCTCCCCACGCTTCCGCCATCGCTCCCCTACCGATGCTGCCGTTGACTGTATTCGCAAACCGGACGTGGTCGTACTTGAACGGTGGGCGGCCGATGCACCCGATGCGACGTGGCGCGATATCAAGACTCTTCTCGAGATCAAGTACGCCGATTCAAAGGAAAGTCAAAGGGATGCGTTCCTGGAACTATTACATTGTGTCAGGATGGTTTTTGCCGCCCAGGTGAACCGTCGATTCGTGATGGGAGCGACAATCTGCGGAGATAAAATGACATTCTGCATCTTTGATCGGAGTGGTTGTCTGGCCTCGGAGTCGTTCAATATAAACGAGAATGTTGAACGAGTAGTCCGAGTCGTTTGTGGGATGCTATTCGTGGACGAGGTCCGATTGGGATACGATCCAACAATCTTCAGGGGTGAGGATGGACAGATCGTGGTGAAGTTCAAGGGAGTGGAGTACAAATGTGCTGAGGACCCGCTGTATGTTGAGAAGTGCGTACGAGGACGCGGTACAGGATGTTTCGAGACTGTTTACTTTGGTGAGCCGGCTGTGATCAAGGATGCATGGGTGGATGACTCTCGGAGTAAGCTTGAACACGAGATTCTTGATAAAGTGAAGGATGTTGAAGGGGTAGTGAAAGTGGTCGACTACGAGATTGTGCAGGTACCGGATGAGGATGACGTATTGGTGAATGACACGACGTCGGAGTGTCGAAAAACATTGATGAAGGACAACCTCTGGACAACAAATGCGAAATGGTCGGGATTCCACTTGGTTGAGACTCGGACCCATCGGCGGATTATGTTACAACCATGTGGTGCACCGCTTGAAGGGTTTGCGAACCTTAGTGAACTGCTGCTCGCAATCAAAGATATTGTTAAATGTGGGCTTTCCATTCCTTGTATGTTCGGTTCTCTTGCTAATTGTGAGGCGGCTTCTTCAGGTGTCCAGGACCTACTTGAAAAGAAGGTGCTGCATCGGGACATTAGTTTGCGGAACATCATTCTTGCAAAGGCCAATCCAAAAGATGCAAATTCACGGATGCGTGCTTACCTTATTGATTTTGACTACGCTTTGGATTTGGAAAATCAATCGCAAGCCGCGGCCAAGGGTGCTCGCACAGTAAGCCTCATGACAACATAGTGTCTACTTTTTCGACATTAAATGAGCCTATTTACAGGGTACTTTGCCGTTCATGGCTCTTGAGATGTTAGCGGAAGAGACATCGAACCGTGTTAAGCATGCATATTATCACGACCTTGAGTCAATATTCTATGTTCTATGCTGGCTTTGTACGTCTCAGGAAGGCCCGAACAATACGGAACGTGATCACCGAACGTTCGACTTCAACAAGTCTGAAGTTGCAAAATGGACTGGGGCGGGTATGGATAATCCGACATTCGACGCCATCAAAACGCGCAAATCAGCGATCGTATGTAATGATACGGAGTTTACTGAGAAAATTCTTAGCGACTTCGCACCGTATTTCGACTCCATTAAGCGATGCGTACTCAAATTGCGGGATATGATGATCAACAAAGGTTCAAATCCGTATAACCCACTTGTTCAGGAAAGGGTGGACGAGGCACAGAAACTGGCAGAGAAACTAAATAAGATAGGGGAGCCTGTTCCTTACCTAGTGCTGAAGGAGATTCCTAATTCCGAACGCGAACCCTGCGACGTATTTGAATCGCTTTACAATATCATTGATGAGGCTATTGCTACTCTGATCGAGCCGCCATTGCCGCCAGCTTGCACCCCAGAAGCAAAGGCCAGAGCAAAGGCAGAGGAAGAGGCAAGGAAGGAAGCCAAGCGGATGAAGTTCAGGAATTACTTGTCGATTCGTGAGATGCAGGAGGAGAGGGAAACCAATCTGAGGGTCAAGGAGAGCGAAGTTGTAGACGAGGACGAGGAGACGGAAGAGGGGAGAGACGATCCGTCCGAGAAACCTGGATCTCAGTTGCTGACACGTGCGACGTCTAGTTACCATTCTCTTCTGAAGCAGGCCACAACGACTTTGATGAATGCACGGAACACCTCAAGCTCAGTGCCAGGTCTGACTCACTCAGGTCCCTCGGACTCGGCGTCCGGTACCAATCCCAGGTCCATTCCGTCATCATCGTCGTCTCCGAAACCAGACCCGCGGGTTGGCCCACCATCTTCAATGGAATCTATCGGATCCAAGCGCCCTTTCGATGATAACAATCAGAAATCCGCGCATGGGCATGGACGCTCGACGCCCAAGAAGGCGAAGAAGGCTTCTGGATTGGGGAAGTCACCTCAGCCAAAAGGACCATGCATCCAACGTCCATCCCTTGACCGTACTATGCCTTCGTCGGTGGAATCGACTCGGTCAAAGCGGTCATCGGCTGAGAGTTTTGATGACGATTCGGTAACGAGCGATTCTCAGAAACGAATACGGCTTGAGAAACTCTGAGGCTACGGTTGTCGAGTGTCGCTTAACTGCTTCTGTATTCATTTCCAAGTTTTGTTCTGCCACTTTTGTTTACCTGCTTTGCTTGACCTGCTTTACTTTTGGGTCGGACCTTACTTCATTCACAATTGCATCATTATATTCCTGCCTACAGTTGGATCTACGTTTTCTTCACTTTTGCATTGCTTTTAGTAGTTATATCATTTTATTTGTTGCTTGCCTGTTATATTCTGCATCATGTAATTGTATTAGATACCAGCGCTCGTGCGCTCTCATAAAAGAATTATTCTGAAGGTCTATAATGTCGCAAATACTTCTCAACTTGACCTCTGGCTTTGTTCCGTGTGATGTAATGTGTGAGCTCGTCCGCAAAAGGATGAGACGATCCCCAAAGTACAAGTCGTGTATAGTAATAACTGACTTACATATTCATTTTAGAATGAGGAATCGGAAGTTTCAAAGGAATAAACATCAATACTGAGTCACAATGGGTCCACATTTTGACTCATTCTGAAAAGACTGTACGTCTGTATTACAACCTCATCCAGAGAGGTTTCCTTAAATTCCTAAATGTAACTCACGAGTAAGTGTTCCCGAACGTCATGGACAGCTAGAATAGTAGCAGTCCTGTGGGTCAAACTCAGTTCACTCAAAACTCCCCTCTCAGGCTGAGGGTAGAGAATAGGCATAAGGCACAATAACGTAGAGAGATTCTCTGGTACAGATACGACAAGTTCCTGCTTAGCCCTTTGCTTTAAATTCATTTTGATTGAAAAAATCTTTTCATTCATGTAGTCTGTCCTTCAGGCAAAAAGATAGTTAGAGACCTTGAGTCGAGTGTCAATCTATAAACGTGCATGTATATCATGGCTATCAATTCGTTGAATGGCAAGAAGCAAAATTATTCGACGCATCGTGCATATGGATACAGCTGTCCCACAGCCGCTTTCTCAAACTCTCAGCCTTTCTGCAGCGTGCAAAAGTGAAGTATCTGGCTAGGGACTGGCACGGTTACCGCCGCAGAAATCCGCAATCCGTACCGCGGATAGAGCCATCCGCGGATGAAATTCCCACAGTAACCGCAGAAACCGCGGTTGGACGCTTAGCACGGTTAAAAAGAAAAGGGTTACTAACACACGAGGCAAAATCAAATTTTGAAAGTATTCAGAATTTTAATCAGAATGTGAGAAAGCTGCTCTGATTGGCTGCTTTCACATTCCGACTAAAATTCTGGTCAATACATAATGTGAATTTGCCTCGTGTGTAAATGTGTTTGATGATGTGACTTTAGTCACAAATGTGATGCTTTACACTAATTACATACAATTCATTGTGAAAACTTGCTACCTTTCAAAGTTAGCTTCGTAACCGCGGTAACCGTGAGAATTTCATCCGCGGTATGGTATCCGTGGGAAATTATCATCCGCAGTGCGAAACCGCGGTAAGCTCTATCCGCGCCAGTCCCTATATCTGGCAAGGGCTGAATGAGCTAATCATTTGGTTTCGCGGTCATGTGACCATAATTACTGCCACAAGCACATTTGAGACGCGACTCTAATGACCTTCACGGAGAAGCCACTATCATCTCATCGGACCCGATCCCTATCCGACTGAGTATCCGATATCGTTGTGGCTCGAGACGTGGCCTGAGAAGATTTTCCTAACTAAACAGCTCATTTTGCCGTCGTGGCTGGTACGTTTCTCCTTCTCTACTATCATTCAACTCTGCGCGTCTTCCAGTCTAACTCGTCTCTGACGGCTTGTTTTATCCGCTATGTCGGGTAGTAATAATGGCATCGGAAAATCTGGGACCGTTCCTAGTCCAGAATTAGTCCCAACTAAGCCCAAGTCATCACCATTAGCAAAATATGTGCACTCGGGAGTCGTAATTGAAGTACCGAATCTCGTCGAAGAGAAACTATCGGACAAGGCGCTTCATCGTGGGCTGAAGAGATGGGCTCACGGAACCGACACAAGAGAGGAGGACGATTCGAACACGATAATGAAGGAGATGGTAGCGTGTCTGAAAGAGAAATCGTCTTGTTACTCGCTGGATGATAAACGATGGGTACCATGGCGGACTCCGAAACGAGCACCACTTAATGAGCTGTTACAGAAGCCACAGAAGGAAGAGGAGGAAGAAGAAGAAGAACATAAGCAAGAGAAACATCAGGTTGAGCGGCTTGTGCATCCTGAGCAAGAACAGCCAGATGGAGGGTGCGCATGTGAACAGGCGAAGCATTCGGATCAGGAAGAAGCTCCTAAACAGACGGACCAGCCTGCACGGATCGTTCAGCAAGTGCAACAACCCACGAGCGAAAGGAACGCGAATGAAATGGTGCATGAGGAAAAGAAGCAGTTATCTGGACCATCGGTTGAAGAAGACACCGCAAATTTCTTCAATTCTATCGGGAACAGTATTCGAGAGATGCATAACATCGACGGGCTCGCATTCGATGCCCGTGTTTTCTCAGCCCGCTTCCCGACCGATGCTGCCGTCGACTGCATTCGCAAGCCAGGCATGGTCGTACTTGAACGATGGGCTGTCAATGCACCTGATGCGATGTGGTGTGATATCAAGACTCTTCTCGAGATCAGGCGATCGAGATCGGAGGAAGCTCAAGAGGGTGCGTATCAGGAACTGGTACGTTGTGCCAGGATGGTTTTTGCATCCCAGGTGAACCGTCGTTTCGTGATGGGAGCGACAGTGTGTGGAGATATTATGACATTTTTTATCTTCGATCGGAGTGGTTATCTGGTCTCGGAGGCATTTGATATGAACGAGAATGTCGAACGAGTGGTTCGAGTCGTTTGTGGGATGCTGTTCGTGGACGAAGTCCGATTGGGATACGATCCAACAATCTTCAGGGATAAGGAAGGACGGATCGTAGTAAAGATCCAGGGAGAGGAGTGCATGTGTGCTGCGGACCCGATGTATGTTGAGAAGTCCGTACGAGGACGCGGTACCGCATGTTTCGAAACTGTTTACCTTGGTGAGCCGGCTGTGATCAAGGATGCATGGGTGGATGACTCGCGGGCCCAACTTGAACACGAGATCCTTGAGAAAGTGAAGGATGTTGAAGGGATAGTAAAGGTGGTAGACTACGAGATCGTGCAGGTACCGAATGAGGACGATGTATTGGTGAATGACACGACGTCAGAGAATCGGAAGACAATGATGAAGGACGGGGTCCACTTGGTCGAGACTCGAACTCATCGGCGGATCATTTTGCAGCCATGTGGTGGACCACTTGAAGGATTCGCGAACCTTAAAGAATTGCTGCTCGCAATCAAATATGTTGTTAAAAGTGGGTTCTATATTCCTTATGGGTTCGATTCACTTGCTAATTACTATCTGCGGTCTTCAGGTGTCGAGAGTCTACTTGAGAAGAAGGTACTGCATCGGGATATTAGTTTGCGGAACATCATTCTTGCAAAGGCCGATCCTAAAGATCCAAATTCACGGATGCATGGCTACCTTATTGACTTTGACTACGCTTTGGATTTAGAGAATCAATCGCAAGCCACGGCCAAAGGTGCTCGCACAGTAAGCCTCAGGACAAGATATACTTTCTCGACACTAAATAAGCCTGTTTACAGGGTACATTGCCGTTCATGGCACTTGAAATGTTAGCGGAAGAGACATCGAACCGTGTTAAGCATGCATATTATCACGATCTTGAGTCGATATTCTACGTTCTATGCTGGCTTTGTACATCTCAGGAAGGCCCGAACAATACGGAACGTGATCACCGAACGTTCGACTTCAACAAGTCTGAAGTTGCAAAATGGGCTGGCATTGGAAAGGAGAATTCGAATCTGGACGACATTCGACGATGCAAGGCGGCGACAATTCGGGACGAATCCGAGTTTACTGAGAAAGTTCTTGGCGACTTCGCGCCCTACTTTGATCCCATCAAACCGTACGTTCTGGCACTGCGAGATGTGATGGTAAATGAGGGATCAAATAACAACAACCCCCTTTATCTGCTTAGACTTAGAAAGAGAATGCGTAAGTTGGAGGAAGAAAAGGCAAAAGGCAGGCCAATCGACGCAGAAACCTTAAAGGACATACCTAATTCCCATTGCAAACCCGCTGAAGTGTTCCAGTCAATCTTCGATATCATAGAAGATGCACTGGAAGACCTAGTCGAACCGCCTCTCCCACCAGCTTGCACGCCAGACGCGAAGGCAAGGGCAAGGGCAAGGGCAGAGGAAGAGGCCAGGAAGGAAGCGAAGCGGATGAAGTTCAGGAAGCACATGTCCATTCGCGAGATGCAAGAGGGACGAGGGATCAATCTCAGAATCAAGGAGAACAAGGCTAAAGACGTTACAGAAGGAGTTGAAAGGAAGGAGAGGAAAATGGACAAGTGGAAGGGACTGCGAGCGGAGGAAGAGAGCTGCGAACCGACGAAGGATCCGGAACATCGGCAGCCGATATGCGCTACGTCCGATCGTAATTCTCTCATGAAGCAAGCTGCATTGAATACATTGGTCACCTTAAGCTCAGTGCCAGGTCTGACTCACTCCGGTCCGTCTGACTCAGCCTCTGGTACTGATTCCGGGTCACCCTCACGATCGCCGCCGTCTCTGATGCCCACCTCACGGATCGGGCAACCCTCTACAATGAAACCCATCGGATCCAAGCGCGCTGTCAATGACAACGACGACAAATCTAAGGATAGATGCCCAGCGCCAAAGAAGGCAAAGAAATGTGCCGGACTGGGATGAAACAACAGCCACCACATCAGTTATTAGGATCATATATTCAATGCCCTTACAACAGTTTTATGCCCTTGTTGATGGAATCGACTCGGTCAAAAAAATGGTTCTCTGGAAGTTCAGATAACGATTCATTAACGAGCAATTTTTGTAAGCGAATGCGGCTTGAGAATCTCTGAGGCTGGGGTCGTCGAATGTCCCTCGACTGCTGCTTTATTCTTTTCTTTCTTGGTTTTATTCTGCCGCTTTTCATTGCTCCCTCCTTTCCTTTCTCTACTTTGCTTTTTGGGTAGATCCTACTTATTGCACAACTGAATCAGTGTATTCCTATCTACATTTTGAGTCTGCGTTTTCTTCACTATTGTATTGCGTTTAATAATAATATTTTATCTGCTGCATGCCTGTTTTGTACTGCATCGTGTAATCACATTAGATGAATATCGGCGGGAGCGTACTCTCACAAAAGAATCATTTTGAAGGTCTGCACTTTCGCAGGTATCTCTAAACAACATCTCTGGCTTTGATTAACGTGGATAATTGCATGAAACTATTAACAAAAGGATGAGACGAATCTTAATGTATACTGATGGTCAACTTTCTTAGTCTTCCAGGGGAACAAAATTAACGTTTGAAGCAAAGTGTTTCTAGCACTGCCAGTAATTTAAGCAACCTACAAGGAATAGTGCTGCTTAGCTAACAATATTAATATTATTGGTTGGTTAAATGGTTTGCATTTCTATGTAGGTGATCAGAGTCCTTTGACTGAAACTCTTACATATAATGATATAACTTCTGACCAAATATTACTGAATGTCAAAGTCAAATAGTATAGTAATTTCACTCAAAATATGTATGAAAACACACTATACTACTTACTACATATGGTTTAGTCCTGGGATTGAGCTCACGCTTGTTCACAAACTTCTGCTCTAACAGTAACAAATAGGTACAGTAATACAGAGAGAATCACACCATCTCTGAGTGCAGATACACCAACTACAGGACTTCTATTCATATCATGACACTTATTTATACATAGCTGTTACAGTACTGTGAATCTTCTTTATGAATCAATAACGTGTATTTCTTGCAACAAATCAACACAAAAGTTTATTACCTTTCTTAAAGAAGAAAACATGAATTTGTTCCTTTGTGTGGCTTTGTTTGTCCAACAACTTGTACAAACAAATAAGTTGCAGTGAGCAAACAGACTGTCAAACTTGTAATAATAAACATGATAAATTATGAAAGACGTGTATTGTTGTGATGTTCAGGCTATGGACAACTTTCCAGTGCAATTACAATGCATCAGCCTGTTTAGCTGTGGGAGTTCAGTATGGCTGAGTAATGCACCTATTTAGTTTGAGGTGACAATAGACAACCCAACCAGTAACTACTTACAGTATGTGTATTTGTTGCTTCAGTTCCATAAGCTGCCTTTGTGTCCATATCCATTGTGTTGTGTTTCAACTTGAACAAAAAAAAAGTCCTAGCAAGTAAATTGATGCTAACCTTGGACAACCATCAATTTGGCCCAGTTGAAGTTCATCACACGTCATTGACGTCTCACAAGCAAGCCAAGGATGTTGTTGAGAAGTATCTGCCATGCACAGGCATTCAAAACGACTCTCTTATGAAAGAGCACAATCACTACTATTTGCATATTGCAACACAATACAGAGTAAATGAACAAACAGCAGATTAACTAACATAACTTTTAAAAGCAAGGCAGAATCAAAGAAAAGGATGCTCTAAGTGCAGATAAGAATACAGTAGTACAGATGTGTTGTGAGTATGATTCAGCTAGAGACAAACCAATAGAGAAGGAAAGAGACGAGTGAAAGCAACAGAACAAAAGCAAACAAGGGACGCTCGGTGATCGCAGTCTCAGAGACCCTCAGGCCGCATTCGCTTCTGAGAATCGCTCGCTACCGAATCACCATCTGAGCTTTCCGCAAACGACTGCTTTTACTGAATCGATTCTACTGGCGAAAGCATGGTACTGTCACAAGAAGACCGTTGAATGTATGGTCCTTACAGCTGAGATGGTTACTGCTGTTTCATCCCAGTCCAGCGCATTTCTTCGCCTTTTAGGTGCTGGGGATCCATGCCTAGATTTGCAATCGTTGTCATTGACAGTGGGCTTGGATCCCACGGGTTCCATTGTAGATGATCTCCCAGTCCGTGGGGCTGGCATCGTATATGGCGACGACTGTGAGGTTGATCTGGGACCACCAGAGGCTAAGTCTGTTGGACCGGAGTGAGCCAGACCTGGCACTGAGCTCGAGGTGACCAATGCATTTATTGCAGCTTGCTTTAGAAGAGAATTCCGATCGGACATCGTGCATATCGGCTGCTGATGTTCCGGGTCCTCGGACAGTTCGCGGCTCTCTTCCTCCTCTCGTCGTCCCTTCCTCTCGTCCAATTTCCTCTTCTTCCTCTCTACTTCTTCTGCAACCTCTTTAGCCTTGCTCTCCTTGCTCTTCTTGCTCTTCTTAAGATTGGCCTCTCGCTCCTCTTGCAGCTCGCGAATGGACATGTGCTTCCTGAACTTCATACGATTTGCCTCCTTCATCGCCTTTTTCTCGACCATTGCTTTGTCCTTTGCGTCTGGGGTGCATGTCGGCGGAAGTGACGGTTCGCCCAGAGTGGCAAGAGTCCCGTCGATGATATCATAGATTGTGTTGAATACATCGCATGGTTCACGTTGTGAGTTGGGAATATTCATCCAAAACGATATAGGAACAGATATGCCAATTCGTCTGCATTCATCCTGGAAGACTATGTTTTCCTTGACAGCTTCTACGTCAAAGGAGTGTTTCGGGCGTGAGCCGACGTTAACCATCACATTGCGCAGGTCAATAACGCAATCTTTGATGGGCTCAAAGTACGGCGCAAACTGTCTCACTACTTTTTTGATGAACCAGCTCCTATTCTCAACCGTTGCCGCTTTGCGTAGTTGGATGAAGTCGCTGCTTCGATTCTCCATACCTGCCCCAGTCCATTTAGCAACTTCAGACTTATTGAAGTCGAATGTTCGGCAATCACGCTCGGTGTTGTTAGGGCCTTCCTGAGACGTGCAAATCCAACACAGAACATAGAATATCGACTCAAGGTCATGATAATACGCATGAGGAACACCATTCGATGACTCTTCCTCTAACATCTCAAGAGCCATGAACGGCAATGTGCCCTGTAAACAGGCACGTTTAGTGTCGAGAAAGTAGGCTATATGTTGTCATAAGGCTTACTGTGCGAGCACCCTCGGCCAATGTTTGAGTTGGATTCTCCAAATCCAAAGCGTAGTCAAAATCAATAAGGTAGGCACGCATTCGCGAAGTTGGATCTTTTGGATCGGTCTTTGCAAGGATGATGTTACGCAGACTAATGTCTCGATGCAACACCTTCTTCTCAAGTAGATCCTCAACACCTGAAGACGGCAGATAGCAATTAGCAAGTGAAGCGAACCCATAAGGGATATAGAACTCACATTTGACAACATCTTTGATTGCGAGCAGCAATTCTTTAAGGTTCGCAAAACCTTCAAGCGGTCCACCACATGGTTGCAACATAATCCGCCAATGAGTCCGAGTCGCGAACTCTGACCATTTCGCCTTTGTCTTCGAAAGAACGTCATTCATCAATGCCTTTCGATTCTCTGACGTCGTGTCATTCACCAATACATCGTCCTCATTCGGTACCTGCACGATCTCGTAGTCTACCATCTTTACTATCCCTTCAACATCCTTCACTTTCTCGAGAATCTCGTGTTCGAGCTGACTCCGTGAGTCGTCCACCCATGCATCCTTGATCACAGCCGGCTCACCAAGGTAAACAGTTTCGAAACATGCGGTACCGCGCCCTCGTACGGACTTCTCAACATACAGCGGGTCCTCAGCACACATGCACTCCTCTCCCTGGATCTTTACTACGATCCATCCTTCCTTATCCCTGAAGATTGTTGGATCGTATCCCAATCGGACTTCGTCCACGAACAGCATCCCACACACGACTCGAACCACTCGTTCAACATTCTCGTTCATATCAAATGCCTCCGAGACCAGATAACCACTCCGATCGAAGATAAAAAATGTCATGATATCTCCACACACCGTCGCTCCCATCACGAAACGACGGTTCACCTGGGATGCAAAAACCATCTTGACACAATGTACCAGGTACCGATACGCATCCTTCTGAGCTTCCTTCGATCTCGATCGCCTAACCTCGAGAAGAGTCTTGATATCACTCCACATCGCATCAGGTGCATCGACAGCCCATCGTTCAAGCACGACCAGGCCTGGCTTGCAGTTGCAGTCGACACCAGCATCGGCCGGGAAGGAATGGCGGAAGCGTGCTGAAAAAACACGGGAATCAAATGCGAGTCCATCGATGCCATGTATCTCTCGAATATTGTTCCCGATATCATTGAGGAAATTCGCGATGTCTTCCTCAACTGACGGCACAGAGGATCGCTTCTTTTCTTTGTGTACCGTTTTCTTCACGTTCCATTCACTCGTGGGATGTTGCACTTGGTGAACTATCTGCTCGGGCTGGTCAGAATGTCTACGAGCTTCTTCCTGGTCCGACTGCTTCGCCTGTTCACATTCGCGCCCTCCATCTGGCTGTTCTTGCTCAGGACGCACAAGCCGCTTAACCTGATGTTTCTCTTGCTTATGTCCTTCCTCTTCTTCCTTCTGTGCCTTCTGTAACCGATCATTAAGTGGAGCTCGTTTCGACGTCTGCCATGGTACCCATCGTTTATCCTGCCGCGAGTAACAAGACGATTTCTCTTTCAGATACGCTACCATCTCCTTCATTATCGTGGTCGAATCCTCCTCCTCTCTTGTGTCGGTTCTGTGAACCCATCTTTTCAGACCACGATGAAGTGCCTTGTCCGATAGTGTCTCTTCGAGGAGACTCGGCACTTCAGTGACGACTCCCGAGTGCACATATTTTGCTAATGCTGCTGCCTTGGGCTTAGTTGGGATTGATTCTGGGCTAGGAACGGTCCCAGATGTCCCGAAACCGTTATTACTGCGCGACATAGCGGATAAAACAAGCCGTCAGCGACGAGTTAGACTGGAAGACGCGCAGAGGTGGATGATAATAAAGGGGGGGAAACGTACCAGCCACGACGGCAAAATGAGCTATTTAGTTAGGAAAATCTTCTCAGGCCACATATCGAGTCACAGCGAGATCAGATACTCAGTCGGATAGGGATCGGGTCCGATGAGATGATAGTGGCTTCGGGTGAAGGTCGTTAGAGTCGCGTCTCGAAATTGTGCAGTAATTATGGTCACATGACCGCGAAACCAAATGATTAGCTCATTCTGCCCTAGGGACTGGCGCGGATAGAGCTTACCGCGGTTTCGCACTGCGGATGATAATTTCCCACGGATACCATACCGCGGATGAAATTCTCACGGTTACCGCGGTTACTGCAGATCCGCAAAATACTACGAAGCTAACTTTGAAAGGTAGCAAGTTCTCACAATGACTTGTATGTAATTAGTGTAAAGCATCACATTTGTGACTAAAGTCACATCATCAAACACATTTAGTAACCCTTTTCTTTTTAACCGTGCTAAGCGTCCAACCGCGGTTTCTGCGGTTACCGTGGGAATTTCATCCGCGGATGGCTCTATCCGCGGTACGGATTGCGGATTTCTGCGGCGGTAACCGTGCCAGTCCCTATTCTGCCCTTGCTAGATACTTCACTTTTGCACGTTGCAGAAAGGCTGAGAGCTTGAGAAAGCAGCTGTGGCACAGCTGTATCCGTATGCACGGATGCGTCGGATAATTTTGCTTCTTGCCATTCAACGAATCGATAGCCATGATATACGTGCACGTTCATACATTGTCGCTCGACTCAAAGTCTCTAACTGTCATTTTGCCTGACGGACAGACTATATGCAATGAAAAGATGATTTCAATCAGAATGAATTTGAAGCAAAGGTCTACGCTTCCACTCGGTGTATTTATACCAAACCTTCTACATCGTGATGCCATATGCCTATTCGCTACCGTCAGAAAGGAGCTTTGAGTGAACATGAGTTCCGCCCACAGGCCGGAATCATTCGCAGCGAGCAAAGGAAGATGTTGGTTAATTCAAAGTGTATGAAGCTACTATTCTGGCTGTCCATGACATTCCGGAACACTTGTGAGTTACATGTAGGTATCTAAAGAAACCTCTCCAGATGAGGTTGTAATACGCACGTACAGTCTTGTGGGAACGATACAAAGTGTGGGCCCACTGTGACTCGGTATTGTAATAACTGACTTCATATTCACTTTAGAATGAGGAATCGGAAGAAAGTCTCGTAGAAATAAGCAACATTACACGATTTGTGATTCGGAGGCCGTCTCATCCTTTTGCGGACGAGCTCACACAATCCATCACACGAAACAAAGCCAGAGATCAAGTTGAGAAGTATTTGCGACATTATAGACCTTCAGAATAATTCTTTTATGAGAGCGCACGAGCGCTGGTATCTAATACAATTACATGATGCAGAATATAACAGGCAAGCAACAAATAAAATGATATAACTACTAAAAGCAATGCAAAAGTGAAGAAAACGCAGATTCAACTGTAGGTAGGAGTATAATGATGCAATTGTGTATGAAGATCCATCCCAAAAGTAAAACAGGTAAACAAAAGGATGTAAACCAAAGTGTCACAACAAAACCAAAAAAATAAAAATAAAAAATACAGTAGCAGCCCAGCGACACTCGACAGCAGTAGCCTCAGAGTTTCTCAAGCCGCATTCGTTTCTGAGAATCGTTCGTAACCGAATCGTCATCCAAACTTTCAGCCGATGACCGCTTGGACCGAGTCGATTCAACCGACGAAGGCATAGAACTGTCACCAAAAGGGTGTTGGGTGTATGGTCCTTTTGGCTGAGGTAACTGCTGTTGTTTCTCCTCCTCCTTGCGCATCCGGGCCCTATGCCGGGATTTCTCATCGTCATCATCGAAAGGGCGCTTAGATCCGATAGATTCCATTGAAGATGGCGGGTCAATCCGCGAGGCTGGGTTCGGAGACGACAACGATGGCGATGACGGGACTGACCTGGAACTGGTACCAGACACCGAGTCCGAAGGACCCGAGTGAGTCAGACCTGGTACTGAGCTTGAGGTGTTCCGTGCATTCAATTGATTCATTGCAGCTTGCTTCCGAAGAGAATAGCGACCAGACGTCGCACGTGCCCACGACTGATATGCCGGATCGTCCCTCTCCTCTTTCTTTTCCTCCTCCTCCTCTTTCTCGTCCATCTGCCTCTTCTTCCTCTTCACCTCTTCTGCCTCCTCTGTGGCCTCGCTCTCCTTGACCCTTAGATTGGCTTCCGTCTCTTCTTGCATCTCACGGATCGACATGTACTTCCTGAACTTCATCTGCTTGGCTTCCTTCCTCGCCTCCTCCTCTGCCTTCGCTTTGGCCTTTGCTTCTGGAGTGCAAGCTGGCGGCAGTGGTGGCTCGACCAGAGTGTCAAGAGTCCCTTCGATGATTTTGTAGATTGTATCGAATACATCGCAGGGTTCTCGTAAGGAGCTAGGAATAAACATTAACATGTCTGGAGAGATAGGCGTGCCGGCTTGTTTGCATGAGTCCACGGTAGCAATGTGTTTATTGGTTCTTTCCACGGCACGGGGGTCTTTCGGCTTCGAGCTTACGTTAACCATCACATCGCGCAAGTTGATAACGCAATCCTTGATGGGCTCGAAGTACGGCGCAAATTGAGTTACCACTTTTTCGATAAACTCGTTTCCGATCTTGACCGCCTCTGCCTTGCACCTTCGGATGTCGTCGAGTTTCGGATTCTCCATACCCGCTCCAGTCCATTTCGCAACTTCAGATTTGCTGAAGTCGAACGTTCGGGGATCACGCTCGGTGTTATTAGGGCCCTCCTGAAACGTGCAAATCCAACACAGAGTATAGAATATCGACTCAAGATCATGATAATATGCATGGGGAACATCATTCGATGTCCCATCCGTTAACATTTCAAGTGCCATGAACGGCAATGTACCCTGTAAGGTGCATGGTTGACACTGAGGAAAAGAGAGATAAAGGAAATGAGTGAGGCTCACCGTTCGAGCGCCCTTAGCAACGCCTTGCTCCTGATCCTTCAGAACTAACGCGTAGTCGAAGTCAATAAGATAAGCGCGTATCCGAGATTTTGGATCTTTAGGATCCGCCTTCGCAAGAATGATGTTCCGCATACTAATGTCTCGGTGTAGAACACCCTTCTTCAGAATATCCTGGACGCCTATACATATTGGCTGACAGTCAGCAACAAAAGAAAAACCAAGAGGAGATGAACAACCCACACTTGACGACATCCTTGATTGCAACTAGCAATTCTCGCAGATTCGCAAATCCTTCGAGCGGCCCACCACACGGCTGTAAGATAATCCGGCGATGCGTCCGAGTCTCAACCAAGTCGAACCCAGTCCACTTCGCATCTGTTTTCCAATGATCGTGCTCAATCAGCGTCTTTCTATTGCTGGATGTCGTGTCATTCTGCCACTCGTCATCATCATTCGGTACCTGCACAATCTCATGGTCCACCACCTTCACCACGCCCTCAACATCCTTCACAATCTCAAGAATGTCGTGCTCAAGACGACTCCGGGAGTCGTCCACCCACGCATCCTTGATCACAGCTGGTTCCCCAAGATAAAGAGTTTCGAAACATCCAGTCCCGCGTCCCCGTACGGACTTCTCAACATACAGCGGGTCCTCAGCACATGTGTACTTCACGCCCTTGAACTTCACCACAATCCGTCCATCCTTGTCCCTGGAGATAGTTGGATCATATCCTAATCTGATCTCGTCCACGAACAGCATCCCACACACGACTCGTACCACTTGTTCAACGTTCTCGTTCATATCGAACGTCTCCGAGACCAGACAACCGCTACGATCAAAGATGTAGAATGTCATGATATTTTCGCAAACCGTCGCTCCCATCACAAAACGACGGTCTACCTGGGCGGCAAAGACCATCCTGACACAATTCAGTAATTCTCGATATGCATCCTTTTGGGCTGCCTCTGAACCCAAGCGCTTGATCTCGAGAAGAGCCTTAATATCGCGCCACATCGCATCAGGTGCATCGGCAGCCCAGCGTTCAAGTACGACCAAGTCCGGCTTGCGAATGCAGTCGACGGCAGCATCAGCAGGGGAGCAATGGCGGAAGCGTGCTGAGAAAACACGGTCATCAAACGCGAGTCTGTCGATGTTATGCATTTCTCGAATATTGTCCCCGATAGCATTGAGGAAATTCGCGGTGTTTTCCTCATCCGACAGTTCAGATAGTCGCTTGTCATCCTCGCGAGCCGTTTTCTTCACGTTCGTTTCGCTCGCGGATGGGTGTTCTTGTTTAGGATGCATAGGCTGCTCAGCCTGCGGTTTCTCTTGCGTTTGTTCTTCCTCTTCTTTCTTCTGTAGCTTCTTTGATTGCTCTTCAAGCAGTGCTCGTTTTGTCGCCCGCCATGGGACCCATTGTTTCTCGGGCCGTGAATAGCTCCCTATCTTCCCCAATATCGATTTCTCCTTCAAATATGAGACCATATTCGACACTTTCGTTGTAAAACTTTTCGCCTTTTCGGAGCCGGCTCCGTAGACCCATCTCCCCAGTCCGCGGCCAAGCACCTTGTCCGATAACTTCTCTTCCACAAGATTTGGTACGTCTATGATGTACCCCGAGAGCACTTCACCAAGGAGTGTCTTGCCCATTTTTGCGTGAGTCTGCTTTTCTCCTGTAATGTGTGCACTAAGTGACTCGCAATTGACGACCTTGGGAGAGCAGCTTTCTCGAGTGTCGCCTGTATGCCTATCATCGAGATGGTGTCAGAACGATAGACAGGTAAAGAGAGTTGCAATATGCCTACCTCCTTGGTGGTGTTTTTGGTGCCTTGTGTTTCCTATCAAGATCAGCCTGTGTAGGCGGTTGAGACTTGGAGTCGTATCCTGGCTGATTTGCGGCATTGTTGTTGTCGGACATAGTAGATAATACAAGTCGTCAGCGATGAGTTTAACTGCAAGACGCGTAGAGGTGGATAATAGTAAAGGGAAAATACGTACCAGCCACGACACAAAAATGCACTATTTATTAGGGGGAAATCTCTCGAGCCACGAAGCGAGTCACAGAGAGATTGGTTAGTTGGATAAGAGTCGAGGCCGAAGAGATGAGATGATAGTGGCTCAGGTAGAAGGCAGTTCAGTAGAGTCGCGTCTCGAACGTGCTTAGGACCTTTGATTTTCTGCACCCAGACCCTGAATCCCACGGCCCATTTAGGGATGACCCTGAATGGCCACTTACATAATACCTATGTGGCAGTTCTCAGACTAAGAAGTTAGGAGGGGGGGCTCTGCCCACCCAATTAGGTTTGGGCTAAGTTGGGTTGTTAGGTTTAGGTGTTAGGTTGGGATTTGGTTAGGATTAGGGGAGGGGAACATATATTTTCATTAGAAAAGGACTTTATTTTGACTTAGTGAAATTCAAGTCAAATTGTAAGTGGCCAATTCAAGCTAACCAAATTAGGGCCGTGGAGCTCAGGGTCTGGGTGCAGAAAAGACGCGACTCGCACTTAGCAGTAATCACGGTCACATGGCCACATTAGCTCATCCTCGGGTATAGCCGGATACTTCACTCACTCGTCACTGCACACCAATTGTGGCACAGCATATCCCGCAGTGGAACAGCATATAAGGATGTATCGGAGTGCTTTGCTCCTTACCCTTCACCACAGCGGCAGTCATGGTATGCATGCACAACAGTAGAATTTCGCTCTGTTCTAACTGTGTTCTTTGCTAGGCTGACTATATGCAACACAAAAACGATTACAATCAGAGTGCATCCAATGCAAAGGGCGAGGCCAACACCATCAACCCGCCTTCATACGATTATGTTACTGGAGGTACGTGTCGAACATAAATGTGTGGAGAACCCTCATTAACGCGTGCGTTAGGCTCAAGCAAAAACCAGCCTACAGGCCCAGGTTATCCTAGGCAGGGTCCTTACATGCCTGCTCCAAGTAATGCACAGTGCTACCAGCCGCCAGCATCAGGCGGATTCGTGAGTGCACCGCTCCCGTCTGACCATCCTGAGTATGTCTGTATGCAAGAAGGTCGCCACATCCGTTCAACCCACTTTGGATGTCTTGGTGTTCTTGCTGCAATTATCTGGTTCCCGATTGGAATTGCTTGCTGTTTGCTGGACCGCCGTGTTGTATGCAAACGTTGTGGAAGAATACTTGACGATGGCTTCTCTTGCTGAGGGGTGGAGGATTCTTTGGGGCTCATATTTTAGGGGCTTGGTTAATATTGTCACGTTTGTTTTCGCATTTCTTATCTCGCTTATAATACACGTATCCTTGGTTATCTCGAATATTCCTGCATGTCCAGAAGCTGAGTGAAATGGCTAGGATTCGTCTCATTAAGAATACGGCTATGTGAAGCAATTCTATAAAGACGCATATCTGAGACACGTCTTGCCCTGGCTCCTTACAGTGTATATATGTTAACAAGTCCACGACCTTCAGTAAATTAATAGACAACCAATGAAGCTAAAAGTCATGAAAAGCCCGTCATGCAAATTGAGTAAGATCATTGGCAATTTCGTTGGATTTGCAGTACAGTTATCGAACCTTATTGTGAAACTGGGAACAACTAGAAGCCGAAAAACAAGACAAAGAAATTTCTAAGTCATAGGGCACATGCAAGCAAATAGTAAATTCAGTTAACAAAGCAGATAACACATGCAATACTCACCCGGGTAATCAGATATTTATAATGAAAACTTGGGGAACAATTTGAATGGTGAAAGTATAAATCCGCTACCTTCACAATGGTTCTGACGCCAATGCACTTGGCGACATAAGTGCTTGCAAGACAATTGATGAGAAAATGAATCACTGCAGCTGCATGGGGTACATAGGGCTCTGTTGATTGACCCAAATTTCAAAGAACGCACGACTTCTGGCCATCACCAAATCGAACACGAAAATGTATTGGAATTTACTGCTAAGACATATATTTTTTACATGTTGTGGATCCTTATATTCGCTTATAAAATCTACATGTAAATATATTGCCTTGTCAGACTCTGCACGTTTTGGTGATGTGAGCCTCACGAGCCCAAAGCGCAGAGAATATTATGTTAGCTTTACATTCAGTATACAATTATTCCAACAACAACACTGAAATATCCTATCTAAAAATAAGAACCAGCTCCGGCATAGGAAGGAGACTTTGATCCAATAGATGTTTGATCCGGCGAGGTTTGGTCCCGCTCTACAGTACTGGCATTCTCGGAACTAAGTTCTAGTAATTCTGCCTGGTGTCGTACGTACTCGACAGACCGGGGTCCGAATGCCGAGACTGGGGGCACGAAGGGCTTCGATGCCACGGCCGCCCTACCAGCTGGGATGAGTGACTGTAACTCTGAGGTAGGTGGAACGGGTTGGAAGTGCAGCGAATCATTCATTTTCTTGTAGTGTTTCCAGAATACTACAACACTGTCCAGTTCGTCTGTGACACGGTCCTTCATTCGCCCACGGATTTCGCGCTTGTCTTTGTCGAGGCTAACACCACCGAGTTTTCGTCGGCCGTCACGGAGTTCTTCCAGCTCAGTCTTCGCCCAACCCAGGAATGCTACTGCTACACCTCCACGGGAAGCACCACCGTTTTCACCCGCGTCAACTCCCAGCCATTTGTGTGCAAGTGCGCTACAGAGTGATGCTGCATCAGCTAGATAATGGCGCAATCCTGGTGCCACCTCGTCACCCTCGCGGCCCGGAGTCTTGGCAAGCGCACGAGCAGAGGCGTATAAGGTAGAGCATTCAAGGAAGAGCTTGGCAATGAGCGAGGGAGACGGGTGCGACTTCGGAAGGGGTGGACCTGGTGAGAGCGTGCTATCGAATGCGGACTTTGAGAGGAGCTTCCTGATTGCGAGTTGCTGTGCGTCGGCCAAAGACATCCTAATTTCCGAGTATTAACCTCTAGTAACGTAGGCCTATGAGAAGAAGAAAAAAGTAACTAACTTTGCCAGGGCGTTAGTAACCTGTTGGGTGGCATCGGGTGGTCTATTCTGAAGCGACGATTCATCCTTATCCCATTCAGGAAGCACCGTCTCGCTCAGATATTTGAAGACTCCATTCGCTCGACATAGGAGTGTCACCGCAAAGTTAAGTTTCTCATCCTTTGTTTTCCGCTCCATCTCAGATATGGTTCGTTCAAACTCGTAATTCCCAAGAGAAGTAACAGTTGAACGTGCAAGGTTGGATAGCACAAATGCGTATGTTAATAAGGTGAACGCGAGATCGGCATGTAAGGAAGGCACGGATTGACGAGGGGAGGAGTTGAACAAATTCGCTGAGAGAGTCGATCTCCAGCTGAATACTACGATATTATGTCAAGCTCAGAAGGTCTATAATCTATGCAGTCTCACCAGGCTCAGATGACAGGACAATCTCTTCTGCATCGAAGCAGGCTTTGATGCCGTACAAATGAGGCAGATATTCATCAACGACCTAGTTATATCTGTCAGGAATTATGCTGCGAACGGAAGGTAAGTCGCACTTTTACGAGTCGGAGGAAGTCCTTCTCTCCTTCAGCACGTTTGCTTTCCTTCAAAGCAGCGCGAAGGTTGGCCCGAGCCTGAGTTGCATCGGAAATATTCATGGCATAGGACGCCGTTTTATCAACACAGAAATCGCTGAAAGATATAGCACCGGTAGTCGGTAATTCATATAAGTAGGTCGTCATGGCTCAGTGTTCAGAAGCACAACGCGGAGGCTCATATAGCAATAATATATTTCTGCGATCGTGGGAAAGAATTCGTCATAAATAGGCTGGATGGACTCATGCCCGCCGCGTTTCCTCTCTTTTGTCTGCCACTCGCACAAAGAACCAAATCCGTCCGTACAATGAACATCCACTGGTGAAGTATTCCAGTAGCCTTCGACTGTAAGATTTTCTTTAGACTGCATAATGAAAGGAAGCCTAACATGGATAGCATAGCTTACACTTAGAATATCTCGTTTCATCTCTCTAATCAGTCATCATGGAAAAGCCTCCAAGTTTCTCGAATTTTACTTTCAACACGATCAAGAAAAACTCGCTATTGAGCCGCTTGTCTGCTCCTTTTCGTCAGGTTCAGATACCTATTGTAGACAGCGGGCAGGGCGACGGAGACAATTCAAGCGTTGAAATGGACGTTGACTCTGATTCTAACGATGAGCAAACTGCCTTGACGGATACCAGTAATCAGCCAAATTTACTGGCAAGGTTAAGCGATAGTGCTGCTGCAAGTGCTGGCTCGTCAATGCGATCTTCCAACCAGCACGAAACCACTTCTGCACATCCTTCTAATCCCGCCCAACTGACAAACCTGTCGCAGGTGGCATCTAATGTATCGGACCAGACCAAACGCAGTGGAAGTCCAAAACCATTGGACTTAGCTGAGCTTCAAAATGGTGCTCCCATGACAGCTGGCATATTAGACAACCATCCGGCTATTTCTGGTGCCAACACGAGCATTATCGCGGATAATAACACATCTACATGCACTCCCCCGCTCTTCAATCTAGGCTCGTTGGCAACGCCAGTATCTACTGGCTTGCCAACACCGCCTCCTTCAGGTTCTGCAATGACACGTAGCGATACTGAGTTACCAACCCATGTAACGACTACGCCTGCACGTGCTACAGCAAGCACGTCTTCGTTTCCTTCATTCGTTCACACACCTCTGACCCAACTACTTCAAGAGGAACTTGCAGCGTGGAGCGAGGTCTGGGTTGCCAAACGGAACCAAGCAGGAGAATCTCGTGTAGACCTTCCAAGTGCTCCCTTCCCTCGAGATAAGCATCCAAAACCCTCTCAACCGGATCCTTTCGTTTCTGCTCGTTCCCCTGCAATTTCTGCTGTCCCTCCGGAGGCTCGCACTGGAGACGAGAATCCGATTCCGATCGTCGGGCAATCTGCGAAGTTGCATTCTACGGCAACTCCTGTGTCCGAATTCGTCGAGAACACGTGCCCGGAACATTCTGGAAAGCTGAATGCAGAAACGGATGCAGAATCAAGTGATAAACTATCTGGAAGTTCACGGATTGACGCGAACAGTATTTCTTCGAAGAATGCATCTAATACTGATGCTGCTCCACTATTCTCTCCGAAGCGTTCTCCTGTACTAGGTACACCGAGACTGGTGGCTGACCAGGCCTCAACTACGTGTACACAGGATCGGTCTACTCCAAGCAGCAAGGTCACCGCTGTTGAATCTTCGCGGGAGAGGCCATTAGATGACAAAACGATGCAAGGTTCAGCCAGACCTTCTGGCTCGTACCCAGCTTCTCCACGGGAGGACGAGTTGAAGGCTTTGTTGAAATCGAGGAGGGCGCCCTCAGACATGAGCTTGAGTACCATCGGACAGAATGAGGAGTGTACCTTGCATACAAGCAGGTCTATGCATTCGACGCCCGACCCTCGGGACGTAAATAATCGGGATAGTCAGCAGAGTGCTCCTCCTCCCGACCGATCGACACGTCCTACCTCATCGAAGGTCCCTCAACGTTCACCAGAACTGTCAACTGAAAACGTCCCTGCTCTCGCGAGAGCTCCGGTTCCTGTCGACAACAGTCGTGTCCCTGAGTCTGTTTCGCCGCACTTCGAGAATGGGCATTCTACGAAGCGCAAGGTCTCGGCATCGCAACCGCTTGAAAGGGACCTTGTCCAGAAGGGCAAAAAGCAAAGGACTGTAGCTAACGAACTGCCTGAAGACGTGCCGGATAGCAGTAATGAGCGTATGTCCCAGCCGGTAGTTGGCTCCGAGAACGCCACTACACACCCCTCGAACGTAGCTTTCAAGGCCGCTCCTACTCTTCCTCCGAAACCGACATTCCTTTCCTCGGGCCACAAAACATCTACAAGCACGACGGATGCTACACGAAGTTCGCTTAAACGCATACGATCACCCATAGTCAAAATGGAGGATGGTGGTGTGGACAGTAAACTTGGAGCATCTAGTTCTCGTCCTATGAAGAGAGTCAAAGTGGAAGAGGCGACTAATGATGTCAAAGTGAAGAAGGAGGAGGAGGAAGATGTCAAGATTCCCGAATTGACTGCCGCTGCTGCTCAAACGACTCATCGAGGCTCGTCGCATATTCCAACGAATATTGTTCCGAAGATTGAGGAAGAAGTGAGATCGATAGAAGGTACATCGTTTGCAACAGCAACGCAAACACTGGGCGAATCGTCTCGTCTACCAATCGGTCAAGGGCAATCTGAGAATACTTTGGCTTCGCGTATTACATCCGCACAAGCGAATTCTGGCACACTTGAAGAGCAAACATCGAGTACGACGTCTGATAGTGATAGTATAGGCGCGAGAGCAGGTACAGGGTCTCCAATGCAAAACCAGGAATCCAGATCGACCTCCCAGGATTCAGTCTCTCAACACGAAAGCCTTGGGCAACGGCCAGAGCTATTGGAGTGTATCACTCTGCAGACGCGAGCTATCTCTTTACACCCTCACGGCACAGAGGCTACTGTTTTTGAACCTCCGACGTCAGACGGTAATTCGTGTGATGTACCTGACAGCGAGCACACTCCAGTTGTTTCCCAGCAAGATCGTCCCATGCCACCCTCTAATAGTGCAACTCTAGCTTCCCGTCTAGCAATCTTTGGTAATCTCTCTCCTGGACAGTCCAGTTCTGGCCAACGTACGCCGCAATCTGGCAGCGAGGGGAGGATGGCTGATGGGGACGTACTACGTCGTGGACGCTCTCAAGGTCGCCAACAGATAATGGACCACTGGTCTCCATCTCGGCCATACTCGCCGGATAGACCAAGGGCTCCTCACGTTGCAGACACGTACCGTCCTAATCAATCGATATCGCCAATACTTTCCCCTCGTACCGCTTTTGATAATAGGCGTTATCGCGACAGGGAAAGAACTCCACCTCGGTACTCCTGGAGAAATCGTCAAAGGAGCTCTTCACGTGGACGGCCACCCCCTTCGTTTCGTTATTCTAGGTCTAGGAGTCCCTCGCCTCGTCGTGGTAGACCGGTCTATTCGCGGTTCCAAAGCCCTCCTAGATCACGAAGGTGGGATTCGCGAAGCCGGTCTCCACCACCTAGACGTCCCTCTCCACGTCGAGAAAGATACTTCGACTCACAATCACGTCCGTCACGTTGGGATACAAAGGTTCCCTCTGTCGCTAATTCTCATGGCGTGCATGCTTTGAACGGTGGACCATATGTTCGTGAGGGGACAACACGTCCTAGTCGTGATGACGCTGCTTTCGTTGTCTCGCCTAATACTGCTAATGGTGGTCGACGTCAGATCGCTGAGCAGAGCAATGTACGACGTATAGATGACGGGAGTTGGCCTAGTATGGACGAACGCAGACAACTAGCGAACGATAGTAGAGCTGATGCATATCGCTCGGATAGAGGAGTCACATCCATCGAACAACCCTCCTTCCCAATGCTTCCAGCACATGAGACACAGACGAGCGCAAGGCCGCTTCGGGAACGAGCTGATAGTTCACATATTGCTATCCAACGCCTGCCAGATGAAGATTCGGTACCTTACCAGCACACGGAAAGTTCGCAACCCTCCCACTCGGCCGGTCAACCGCACATGACGGGTGGGACGGGTTCTTCTCGTGGACTATACGTTGCTGCTGGCGCGACTGGAACATTCGACCCTTCGGCGCCTCCAGTCAATGCTAGTAGCTCTTCTTCCTTACACGCTGCAGCATCTGATCAATCAGGCCTTTTGGGGAGGACAGTACTAGCATCAGACGTTCAGTCAAATACTGACAGTCAGAAACCCTATCCTCTTATTCAACGATACCGTTATGTAGAACCTGCCGAACCCGTTGCACCTGCCAATAACATAGGTCCTGGATCCACGAGTGAGAGCGTCAAACAAGACGAACCTTCCCACTTGCGGAGCAACGGGGAGCCCGCTGCACTCGCCAACGACACAGGTCCTGGACGTACGAATGGGAGCATCGGACGAGACAAACCTCCCCATATGCAGGGCAAGGCGGGGTCCGCTGCATCAGCCAACAATGCAAACCCTAGACCTACGAGTGAGACCATCAGGCGAGACGAACCTCCACACATCCAGAAAAAGGCGCAACCGAAACAGCAAGAGAACAACTCTACCGATCATCCTGCAAACAACACAGATTCTGGACCTACGACTGGGAGCATCAAACGAGACGAACCTCCCCACATGCAGAGCAAGGCACTATCGAAGCAGCAAGGGAGGAATAATACCGTCGACCGTCCATTGCGAAGAAGTCCTCATTCAAAACCCGCAAGTTTCCCAAATGATCATCCAATTCCTCCGGGTCTGTCAACAATCAAAGTGCCAGAGCGTGTCGCTCCTGATCTTCCCGCCATGCCACCACGGAAAATAGAAAGCCGTCAAATTCCTTCTTCAACAGCACCCAATGTCCTTCCAATTCGTGTTTCTGACCCAATTGCTCTACTGTCGGGGCGCCAGGAAAATGCACCGTCTGCTCCTCATGCCGAAAGTCAAACTTCGAGTAGTCAAGCCCGCGAACGACTCGATGACAACCCCAAGAAGCATGAAAGCTCAACTTCTCGCAATTTGGCTGATCGAATTAGCGACGAATCAAGCAAACCCAGAACCCCTCAGAAACGGCGTGACTATGAACCACCTCGACCGGCTGATTCGACTGAGTCTCGCAATATTGATCTTGCTTCTCGCATTGAAGGTCCTGCAGAGATTAGGCAACCTAAACCTCTAGCAAGTCGAATGACAGACAATTCTGCTGAGCCTACCCTCGTGTCTCGCCTTCAGGACTTCTCTCTCAACTCACTTCCACGTAGGCCACCATCACCCTGCCGTTTGCCTGCTAATAGTGGGAAAGGACGTGGCATTTCGCGTCCTTCTCCACCACGAACCATATCTTCTCCCATACTTCTTGGTCGTATGCAGTCTCCTGAGCGTGAGGTGGATCAGCAACGCGAGCCGCGACATGCTGGGCGAGGCGGAGCAGCTCGCGGTCGAGGTCGGGGTCGAGGTCAAGGGAGCGCACAAAACTCTCCAGGCGGGGCTCGACATCCAAAGTCATCAAGCAAGCCCTCCTTGGAAGAACGGTTCTCGTAAATTCCAGGTAAGCGCAGTCCAGTAACTTCAGCTGTTATTGGTTCTTGAGTCAATGATTGTGGTAGCGAGTTCTACTTCACGGTTTCCACCAGCAAATGAGTCCCGTTTATTCAACTATCGATTGTGCATTATTCTGTTCTGTTTCTTCCACTTTATGCTTCTCGTTCTCTAATCTTATTTTGAGCGAGGACGAGTCAGTGCCCCATATCCTAATCGAGTTCCTGAGTTCCAGACTTTTCTTCTGTCGCTGAAGCGCTTTCATCGTTCAAACAATTCCTTGTCCCACTAAATGGCAGACAGTGTACATAATTCAATTCTACTTCGGAGCTTCGTACTTTCACTTTAGGTTGTGGAATTGTAGTAGGTAATCCTACTAGGTATAATGCATACACAATCGAGAGAAAATGGTCCAAAAACGAAGGAAGACTAAGGCCAACAAGCTCAGAAAGAAGTTGATAAGAGTGTCTAGCTTGCTCCGCAAATCGAGAGCTCCCTCATCTCTTGCAGAACACCTTCCACTTGTGCATCTAGTTGGCCAGCGGCGTAGTCGTCTCGTACGTTATCAGCGAAATACCTAGTGAAAAAATAAAACGGACAATTAGCACAAGAGATCCCAAGAAACCAGCAAAGAGAGAAATGAAATACCGTTGAACACCACCAAGTTTCTCATACCCCTCTTCAGCGAATTTGGCCTGCATGCGAATCATCGCTTCGAAGCTTGGGTCGAAGAACGGGACGCGTAGTTCGAGGAGTTGGGGTAGTTCTTCGATGAGCTGATTGTTCATGTATTCGAAGACTTCTTGTGCGGCGTCGTGTTCTTGTTGGGCCTGAGCACACGTAAATTCAATTGATTTTGATAATGGACAGTAGTAAGGAGAGAGGGAGGAGTGAGATTACCTTTGGGAGTTTGGTGGCATCCTCGCCTGGCTTTTCGATCGTTTTGCGCAGTTTGCTTCGTGCAGAGTCGTAATCCAGTAGCTACGACACATCATAAGTCTATCCAATGCCAAGTAAAATCATGCTCAAAGCTGAGACCCACCTTCTTGTTCCTCTTCGTGATCTGCTCATTAATAACCGGGAAATACGCATTCATCTTCCCCAGAGGCTCCATAATCGTCGTACGATATGGTGCGTCCTACAAACAGCCAGCACATCTCACAATCAGCATTCGATCCGAGACTCCATCGCGCATGCAACAGATTGCATAGCATGACAAAGGACGAGAAGAGGACAAGGGGGAGGAAGGGAGGAAGACGTACAAGTTCCCTCCCGATAACGTCATCCAGCTCAACGACAGACTGTTTGTACGCGTGCGCAGCCATGGCGCCGTCCGAGGTCCGGTCCGCGGCGGAGTAGAACGTGGAGATGTGGTCTGCGATGCGTGTTTGTGCTGCTGTCATCGCTGTAAAACACGAAACTTGTTAGTCCTATCCTTTTCTGTCTTGCGTAGATTGAATGTAGGAAGAGGAGAGAAGGGAGAACGTACCACGCATAGCATCCAAATACGCCTTACTCTCCTTCTGCAGCGCTTGACACTCTTTCTCGAACCTATTCGCCACCATCACAAAACGCACGTCAGTACCGCAAGGTCCATAGCCACAACGAAAGGAAGGAAAGGATTGACGTACGTCTTATACTTGGTATGTTCATCCTGAAACTCCGTATCCACAGTCCTCTCGATCTGTCCTGTCTTTTGCATCAACTACTCCACCATTCACATTCAGATTCGCAACCATAACACATAATAGTAAGATGGTTAAGTCCCAAATCAAGGTATGTAAAGCAAGTAACAACACACCGTCGTCCCCGTCCGATTAATCGTCTTCTTAAACCTATACAGCCACCCCAACCACCAAAGAATCAGATCACACAGATCTCCTCGTCCAAGGGGTCCGTACGTACCCAGACCAGCTCATCTTGCCACAAAGTCCAAAATCCGCGAGAAATAGAAAGTAGTGGAGGTCGACAGAGTTTGTAATGCTCAGCTCACTACACTTGCACAGCACAGCTGAGGCCGCTAGTGTTCCGCACCCCGTGACCTCAGCGCCCATTCCAAATTTAGCTGTACCCTTTTACGTAAAATTCATAATTTCTGTTCTGTTTGATTCTGTATACAAAAAGATATGCATACATCGTCTACTGAGTACTTATTTCGTTCTTGTTCAAAGTAAGAGAGACATATCGAAGAAGATATTGGGGAGACGGAGATGGGAAGAGGGAGGAAAGAGCTAAGGAAACAATTTGTTAAAAGTAAAAGCAAGTAGATCTGCTACTTAAGACAAAGTATGGCATAAAGCACCGGGTGTAAGTAAAAAGACGAAGAAAGAAAGAAAATCAAATCAAGATCAGTAAAAAGAAACGGAAAGACCGTAAATGTTAGGTGTGATCCACAAAGGCACAAAGCACTTGCACGCAAGTCAGTGAGAAAGAAGAAGAGAGGAAAAAGATAAAGGCGAAAACCAAAACTTAGAAGAGAATATCAATACCGAAGATACACGCATATAAAACAGAAAGAATATAAAACAAAAAAACCGCTGGCGATATATTCTTATAACCCAACAAGATTAAACCCCATAATAGCCAACGCACCAAGCCACGCCATCTCAACCGCCGCACGTCCAAGCGGGCTCAGCGGAGCATCAGAATCAGGGTCCGGATTCGTTCGCGGCAGGCACAACCCAAGTTTCTCAACTCCCTCAGGTACAACCTCCACACCCCTCTCCCTACTAGCGCAAAACGCAATCATCAACGCTAAGTCATCCACTTGGAACCGTATCTGCGGGATCGCAGCAATACCCTCGGACATAGGTCCCGAAATCGCTAACCCAGTCGTCGGTATACGAATCCCTGAACCGAGGACGTCTTTGTATGATACGAGTCGAGCAAGGATGTTGAACGAGCTCAACGCGACGGTGTTCTTGCTTGCACCTTTTCCAGTAACAAGCGTTGCGTCTGAGGCGTGCGAAGACGCAGAAGCAGTCTGCGTGCGTGCACGCTTTTTGTCTCCCGAATTGTCTTTGCTCTCCTTGCTCAACTCGTTCGGGACGTAATAAACCAGTAAATACTGGCGTTCGTGCAGTGGAATATCGAGGCCGTCCTTACCAAGCGGGAAGTCCATAAGTTCCGGGTCATCGGGGTCAGTCTCGCCAGGCCACATGGGTAAGAGCATATACAGTGAATCATCCGGAATTTGGTCAAAGACGTTATCGCTGGTGTGCTTGCCCTTCTTATTCTGGCGGTTTCGACTCGGCTTGAAAGATGGAAGCAAGCCAACATCACGGAACGAATCATTCAAGTTCTTGATCACACGCTCCTGCTCTTCTTGCTTCGAACGAGCTGCCATCGTCAACCACGGCGGTGTGTAGTGTCCCTCCAGCACTGCGACACTTGTACCCGCAGCCTGAGGACTCTGTTTGGACAAGCTCTTCAACGGCGGTGGATGGAAGAGCTTGCGTAGACCCTTGAACTTCGAAGGCTGTGAATCATGTTCCGACCCTGTATCATAGTTCGCAGCGTGGGAGCGCAGATACTCAATAAATGGTGCATCAAGAGTCGCAAATGCCTCTGCATGGGATGTTCGAACAGGCTCCTCGTCCAACGAACCAATTGACCCTCGAGCTTGAGTTGGTAGCTTCGCAACCTGCCGAATTAGATTCGGCTCCTTTCGTACTTGTCGTGTTGAAGAGCCGATAGATGACTGGTCCCAATTAGAAATCGAAGAACTGAACTGCTGAGAGCTGTCTGAAACCACCGACGCCGTTTCGGCCAGTGAAGAAACAGGTCGATTGAACGAAGCCGTATCCGTATCCATATCTACCGGCCGATGTGGATGCTCGACATACGGCCGCTGCATAACTGTTCGCGAGTGAGGAGTATCCGCATCACTTGAGCCTCGATCTCTGTCAGGCGATGGCGCTGTATAATTACCACCACTCGTGTGACTATGGCTCGAGCTTGGAGGCAGATCAACCGGCGAGACCGCGACGTCCTTTCCTTTGCCTTTACGGTCGACTGTATTCCTAGTCTCAGTCCCGCTGTCCATATCAGTTTTCAACCTCAACTTGTTCGTGGTCCGTTGTTCTCCGGCAGGCGCGCCAAAGGACGTTTTCGAATTCCAGGAAGACGGTTCCGTCGTGCTGGCTGAGTGAGAAAGGCCGCTCACGCTTACGCTTGTCGTGCTCGTAGCAGCGCTAGCAACTGTCGATCCAGAGGCAGTCTGCTCCCGTTCCCGCTCGCGATCCCGCCTCGAGCTGGAGGCCGTACTCGGAACCGAGTCATCAAGAAGACCATGCGTGCTAAGCTTGGCTGTTGTTCGAGTGCTAGTAAACTGTTCTTGTACCTTCTTCGGTGCGAGAAGAATACTCGAGCTTGTCTTCAAGTGTCGGGTGGGAAGTACGAATCCGCGGAAGATCGAAAATGCCTGCGCACGTGAATGCTTGTGAATAAATGTCTGCGGGCCGCCAGTTGCACTCCCTTTGGAATATGGATCTGGTAGATGTTTAATCTGAAGACGAGCTTGTGGGGGTCTAGATGGGTCGACTGGGGTCACAGTTGTAGTCAATAAATTGTACCTATATGCGATACCTCTCCAACTCACCATTTTTGCTTTGAATCTTCTCGACTCTATATCTTCCTACCCAGAGACATCTCCATATTTCTTGGCCTGGTTTCATACTATGATGAAGATCTGGCTCCCGATGCTCCCGAGCGAATGTCCATTCACGCTTCCGCTCATCATAAGAGAAATCGTGTTTCTTTACAAATCTACACCAGGAAGAGAAAAAATTGGCTGAAGAAATAAATCGTGACTTTCAATAGGGACGCACCGTAAAAACGTATCATCATTGACGGTCGCCGTACTCTGACGCCGTCCCAGAGCATGACTGATTCCCCAGCCAGCTGCCCAACTCAGATCGCGTGCAGCAACAACGCTACTCCCAACACTCAACCGTCCACTCCATGAATCGCTTCCGCGAGTATCTAACCCGGCTCCTGATCCACCAGTCACCGAAAGAATATAGTTAAGATCCAGACCCTGATAGGGCTCGTCGTTAGTACTGCCAGGCTCGGCACCGCGATTCAATGCAGCACCGCTTTCTGCCTGTGCATCCAGGTGTGCCTGCGCAATGGCCTGTGCCATAGCAACGCCCCGCATATCTGGCTCACTAGATGGCTCGCGTCCCGCAGTGTCCGAACCGGAACCCCCGGAGGTTGCAGAGGGGACTCGTGAAGCTTTCCGCTGAAGGTGTAATGCAGCTCGTTGAAGGTCATCATCAACACTACGAGATGGCCTACGCAATTGCGCTTGAGCACGGGCATGTGCGTCGAAAGTTGCGTCTTCAAGATGTGGATGTTGAGAAGGGGCATAGGCGTGACTTGATCGAGAAGAGGAGTAAGAGGCCGGGTACGGGATGTCCATTGGGAGTGACCCTCGTCGCTCAGAAGTATCGACCCATGTTCGTGCTGAGTCCTTCCGAGCCGCGCCACTCCCGTCCTCGTCTTCGTCCATAGCTTCACCCTCACCCTCACCTTCCGTATGTCGGATGATTCGGTCATCAGCTTCTCCGTACGCGGAGCCAACGTCACTGTTTAAGTGTACGCTGGAGTGGTCACTCATCCCGTGATACATGCCTCTTCTCCGTCTGTCAGCAGTGTCATCAATGGACATTAGGTCCACGTCAGTATCTAACTCCGCCTCGCCATCCGTCGGCGACGCTGGCGATATTGGTAGCGGACCATGTCTTCCGTGTTCTCGGTCCCCTCTTCCTTCCGAAGTGGTCCTTCTATTCTCGACGTCAGTTGAAATCGCAGAGCCGGACCAATACTGCTGCTGCTGAACGTCGTTGCTCGGCAGTGAAGGTCTCCGCGTGCCATCATCAATGGCACGCATTTTTGATCGAGTGTTTGTTCGTCTCCTATCTTCCTCATCTTCCGATTGACTCGACCATCCGTTAGCGGCGGACTGCTCTTCATGCGACTTCGGTATATGCGTATATGCGTGCGCGACGGAGGGGCGGGGAGTCTTGTCGAGAGGCGAAATGCCCTCGGTATCATCCGAAGGAGGGGGCGCATGTGACGAGGACGCAGCTCCGGATGCTGCGGTCTGTTGCGCCGAAGACTGCGGATCGCCAAAGGTGAACGTACTCAAGCGACTGTAAATGTCAGAATCTTCCTCATGCGTGATCGCCAGCTCATATGGGGAGACCGGATTCGCGGGTGGCAGGGACGGCAACGGCGGCGGCGGCTCGTGAGAAGGCTGGAGTGAAGGTAACGATGTGCGGCGCTGCTGTCCTGGTGCATGTCGTCGACTTGGATTGCGTTGGGTGTATGGCGTTGGACGAGTTTTGTTTGTCAATGTAATGCTATGTGGAGGCCTGGATTGAGCTATGTGACATATAAAGACAGAAAAAGTCGGAAATAGACATACGACGATTTTCTTCCGGACTGATATGCGTCCTCGTCTGGACTGTCCATGTCTTTATTGGAAGCAGAGGAGAACTGGTGGTCGAGGGGTGCGAGTGGAGAGCGTCGAGGGCCGCTTGGGGGAGTCGCAGAGTAGACGGCCTGGGATACGATGGGAATGATCTGAGAGGCACTCGACCTGCGGCGATGGTCTATTTCGCCTGCAGCGAGGGCGGATTTGTTGTCGACGACGGAATACGAAGAGGTGCGAGAGAAAGCAGGCGGATGGGATGAGAGGAGGAGGTCAGAGTCCATCACCATATGTCGGTCACACTTGCTCGGGGGCATGAGGCTGTCGAAAGCGACGATGCGGGAAGACGCGTGGGCGGCGTCCAGGGGCGTGCTGGCTGCGGCGACGTCGCGGGCGATGGCGACGCCGACAGCGTCAAGACTTGGTTGCCGTCGTCGAGTGACTGGTCAGAGTGCAAGAGACGGATGGACAAGGGACGAGGAGAGGAGAGACGGGTGAGCTAGAAAGTATATTCATTGTATATTGCTCCTGCCTTATTTGGTGTCCCTTGTTTTATGTAACGCCTTCCATCGAATGCTCCTTAATTTCCTGCATGCCGCTTTCGCATTTAGCGTGACATATTCTGTCAACGTCTAACCTTGATTACACCCTATCCCACGTTTTCACATTCATTTGCGTCTCTACTCTCTCATATAATTCCGTCTCTCTCGCGTGGCACTGGCAAGGCAATCTACCCACCTCTCCGGTCGTCAGAATTCCTCCATGCCACGTCTTGCCCACGCGGCATTCTTACAAGACGTCATCTGCTCGCAACACTGCCCTACCTTGTCTCCGTCTGGCAATCCCATCCTGCCATGTTGTGTTAGCATGTCCTCCCATCATCACAGTCAAACCGAATATCGGCCTTCATCGGCTGAGCAATCTACCCTACCACTCACATCCAATATCTGGGCGCCATCTCGCGGCTTGTCCAAGCCGTCTCCTGCTCGTGACCAGTCGTGATCCACTCCAAGACTGTTCGAATACTTCCTAGTCTCCTTCTATTTCCGGCCAATCGTCGATTTTCCCGAATCTACCCTTTGCTTCACTACGATCCTGACTGAAGAAATTTTCTCCCGTAGAATCGCACTCGGACTCGGATTCGGGTTCGTCGGTCCCCGGTCTGAACAGTCGACACCCCAAAACCTTCGCTGTACATGAAAATGCTGTAAGACGAATTCTCGCCGTCCTGGCTAAGTGAATACGCATATACTTGCTTCTTAGAGCCTAATCGCATCTTCAAAATAGTGCGGCGCAGCGAATCTGATTCTGATAACCTGATCCGACTCGGTAACTCTCTCATCCTCCGATCGCAAAATGACTATCTACCCTACGACTTACGCATTTACTCAACAAGAGTAATCACCGTCATCCCGCCAGAATGTCAAGGAATAAGGCTCCACGCATCCGTTTTGACAGTAAAACACGAAAAAAAACACAAACCGATCCTTGCATAGTTCAAATAATCAAACCCTGATCACACTCGCACTTTACGCTTACTTGTTCTCGAAATATCTACTTCGTCACCCCGGAACAAGTGCTTTACAAAACAACTTTACAGTTTACCCGGCAGAAACTATTGCATATAGGCTTTACCTGCAGCCTGTCAAGAAATTACAGCTTCACGCATTGTTCCGACACACACCTAAACACAAATACAAACACAAACACAAACACGAAACGGAAACGCGACGGAAAAACAAAGACTGAACCGCCTCCCCTCTCTTTTTCACTCCACTCCGATCGATGCGCAACATAATCTACTCTACACACAGCACAGCCCGCACATTCCAACTCCCTTCCGCCATCCGCATCCGTACCACCACTAGCACCAACCTTAGTCACAAACTCATTGTGGAATTCGATTAACGGAATATGGAATTATCCCCGTCTGGACATTGACGCGATTGGTGATCACTGATCAATAGATTCAAATAAAACAGTAATGGTGCGGCGACCGCGAGATGGTCACTGGTAAGTTGTCAATCATCAATGTTGACTTTGCTGTGCAGTTACTGCAATGTATATTTGAAAAAATGCAGACGCAACATTGTAATCGACCTCAGTGTTCGGCTGTTCGGTCGTTCGGTGATTGACTGAAACTTTGATCTTTTGGGTGATGATCGACTCATCACTCGAGATATTATTATTAGGTGTGCGGCGCACAATAAGTAGACGTCGGATATCGAGATGTTTGTCGTTCGTAACCTTTTGATCCTTGATTTTATATTGATTTTATTGATTTATGGACTGCTGAGACACTGAACGCTTTGACCTCTAAACGACCGGCCTATTGGGTAGTACAGTATCTACTGTGTCACTCTAAACATCCAATCAAATCAAACGGATTCAACAGCAACAGCAACAGTCAGGGTTTGGGTTGGATCCTGGATACTTGCGTCTTCACTACGTATCATCGATTCATCATATCATCACACTTTCACCGTGTCATCACCGTACCCACTATTCAAATCACATCTTCGCAGATTGGTTTGGAGTATAATTTGACCTCTACTTGAGCGACGAACAAACGACCGGCCACTTACCAAGTACTGTAGCATATGGGTTTCATGAGTTTCTTTGGTTTCTTTGTGATGCAGCGCTTGTCATCGTCTCAGAAAGAAAAGAAAAAAGGATTATTGGACGAGCTTCTTTCCGAGTCGGATCTCCCTATATGCACTTCGCCTCAACTCGTTTCGTAGTACCCAAACAATACCAATTAGTCAGGTTGGATACACATAAGACACTCAAATCTAACAGTGCTAAGGCTTGTGATACTGGTCCGAACCTCTGGTATCTCTACTACTGGCTGGAGAACGTACGTACACTCAAATTGATTAGTACTATGATTAATCTCAGACAAGTTTCAAGAATCATCATCAGCGTCTATGCTAGCTCACTACTCCCTATGGTCCCATCATGGACATGATGTCGGTGATCAAGTTCTGATGCTTTGCAAACATCCATAAAACTGTCTTGCTTCTGGTTCGTTGTTGCCCAACCAAACTTCTGGCTTCCATAAACTCCATCTATTAGACTACGACCCACTCACCCTTCCATGCTGACGCTACCTCGCCTCCCACATAATTTGTTTTAATTTTCGTGTCTGTTTCACCTCCATGTGTCTTCATGTGTCTACTTTCCTATTCTTCCCATGCTGTCCTGGAATTGTTGCTTTAACGAGTAGTCAAATTTCTTTCGCTCAATCTACAATGCTCCCAAGTAAGTACAGTTCCCATGTTTGGGTATCTACTGTACGTGAGTATATGAATAGCGTAAGAGTAAAGGCAGAAATGCAGCACTTCTCTATGTATGTCCGATTTCATCTAACTAAACATGTCCTATGCGTACGGAGGTAATCCCCACTTCGCAGGATCAAATTCCTCTAGCGAATGGAGGATTTCGTCAGCCTTGTAAATCCCCGAATACTCGACTTCAAGCAAGCTCGAGTCGGCTACCCAGACAGCTGCGGTAATAGTAATTATAAATAGATCACATGTCAACGCTCAAATACAAATTACTGAAATACAAAGCAACTCATGGACCTACCGTTCATCCCCGCGCGTTTCGCAGCTTGTACACCGGGAATCGCATCCTCAAACACAAGCATACGAGACCTAACACTCTTCTCATCCTCCGTCGCTTCTTCAATTTCTGCATCCCCAACAGGAAGACCTAAGAACTCCTGTGCAGCAAGGAGGAAAATATCCGGACACGGTTTCCCTCTTCCTTTCGGTATCCTAACATCATCTCCACAAATCACACGTTCTCCAAACAAACCAAATAGATTCCCTAAATGACCAGTCTTCAACTCGAATTTCGCGCGTCTCGAGCCGGATGCGAGGGCGATTGGTATGTTATGTTTGTGGAGGTGTTGGACGAGACGAAGGGCTCCGGGGAGAGGTTGGACGTGTGGCCAGAGTAAATCTTGTTGGGCATCACGTTCGCGGAGGTAGTCGTCGATTGTGAGTGGGATGTTGGGGAAGAATGAGAGGAGGTGTTCTGCTGCTTGTCGTTCCGCTAATCGTAATTTTTTAATAAATAATTTGAGTATGTGAAAGTCCTGATAGTGGGTTGTGATGGCTAACGTCAGAGACTAACGTTTTCCCATTAGACCAGCTTTGATGTCCCATGTCATTGTCTTCCCGAATCTTGCAAGGATGTTATCTAAAGATAGTAATAATAATAGTGAGAAACGACTTTAGATACTTGAACATATGCGTTACTGGTTACATCCGTATATATTCGTTCTGAATCGATAAGTAAACCTAAAGACAAACTCAGTTTAAATGCACAGCAATTAACACGTAAGATATTGTACCATCCATGTCGAAAATGACATATTCTATCTTAGTCCCTGATGCAGTGTCTCCAGCCATTGCGAATAGAGGTAAAAACAGCAGGAGTAAAAGAATAAAACTAATCAATCTTGTCACTGCATATCCGGATCCTGATTTAGCATCGGTAAAGTCACGTGGAAAATTGTATTTTGGAGTGTTGTGTACACGGCGTCCGACTCTCACTATTACGACCATCACCGCCCATTCTACTCAACCGTAGAGCTTGAAGTTCACGATTGCATGGAGTTTCCAGCATCGACACCACGATCCCGCTCACCTCGCTCACCATACCGCCGTCGACGAGTCGTCTGGTCCATCCTCCTTCTCTCAATAGTCGCCCTCTTCTTCCTCGCACCTTCATCATTCTGGGAGACAAGTCGTAGTCACGCGATGAACGTAGCAGAGAAGGGTAAAGCCTGGATGCCTGCCTCGTTCGGTGGTATAAAGCCGTACGGACCGGAGGACGAATTGCGTGATTTGTTGCATATGGTGGCGAGTTCGGAGCTCACGATTCCGAGTGATGTGGACCCTTCGAAGCCGCTTTCAAGAGATGTGTATTCGGTTGATCTGGGGAATGTAGCTTGGTTGCAGGAAGTACAAGCGGATCCTCCTGTGATTGTATTCAGCAAGGTTAGTATTACAGTTCATCTCCAAGAAAGCGAAATTACTCACTATGTTTGACAGACATATTGCAAGTAAGTTATCGAGTCGCTACGGCCGAATTTCGACCTACTGGCTCATGAACTATTAAAAGATTTTCGGCGGCCGCTAAAGACCTCCTCAAGACATACGATCTTTCACCTCCGCCAAAAGTCGTAGAAGTGGACTTGCGAAGTATGTCAGTCTACAACTCTGATTTCTTAAGATGTTAAACTCATTCGCCGCTCATAGGTGACTCAGACCAACTCAAAGCCATCCTCACACGCTTAACGTCACATTCAACATTCCCCAACATCTTCATCGATGGCGAATCCATCGGCGGGTTCGATGACCTTTCAAAATTAAACAAGAACGGTGAACTTGTAACGTTACTTTCAAATGCGGGAGTGAGCAGCAACGTGAATGGGGAAAGTGAAGCTCCTTCACCAAAGGACGAGTGAGCACGAAGTTAGAATCATCGAGTACTGGTTATGTATGTACATTATCTTGTGTGTGCTGTTATGTTTTGCGTTTCTACATGTTTTGGCGCGATAAATTATTGGGTTATTTCTCTCATTGTGTGGAGTGCCTCCATCCAGACCCACTCATCTCCCCTATTCCCATTACTATTGTTACCTGCATTCGGTCGGAGTGTACACGTATCAATTTGATCGCAACAGCTCAATGCGCAACGTCACCGCTCAATATTCAATAAGGTTATATTACAACAAAATACAAAATAATTATAAGGTTCTAGTTGTTGTGATTGCCCCCTTGCACCAAGATAATACATATTGGCATGGAATAATCCTAACTTACTAATGAACATTGTCATTATCATTATTTCGATATTTGCTAACCAATCACATCGCTCACCAAATTCATCGACGGGAGAAAACTCTAATTTCCATACGTTGACTTACTCAGCTCGCTGGCTATATGCATCATCATGTCCCCCCTACCAATCTACACATTCTCATTATCACCTCGCTCTCTCAGCACCTACCACCATTCAACGCCCAGTCTTCACCGCACTAAGTCTAAGAAGAAAAATATTGATGGCAGAAACGCACGTTAACTTCCTCGCTGGCTCTCCACTGAACCGACTCTCCTGGTTACGCACCTCCACACCATTCCTTAATGCTATCCTCGCACGTCCCGAGACTCGTTGGGTGTTATTTAAGAATGGAGAACCACTCGTTCGTGTGGATAAGGAGAAGAACAAGAATGAGCTGGCGACTTTACGCACGATAGACCTCTTAACTTTGCTTCGTCCGTTACCTATCTTCGGACAAGGGAAGGAGCCAGGAGAAGCTGCACAGCTTCTGGATGGTGATGACAAGCCTATATCTCATGTGGAGGCTGCTCGGTTGCATGGACTTGGAATTGTGTTTCTTGGCTTGCACGAACCGGAAGGCGCACAGGTCGAAGGAAGCAAGGCATTGCCTTCACAAGATTTCGCGAAGACAGATCCGCATGTAGCTGTGTCGAATGTTTCTGGGACAGCGTACTTCGGTATGGATGTATCCAGTACGGAAGAGAATGCTTTGGGCGATATCTTGAAGGACGTATCTGACGATGTTCCAGAATCAGGTATGTACGGTCTCCCGCTTGAAATTGTGTTCATTACACTAATAGCTCTGTGAAGACGTAGACGGAGAACTAGCGAAATTCAAGCAGTGGACGGATAGACTACAAAGCATATATCTGGGGAAACAATCTCCTAGTGCTGAGGTTGGTTTTATTTTTACAACTTCTTCTCACCAACTCAGGAGAACTGATTACACCACTTAGGATGCACAAAGCATCAACGCTCTCTTCAGTGAAATCGAAATACATAGTAATACTTCTCCAGAGAAACTCCAGGTTCGAGTTATTCCATATTGCTGGTCGCATTTCATTAATTTTAAAGCTCCATTCGCCTAGTCCTCTGGACTCCGAAAGATCATAGCTTACATTGCACATCTCGACAATGCACCAGAATCGGACACGAATATATCCGACCTCAAATCCCGTGCATTGGCTCTTACTGAAAAGCTGTTACCTCCGGAGGTGGAACATAACCAGGACAAATCATCTACCGCCCCATACGAATTCATGGAACCAAGAGCGGCTGCAATGAGCTTCACCGCGTTCGACGCTGCTATTCTCGCGGAAGCAAGGAGTATGACAGATTGGAATTCTCGTAACAAGGTAAACATTTTCACTCGAATCACTATCATTCTCTCTCGTAATTCACTGTCCTGATCTGATAAATTTTGCGTAGTTCTGTCCCGGCTGCGGTTCTCCGACCTACTCGCTATGGGCGGGTTGGAAACGCGCGTGCTCCACATTGCTACCTTGGGCGGATACAACCGGGAAGAAATCTTGTCCTTCAGCGTGAGTTGCTCTGTCTCAATGAATATGATGATAAAGACAATTTATACATGTCTTATTGGGCGGATTAGTATTGGTCTGAACAACTTCTCGCATCCTCGTACAGATGGAGTAGTCATTATGGCTATTATCGACGAGTCAGGAGACAAAATACTCCTTGGGAAAAACGTACGTATATGCGTTACATCCATCCTATCCTCCTCCACCTAAAGAAATTATATATTTTTCAGAAAAGATTTCCACATGGTAGTTCCGTACCAACTCCTTCACATTGCTACAACCATTTCTCACATCTCATTCCTCATTTCTCAATTAAATTATAGGATTCTACTCAATCCTCGCAGGTTTCATCGAACCCGGCGAATCCTTCGAAGACGCAGTCAAGCGAGAGATATGGGAAGAGGCTGGTGTACGTGTATGGGGAGTTAAATATCATTCGAGTCAACCTTGGGTACGTATCACTTTCTATTCTCTTTCTTTTGATGATTTGTTCCCCTTGCTGACTTGTACAAATTCCAAGCCATTCCCTGCGAACTTAATGGTCGGGTTCTATGCATTCGCAGATTCGTCTCAGCCAGTTCGTGTAGATTTGGATAACGAGCTCATCGGTTAGTAATATTCCTCCACCCCACCCCCTCCCTACTGTATCTGCGTACTTCATGCTTCACCACCCTGTATTGAACGAACCCTTCTTCTCATGTAAACAGAAGCACGCTGGTTCACCCGAGACGAAGTCCAATCCGTCCTCGCACACAACCAAGGCTCAATAATAACCCGACAAGAACACAAAGTCTTTGATAATCAGGACTCTGGCAATAAGACTACGGACCAACAAACCACCGAGGCTATCAAACAACCTACCACTGAGACTGCCAAACAACAAGAAGCACCGGCGTTTAGAGTCCCACCCTCGACGGCTATTGCAGGTGTGTTGATTCGGGATTGGGCGAACGGGAGGATTGGAGCGGGTGGATCGGGTGGGTTGAGGAAAGGGAATTTGTAGATTAAATTTCTTTTTCTGTGGTAGATAGATAAGACGAATTAATTTGTACAGCGATGTAGCACTTACAGTTCGTGGCTTTCGATGTCGCATCTCATATGCGTTACAAAGCAGGCACCGAGTGCCTATACCGGTATTTTTTAAAGAACATATTAATGAAAAATGACTGCGATTCCGAACTGTAACTTATAAGTGACACTTGATCCACACATTTTCGAGAATGAACAAACCCTCTTCTCCAGTCGTCACAGAATATCTTACATCACTCGTTGTCATGAAATGCACAATTCTAAACAAGTCTATATATCAGAACAGATAATTTATACATCGAGTATGTATCGCATCATCAGAAAACAAAACAGAGCTAATGTATACTCGGGAACATGGGCTTGAACAAGAACGTGTACGAATATATGCAAAACAAAAGCGAAGGTAAATTGAAAATCAAGTTCTATAAGATCTATGTCCGTCCTGCGTCGGTGTTCTCCGAGTCCTACCTAGTATTACCCTTTTTCTTCTTTCGTCTTTTCTTCGAGTTGAATCGTCAATATCATCCATGTCTACTCTCGCTTAGAAACTTTCTAACGCCCGACTAGCAAGTTCGAACCCAAGGAACGTCGCGCCGTTCGCAAACGGCGATCTACAACAACACACCAATGTATGCATGTCAGAAATTTCACAGTTTTTCCTTCAGCCAGATGAAGGCTAAAGGCGACACCCACCTAATTAAGGTCGGCCCAAGACCACGCGTAAATGCCTTGATACCCTCAGTCCGCCATACAGTCCGAACACAATCTAATGAAGACTTGTATTTCCTTCCGTCTTCGGCACTAAATCCATCTGTTTGCATCCGGGACTTGATCATGTCGATTGGGTATACGCAGAACCAAAGCTATACCAATTCGGAATTAAAACCATCAATCAGAATTAGTTCACGTCCCGTAGTCTATATGCGGAGGCAAAGGAAGAGACGTACAGCATAACCAGCAGCAGCACCAAACAATACCGCTTTTACAGGGCTCACGTCTTCCCGCTTGACACCCATCCGTTGCTCTCGCTGCATAAGTTTCTCATATGCCCAGAAGTACGCCCCATATCCAATAGCTTCACGTGCAAATGTAGGAACCTGACCCTTGTATATCCCTGCAATACCATGTTTCGACGCAATCTTCTTCACCGCATCGAACGGCCCGGAATAAATTTTGTTGTCCGTTGCTTGGATTTGTAACCCTATAAAATCATCGTCATTCAGATTTACGTTGGAGGTATAAGGCATAGGGCTAGGTATGAAGAACTTACGAATACGAATATGTTCTACCGGACCCGAAACCACACTATTCGCAATACCCGCAACAGAACCAGCAAACACAAGCTGTCCCGCAGATAACTCTTTCCCATCAGGTCCGCCTCGGCCGGACTTGATATTCATCTGCGCAAGAGCGCGCTTCGTGTACTCCAATGCACCAAATTGAATGGATACACATAATCCGATGCCGAGAAGCGGAGAAACAGTACCCTTAAGTAGTTATAATCGTATGGATTATTATTAGTTATTATTAATAGTATGATATTGTAAGAGCCAATGAGGCTGAACATGCGGAACACACACACCTTGTAAAACGCAAGCGGACCCTCGTTCCTCAAGATCCCGCCTGCACATTGCAGCATACCCGAGTACGTCCCACTCGGAGCCGTTTGCATCCTCTAAAATAACGTCAACAAATAAGGCCGAAACAAACAGCCAATAATAATTCAGCAACTCTCATAGAATAGCATAAGTTTTAGCGAACGCACCACTTTGACAATATCAAACGGCTGTCCTACAAGCACCTAAAATCACGTTCGCAAGAAGAAAGAAGGGGCCTCGATTCAAATCATCGTCGAAAGAGGTATCATGAAAGGCTGAACGAGAAACGGTCCGTTACCTGTAAGATGCCTCCCGCCGTTCCAGCAGTCAAGTCCTTAATGGTCTTCTTCGTTGAATTTTTCTCAGCCATCGTCGAATTCCGTTTCAGGCCTCGAAAGGACAGACAATAGGACAAGCAAAGAGTTTTAGTACAACTTCCTAATGCCGGAAGGAGGCTGCGAAATAGCGACGGCAACGACGGACGAGCAAGTCGAAGCAAAAAGCACACACCCTGAGTCACGAAATGGAAAAAGTTAAGGCTGGTTGCCATATATAGCAAGTCTAAGGTAGCGTGATCATAAGCGTGGAATAAACCGTTTAGTTTCGGGGAAAGCGGAGAAGCAAAGCAGAGATAGGAAAAATACAACAATAAGCAGTAATACACAAACAACAAAAGCGCGGATATTCAAGAAGATCGAAATAATATGATGAGAAGTCAGGTCCCGTGTGTAAAAGGAATACTCGAAGATGATGATAAATGCTCTCGGGAATGCGATATGGATGTCCGTCGTCCAATGGGACCAATATAATACTGTGATCGTCTGGACCTGCCCCGGCGACCTTCTCCGTTTCTCGTCTGTCCAAGTTACTGGTGCGTCCCCGCCCCCGCAGTTTCATTTCCTGCCCCTGTGTTCCCGCGTCGCCTTCTTTTGCCTTGATGTCGAATCGGCTCTGCCGGATGAGCGTCGCCAGTACGCTTGCTTCTCCTGTTCCGTCATCTGGTTCCATGCACGTGCCACAGCGTCGAATGGTGACATTACACACGCCGGTCCCGAGCGAACAGTGTTACGTGAGACGTTCACAAAATCGTTCATCGTCATCGTCGAGATATGTAGATAGAAGAGGAGTAACTGATAATCGACGTCGATGAATGTATATGCGTATGATTGATTCGCGTGAAATGAATGAAGTCGTATCGTGCCAGCGCGTGGCAAATTAGGAATGTACAATAACGCTCGAGGTGTCCCGATTGAATCCCGATTAAATGCTTCCGGGAATGGAGGACAAAGAAGAGCTAAGAGTCTAATCAGCTCGGAGACGAAGAGGACAATAGGGTAGTAAGGGGCAGCCGTACCGATGAAGTCCTTCGGTTTCGCTTTTATTGTTTTACTGGACCGTGTACGCCTGCGCAAGGGTGTTGTTACGGTGGAATAAGTCGTTTGGTGGGTGGTAACTCTGTGTGTTCATGGCGACGCAGTGGCCCGTCCTTATATGCTTTACGGAGTCGCACCTTCGGGCGGTGCATTCGAGGACCCCATTGTATCAATTACGACCAAGAATCATGGACCGCACGAAGCAAGAAAGCGACACGCGCTATGTAGCTTCTATCTCGGACATGAACGTAAGAGATTAGGAAATTCAATGCAAACGGGAAAAGCGGTGCCTTGCAAACCGGACGCTGACGTCTAACCGGTAAGTCTGCAACGCAGCATGTCACGGACACCCGATGTTTCAGCCAGTTTTGAGAGTCGTGGATCAAGGCATGTCTGGGAAACCTGTCAAATTCTATTAGCAAACGAATATGTAACACCGCGAAACATTGGTGCGAATGACCACTGTATTCGACACGCGTCGACGATTATAGGGTGAAACAGTGCTTTCTCCTCTTCGATCGCCTATTAAGGCGTATAGAAACCGAGAGTCAAAGGCGAGAACGTTGAAAACATGCAGACACAGATTCGAGTTCCCAGATATGCCATCACAGACACGTGGAACAGGCGTGTTGAGTCCCTGAAAACCATCTTACACCAGTCTATCTCCTGCTGAGCGCGCTAAATCATTCAATACGGCGTGATCCCAACCCTCGAGGTACAACATTAGTGGCATCATTGGCTTGGTCATAGATTGGCGATTTCGAGGACAGAGTTTGTATAAACAGAAGTCGTCGATTGTGATCGATACCGAGAGCCATTCAGCGAGTAGTTCAGAGGTGCAGGAAGTCCTTGTCTCCACGCAACCATGAAAAAGCCTAGACCAGCAAAACGTTGACAAGATCCAGCCAGAAGGTAAACGCGGAGAGACAAATTCAAAAGCTGTTAGGGAGCAAGTATAGATTATGCGCAGTTAAGATCCATCGCAGGTCCATGAGATCATGTAGCGGTGAAGTGAACGAGAAACACGCGTTAACCATGCTGCACCGTAACTTTTAACATCTCTTATAACACGTGATTTAGACGCGTACATAGCTATAAACAACGCGCTTCTCCATAGTTATTCCTGACCTACTAAGTAACGTGTAGACATCGCTCAGATCAAGCACAGCAATGACAAAGAGCAAGCGTAGAAGATCCGGACTAGCGATTCGAAGCAACAACCTCGGGACGTAATCTAACTGTGGGGTGCTGGGGTCCACTAACAAGCGACGTCTGTATCAGTCTGAGCGAACCGTTGAGTCTCATTCACAAGTTCGAGGCTACATAAGGACTTGTAAAGCGAGAAAATGAGGAAACCCTTTTATACAGCCGAACTGTTTCGAATACACATTCACATACTCTAAAACGAACAACGTAATAAGTACAGCCGTGAAACGGCTAATCTTCAATGACATGTCATCGTGCAGTGCACCTCGGGTTCACAACTTTGACTCCTCCCCCAAATTTCTCAGGATCGCAGGCCCGTCACGCAAAACACATGGTCCTCCAAGGACAACACGATCGGTAAGACCAGCACTTTCCACGTATTTGCGCACTTCGTCGTTCTCGGCACCAGGTTGTAGCCAGACGTACGGTACGTTGAGCGATTTCGCGGATTCTAGAATGCCTAGTGTGACCTGTGAAAGAAGGGACAATAAGTTCAATGAAGACCATCGATGTGATTAATATAATCAAACGACGAAAAAAAATGGTGTCAAGATACGCGCTGACTTACTGCTGGAGGTGTGATGACGCTGACAGCCGTTTCAGACGGTTCTGGAACAGCTTCAAGTGTCTCAAAGGTCTTCAAACCTTCAAGCTCTATTTCTCTCTAGATAAATAAAAATTCAGTCAACAATTATTCCGATCACTAATATTGATGCTTACGGGATGAACTGGTGTCACTGTCTTATCGTGCGTCTGCACCATCACGGAGTAAGTAAATTGATTCAGTCAATGGATATTATACAGACGGAACGAAAGCAGAGGAAGAGGTTCTTACCTGATACCATCTGAGCACCCTTGACCCCCACTTATCTGGATTCTTTGACGCTCCGATGACTGCGAATCGCTTTGCAGATAGAAAAGCACGCTGTATCTCTGCCGAGCCCGCCATTCTTTATTTTTGGATCAGTTGGAATAGAGACAAATCTCAATGAAGGCAAGAGGTGATTTGCAAGGTCTTGTTAATGTAGATTATAGACTAGGCACGTCTAGTTTTATAGCCGCGAAACGCGCCACGCCGAATAGTACCGATTCTTACAGCAAGGCAGCACAACTTACAAGTTCCAGTGACAGCGAAGAGTATTGGTTGACGTGTCCGCGAAGACGGGTGTATACTGTATGAATTAAGATGACTTAAGGAGTCAGAGATGTCGCCATATTGAATCATGATGCCCTAGGATCCGAGTTCGTCCGAGCCTCAGTCAGCAGTGCAGCAATTTAGGAGTCCATGCTCTCAGGAATGGCAAACAGCAAGTCAAGATCACTTGACTTCACGTGAAGTTTTCGGTGGTGAAATTGATAGAGTGTTTTCTAGACAGTCCTGCAGGTCCCGATTGGAGAAGAACAGACAAATCATAAGCTATGTCTTTTCTTGAAGATGAAGCAATCCATGACTTACGGAAGTCCGATATCAGTCGGTATTCGACGTACTTTTGCCAGCAGCGTGAGCCTGAGACCCAATCAAACGCAATTCACATGTACGCACAACACTCGGCAACTCCCGAGCACACCATGTCTCTCCCTACCCTCGACACGTCCAGCCCTACAACACAATTCCTTCTCCTTTCCATTCTCTCCCTTCCCGTACTCTACATCCTCAAACGTGCTTTTTCTTCCTCTCCATCTTCTACAGCGACATCAGTGAACGACAGTGACGACGAGAAAGATTCGAACGAAGACGAGAACAAGAGTGTGATGCAGGCCGAGAACCCAGAGTTGTTACCTCCGAGCGATAAGCCGTTCAGGCTTGAGGAGCTGAAACCTTTCGATGGAAAAGATCCTGAGAAGCCGATATACGTCTCTATCAAAGGTACATATTCCTCATTTCACCGCGTTTCTCAGCAACGCCAACAACTTTACTGATAATATCAATCAATACTAACACGTCCGTTCCCTTCAATCATTAATCACAATTTGGAACAAATGCAATACCAGGCACAATCTTCGACGTAACCCGCAAACGTGAAATGTACGGCCCCGGTAAATCATACAACATCTTCGCCGGAAAGGACGGTTCGCGTGGATTGGGCATGTCAAGTCTCAAAGACGAAGATGCTGTACCAGACTTCCATACTCTCCCGCCGAACGAGATGAAGGTGTTGGATGATTGGCATGCGTTCTTTTCGTACGTCGAGCCTTTCTATGTGTTCGATACAACATTGGATTTTGACTTGAACTTGCAACCACTATAGGAAACGATATAACATCGTCGGCCTCGTCACAGATATGCCAGAAGCCGTCGCACATTTATGTCCGTCCCCAACTAGTCCTACCACCTCTCCTAGTTCTTCCTCCTAATGCGTCAATCCTCCTTCCTCCCGTTCCTTACTATTATTATGAAACGCATACGTGTCTTTGGTTTCTTGTTCCTGACGATTAAAATTTTCATTTGAAATACCTAGACTGGACGTCGGTGTTAGATTGTCGGGTCGTTATGCAGTGCTTACTCTAAGCGCCCAAGCAAATCTTACAGCCCTGACAACTATTCATTTACAATTTGGTAAGGCAACTAGTTGATGAACGTGTGAGTGAGCGAGTCGTGTAGGTTGCGTCAATACAGAGATCAAGATGAACAAATCACAAATTTGAAATAATTATTAAAATGTACTGTATTAGTATTGACATCAAGAGTGCATTTAGATCCTTTTTTTCTGTGTAACTGTAATGTGGATTGGTAATATGTATTATATTCAAAAGGATTATTTAAATGTGTTATACAATGTATACAAAATGTTTGCTATGTAAGTTATTAATATTATCTACTTTACTTACATCTCCATACTTTTTCAGTCCAAGCCTGACAGACTTCCAGGAATACTCTCAAAGTCACCAGTAGTAGCATTGACAATACTAGTACTAGTAGAGACATTCTCTAACTTACTGTGTGTCAGCAACAGTGTAGAGGGGACCTGAAGGCTCAGCAAGGGGACCCAGGCTACAACTATCCTACACAACAGAAATACAGAATGCAAGTACTAGAACATAGTTGGAACTTGCAGAACAGGTAGAGAGAGAGAGTGAGACAAGAGTAGAGTATATAGAGTGAGCCTAAGAGTACAGGACTACCTAGAGTAGACAAGATCAAGACTACAGGACTAGTCTGATCTTGTACACCTATATATACTAAACTACACAAGAGTACTCAGGGAGCATGAGCCACTAAGAATGATAAGCCACAAAGAATGAAAGAAAGGAATGTCAAAGATAAAGGTACAAAGAATGAAGGGATGGACAAAGGGTAAGAGACTATAGAATGAACAAAGAATGAGGGGGTGGTCAAAGGAATGGAATGATGAAGTAAGGAAGGGTAGTAGTAAGAGTCAGCACACATATAGTCTATAGACAGTGCCCCTGAGGGACAGAAGTCCTGAGTTCCAGTACAGAAGGGTGCAGAACCCTTGGAACTGAAGGTATGAGAGTAGAGAATTGTAACATCACCCCCATCAGGAAAAAGTCAGATTTCTTGTAATTTCTTATAGACTTTGTAAAGTAACATATGTATTGTATATACATTATAAAGTAATTGTAAGGATTGTAATTGAATTACAATGTTTAAATAAGACATATTAATGTATATAAAGACTACATAAGTACTAGGGATGAATAAAATCTATTACATGTATTATACTAACTTTGTATGACAACCTAAAGTGTTATGCCTGTATTATATTTAAATTATAATCTTAAAGAAAGAGTTATATTTATAATGTAATAATGTAATAATTACTATTGTTGCCTTATAATTTATACAAAAGGTATATTAATGTATATTATACTTAGATTATTTATACAAGCAGTTTACAATTATTGTAAAAGGCATTTCATCTACTTGTAATAATTATATTAGTGTGTTTAGAAAGCTATATACATGTCATATTACTTTTTACTATATTACAAAGTAGATCAATAAGTTTATTTTATACCTAAATACAATAATTGAAATGTTCTATCAGTTGATGACTCATATTATAGTTGCTTACGTAATCAACTGCTGAAGATTGGGAGTATATAATGATGCATTTCTCTTTGTCACTCCTTTACCTCCTACCTTCACCATCTCCCCAACCCTCTGCCCTCAACACTATGTCATTACTTCTGTTCTCTGAGTCTCTAGTCAAGTCCTCTGCTTGCAAGCATTGTACTAGCAGGCACTCTGCCTGTAACAACATAGGTAATAAACATTACTGTACTTATCTCTCCAATCTGCTACTACAATGCTCATACTGGGTCTCAGATCTTATGATAATACTACTAAGCTGACTATACTGTCCTTCAGTGTAAAGTGTAAGCAGCCAGTCCACTCTATAATAGTCTGCACAATAGTTGCTCATCCCTCTCCTCCCAACTTTTTTGTCTCCCTTCTATCTGTCCCACTCCTTACTCTGTGTCTTACATTACCCCTCCTTTATTGTCTTCCTTTTTTTACACTTGCCTTCCTGTTTGCATTTGTATTCACACATTCACATTGTTGACTAATACTAAATGACTTCTTTAATAATTCTACACATTTGTGTACTTCTTCCTACTCTACAGTACAAGCAACAATCAATAAGTACATACTTGTAACAATGTCCCTGTACAACTACTCCCATCATACTACCCTCTCTCTCACTTAGTATGTGCTTCTTTCCCTACCCATTCAATGTTTGACATCACTTTTAATAGGCTACACTATATACATTTACATTCCTCTGTACTAGACATAACACTGTATTGAACAGAAGTAGTGACCTACTACTCATACTACCTACACTGAGTCTGTCTACAACTTCCACATTGCCTTGTCTCTTCATGTCAGAACATCCTAGAGATACACTATTGTAATCCATAGTCTAGCACACTACACCCCCTATTACTTACTTTAGTAAGAGTACACAGTACACATGTACAGACACAGATTTGCTTGTAGCTCAAATCAGCTTGCTTGACACTCTAGATCTCAACCTAGTGTACTACCTGCCCTTCCTACACATTGTTATAGTGTGTTCCTCTCCTTACTTCAATTACTTACACTTGCTAACAATTCTGTCCCTTAGGTAAAGACTAGTCTAATAAATATTCAAAGTATGATTCTCTACAACTAGACACTCCTTTCCTTTCCTTTCCTGTCCTTTCCTTTCCTTTCCTTTCCTTTCCT